CCAACAATCATAGACAAATCACCCCACAGGAATAGTTAGCAACAACGACAAACAACCGGCAACATGTGGTTCTCGACGAGGGGCAGTCCGCTCCTCTTGGCCGCAATGGCTACTCTGCTATCACCAGTCTCTGCTGTTGAAAAGATGCTGGCCTCCACCTCTCTCAATACCTGCCAGGATAACTCAGGTCTCCAAGCCAGTTTCTTCAACGCCGTCTATACTCCCAACAACAACTCAGCCACCATCAATCTGGTAGCCACGTCCTCTGTTACAGGCTACGTCGAATTCGATATTGAAGCGTCGGCTTACGGATACACCTTTCTCAAGACCACGCTCGACCCGTGCAAGATCAAGCTTCCTGGCATGTGTCCCATGACGGCTGCTGCCAAGTTCAATATTCCGTTCACCCTCCCCGTCCCCGCCGACGCAGCCAAATCGATTCCTTCCATCGCCTACACCATCCCTGATCTGGATGCCATGGTCAGAGTCCGCGTTAACCTCACAAGCACCAAGGAAAGTATTGCCTGTGTCGAAGCCAACATCTCCAATGGCTTGACAGTTAATCTGGTTGGTGTGAAATGGGCTACAGCCATTATTGCCGGTATCGCTTTGGTTTCATCCGCCATCTTCAACGGACTGGGTCACTCCAACACCGCCGCCCACGTTGCTGCCCTCTCGCTCTCCCTCTTTGGCTATTTCCAAGCCCAGGCCATGATTGGCTTGACCGGCGTAGAGCTGCCTCCCATCGCTCAGGCTTGGACTCAAAATTTCCAGTGGTCCATGGGTATCATCCACGTCGGCTTCATGCAGACCATTTTCACTTGGTATCAGCGTGCTACGGGCGGCACCCCTGCCACCCTCTTTAGCTCTCTAGGATCTGTTTCCGTCTCTGTGCAAAAGCGTGGTCTGGATGCCGGTCTCGATGCCGGCAAGCAGCTGATGAGACGCAGCCTCGCTCTCATGCCTGCGTCTGCCGTTCATCTTCTGAAGCGAAGCGGCAACATTCTGTCCCCGTCTGGAGGCTATGTTGTCTATGGAATTCAGCGTGTGGCATTCAAGGCCAAGATTGAAACCACCAACCTCTTTCTTACAGGTCTGACTTTCTTTTGGCTCTTTGCCATCTTCACCATGCTTGGTATCACTTTGTTCAAATTTGCCTTGGAAGGCTTGGCCAAGCAGGGCGTCATGAAATCAGACAAGTTCCTCGAGTTCCGCAACGGTTGGCGAACTGTTCTCAAGGGTATCCTCTACCGTATCGCCCTTATCGGTTTCCCGCAACTTTCCATCCTGTGCCTCTGGGAACTCACGCAACGTGACTCCGCTGCCGAAGTTGTGCTTGCTGTCTTCTATTTCTTTTGTCCACTTATTGCCCTTGCCTGGGGAGCTAGCAAGGTGATTCAGATTGCCCGCCGATCCATCAACATGCACGGAAACGCAGCCTACATCCTCTTCTCAGACCCCCAGGCTCTGAACAAGTGGGGTTTCTTGTACGTGCAGTTCCGTGCCTCTGCTTACTACTTCATCGGGCCCATCTTGGCCTACACCTTTATCAAAGCCATGTTTGTGGCTTTCGCGCAAAAGACAGGCGTTGCCCAGGCTGTCGGCTTCATCATCCTCGAGATTGGCATGCTTATTGCTGCGTCGGTGTTGCGCCCCTGGATGGATAAGAAGACCAACTCGTTCAACATTGCCATTTACGTCATCAACTTCTTGAACTCCATCTTCTTGCTCATCTTTACCAACGTCTTTGGCGCGCCTTTGTTGGCTATTGGTGTTGTTGGTGTCATTTTATTCGTCCTCAATGCCATCTTCTCCACGGTCCTCCTGCTCATGGTTGTCGCCTCAACAATTTACTCCATCGTGCGCAAGAACCCCGATGCCCGATACCAGTTCATGGCAGATGACCGAGCGTCATTCATGAAGTCACAAACCCAGCTCAACAATGGCGCTGCTACTGAATTAGACGCATTGGCAGCCACCGCTAGGGGTGACAAGGCATCTTACAAGCTAGGAGACGAAGAATCGATTGCATCCGACGAAATGCACCACCCTACCGAACCCGCTACCAGCATGGCTTATGCTCCTCAGACCATGAACCCTCAAGCTGGTTTCTACCAGCCGACGCGTTCAGTATCCCCCGTCAACCCATCTGTACCACTCTTCCCAGCCAATGACCAGCAATCCCATTCATCATACAGCCACGGCTCATCACCAGCGCCAATTGGACGAGTGCCTTCATACGGCAGCAACCACAACACGAGCCCTGGCGGCTACAGAGCACAAAACAATGCAAGGTATGTTCTTCTCCAATATCAGATATCGTGAGCGCAACAAGAATATTGAAGGCTGATCGATCAACGTATATAGCCCCTGGCAGCGTGGTGCCGGTTACGACTAAGCAAGTCCCGACCTTGACCATTCTATAGACCTACAATGACGCACATCTCTTTTTTTTTTCTTTCTTTTTTCTCTAGTCTTGTTTTTCTATTTATAATCAGTCGCACGCGAATCCCACAAGGGACAACTGCCATCACCTGATGCGCGTGTATATCACAAACAGCCTAGTGTGTATATGAGGGCCGGCTGTCCTCAACATCCTGAGTCATTCGTCATATGTGGTAGGAGAGAGCGATGGGCTGGCTGTGTTTCGGTGATGCAATGCAATGCAATGCGATGCGATGCGATGCGTGTAAAGGCGTTTATCAAGAAGGCTGACCTTTATCGTTGTCTGGACTACTCGAAGGAGTACTGTTTGAAAGAGCGAGCGAGAGCATACACATATATAAAAGGACATTGCGTGCCGCTCACCTATTTTTTCTCATGTATGTACATAGGGTCTCGTTGGAGAGATCGAATCGGCCATTTAGAGGCCGATGGTTATGACAACTACTGCTACAACTATTTGCCTGACCTTGTCTTTGGGGCTCGGGATGTATAGAGCGTGCAAACTTGGATAGATTTGAAATGATGCTCCAGTCTTGCCGGCTCCAAGTGGTCTCTTTTCTTTGTGTTTCTTTCTTGTGCTTCTTTGTGTTTCTCTTCTCTTCCCTGGCCGCCTGTTTTCTTTCTTCACTCTCTTGTTTGTTTGCCGTATCTGGTTATGGCTATTTTTGATCAATGGTTATTCTTATTTTATGAATACTTTACGAGGCTTCTTTTCTTCGGCTTTTCTTCTCTTTTCCTTTTCCCTCTTCCGTCCTCTTGCTTCTGTCATTTTCTATCGGCTTCCAAGTTCACGTAGATTTCCAGTACTACTACTACTATACTTTCCAGTTAACACGGGGGCTTATTACCAGGTGGCAGGCGGCTGAGGCAGGAAAGGAGCAGCTGCCTGCCTAGCGCACGTGATATCTAGAATGTGAATGTGACCAAGTTGCCAGCGACCGTCGAAGCCGAAACATGTTAGAAATGCATTGCGCGGCTCATACCCTACTGTTCCCATTTGTCTCATTTCCATTTTCCTCACGCTGAGTGAGGTACGCATACAGCGCAGTCGCGGCTATTGGACCACATACGACTGTCCATGTTACGAGTGACATGCGTCTTGCAGTCAGCCATCAGCGCTGAAAAAGTTATGCTTCTAGATTACGTTTGGGTTTGCATCATTGCACTGATTAGAGGTCGATATACTCTACACGCTTATTGAAAGGCTGGATAGTACCACTTTGAGCTGCGTTTCGGTGTAAGTATGGCTTCTCACGTCGCAAACATAACCCAAGCTATAGTACTAATGGGGCAAGAGGGATGCTGATGACAGGATGTCAACGTTAAGTCTGTGAAGAAATACACGTGTCTCTTCCTTTGGCCGATTTCGGCTTGCTCGCGGATACTTGTCACTGGTGGTCAAGATCGTCCACACTTTCAATAAGTGGCTTGACAGAAATTTCCGATATCGCGAACAAGATCTTCGCTCATCGAGATCCATCCCTATACTAGATTCCAATGCGTTCTAAGGGGTATACGATATCAGAGGATTCGAAACGGCTTGGAAGATCTCCAAAGTGAATATTCAAAAGGAGCTGCTTGACAGCCAGCCGCCACTAAGACGAGACGAGACAGAACAAGGTCATAACTAAGACAGGGCGAGACGAGACCAGTCGACGATACATGCTCCATCAGATCGACCCTCCTATGTTAGCGTGATCTCAGAGTCTATTATGTGGTGCCCAACAAGCAGAACAAAAAACCGCTGAGATTGTATGGAGACTGTTTTCCACCTTGTGCCCTTACCCGAGCGTAGGTACAGTACATCTCTTCTGATGGGGCCTTGATTAGGGCTTAGCGAACCTTAAGAAGATCGAATCGTACATTTCAGCCCGAGCCTGGCCCTGCAATATCACCTCGTGCCTAGGTATTGTCGATTCGACCGGTGTAATACGCAACCAAAAAGACTCCAACGACACGACATCGAACAGATTCCAGAGACGACTTGCATCTCTCAAAGCTCTTGCGATAGATGTCAGAAGCAAAGACATTGAACACCTAATCATCTATGATATCACGCCCCGGCTCGCTTGCTCGGCTGGTGCCGTCTGGCTTTCTTTTGACTTTGCTGCTAGCGTACGCCTGGAGGGCTAAGGAGCAAACATCCATATAGAGCCATGACGAGGTGAGCCACTAAAGGTCTGAGATGCGTATTTTAAGTTGCTTGTTCCTGCAGCTCGCATATCGATAAGCTCATTTGCTCCATCGCAGTCATCGGTTCTGGCGTTGCGGGTGATTGGCTTGGCAAGCCACCTGCACCTCCTCCAGTGCTGTACAGTACCTACGTATGGGTACAGACAGATACAGGTATAAACCTGCCTGCCGTCACACAAACCCAAAGGTTAATTTTAAAATATTGCCTCCTTTTCCTTTCTCTTGCTCCTCCCCTTTCAATTCTTTCCATTTTCTCATCATTATAGTGTTTGTGGGTCAATTCTCTTGCGTCGTTGCTCACTCTCCAATCCCTATCAGGCCATCTCCGTTGCGTATCTGCGTCTTTGCAGGCTACCGGCCCAATGTCTGACACTCCACCCGGACTGTATCGGGAGCGAGCAGCCTCGCCTCCCAGAGATGTGGAAACAGTCGTAGGTCGAATCTGAGCCAACATTGACTGCCGTTTACATTTGTGCTTTGCTAATTATACCGCCTATTGGCAATAGACTTTCTGGCTCGGCACGCGTTCGATCACAGGCACCGGAGAAGTCTACAACTCCAAGCATCGCAACGTTCGCCGGTTGACGATCCAACCCAAGTGGTTCGACAAAGTTGCCACTACAGCCTTGTCCATCTGTCCCAAGTTCGCACAGCCTCGTCTGCAGAAATGGTTCCCGGAATGGTACCTTCCTCGCAACATTGTGTTGAAGACGCAAAAGAAGAACTGGGAAAATGAATTCCACGCTGAGATTAAGTACTACAAAGCCTTGGAGTCCATACAAGGCAACTACATCCCAAAATACCTTGGAGCCACCGAATTCAACGGGGTCAAGGGCCATGTGTTGTCCGATGTTGGCGGCATCTGCATGGCCGACATTGATGAAGACAACGAAGCGATTGCTCCCGCCATCGAGAAGTTGTTCCGCCACACAATCTCTGAGGTGGCTGCCATGGGCTACTACCAGAACGACATGAGGCTTGACAACTTCCATCTCGTGGGCGATAAAATAGTCATCGTGGACTTGGAGCAAATGGGCAGATTTTCGCCCCAATTCAACTTGGAAGGAATCACTGGCTTTCTTGTGCAGAAGGTGACGGCGATTTTTGCCAAGTACCAACGGGGAATGAGGGATAGATTTACCAGTGATTTGTACGAAGACTGACACTTATACTTCTGACACACTCAATTTGCGCCGCCATTTTCATTCTTTCATTCATTCATTCATTTTTTTTTTTTTTCCTTTCTTTCTTCCTTTTCTTCTCTCATACATTCATACATTCATTCTTTACCTATCTTTCTTTCTTTTCTTCTCCTCTCTTTTACCCCGTTTTAGCTTGGTGTTGAGGTTGGACTATGAAATTTATTTTCACACTTGGTTTCGAGAAATTGAGTACCACAAGGCTATTCTTCTTGCCTTTCATTGGTTACGCTGAATGGCAGACAACGGGGACACAGAAAAGTTTTTGTTTGAGTTTTAGAACGTTTTTAAACGGCGCTATCTGTTGTTTAGAAGATGGCATTTGGAAGCTTGCCACTGGCGCCGGCACTGGCGGGAGAGTAGAGGTTCTTCATATAGACAATACTGCCATTCTCAGGGATAGACAAGAGAGACCATGTATTTACTTTGATACAATCAATTGTTTGGCCCTCATTATTGTTGCTCTTCTTCTTCCTCTGACACTTCTCCGGAAGCCTTCCATCGCGACGATGTGGAAGCGAAGCGAATACAGATATTAATGTTTACGGCATTTTTCCTAAGGGCCGACTACATCGATCGATGCTGATCCAGCTTCGGAGCTTTTACCCCACGCGATCCACATCAGCTCATCTACGATCCACGCTATCCAAGCCATTCCTTGGCACTATCTTGGAACATATTCAATAGACAAGAGTCTGGTTAGTTACTAGAGAGGCAGCTAGAAAGATGACGATACCACTTGTGCTTGAATTGTTACTTGACTTCACAAACGGGAGTATGCATTGTTTTTAGAGCTTCATTGAGACCTGGCGCCTGGCGTCGTGGCCAGTGCTCTTACACGGCATCACTTGTCCGACCCGACACCGAAATAAGATCGGGTGATTCACCGCGTAATAAGACAAAACACTCACGGCTGGATGATTTGCGACTCAAATATACTAATGCGTGGCTGACTCGATACGGAAATTGCGTGTGGCTAAGGGGTGCTGGGTGTATGGATGCCTGCAGTAGTCAGGAGAGTCGCGGCTGTTGTATGAAGGCATTGTGTAACCGATATGCTTTACTAGCTGCTGTGGTCATACCATACTGTACGATGCAAATATCAGGAGGGCTAGGCATATCCTTGTTTGCCGGTCCATCGCCCCGCATTATTCGGGATTTGCTGGGCAGAGAGATACGTCGCGGTATGGTAATCTGGTCGGTTGGCCTGTGGTGATATCGGGACTAGAGGCAAAGTATCTATCCGCGCTGTTGAGCCGGCAACGATGTGCCACAGCATGTTTTTGAAACAATATCATGCTTGGCAGTGGACATTACTATTGTACAATGGTCCGGGCTTATTTGCTAAGTGAAATACTGCTATCATGTATTAGAGCGTCGGTGGGCTGAAGCTGAGAGGATGTAGAGACTGTGAGTGCTCGTTTTCGGCATCGCCATGAGATGTCACGGCTTCTGCATACATTCAGCCCACTGATACCTGAATATAATGATCAATTTGTCGTTCAATCGACCAAGTTTCGGATTCCAGGCAATTAGTGAAGGGATTGTATGTAGTCATTTATACTCCAAAAAGATGGGTCCTCAAGATCTCTGTTGGAGCTCAAATCCGCGCTTTGATTGCCCTCATCAATGGCAAACACCTTTTACAATATATTAGACATATCATTCTCCCTTACTTGTCAGATATGCAATGAAGCAGGACGAGACAGGCATGTCTAATGAATTGAAGATACAGTTGACTACCACAAAAATTGCAAAGGACGTACATGAGCTGGACTAGCATCATGAAGACTCTTGCGAAGAAAACAACTGAAGAAGTTGCCACGAACAAGGTTTAAAAAAAGAATATAAAAAAGAAAAGAAAAAAAAAGATCAGAAGACAAATGTGGCAAAGAATATACGAATCGTCTGCAATCGTATTCCATACAGAAGCTTTTACAAGGGTTATATATCGTTGTCAGTGGACGACTGTTCTCTACCTACCTACCCAACTCGATATGTCTCTCCCTCTTTTTTCTTTCTACTAGATGGAGGAGGCAGCTGATCGTGTGTAGTCGCCCAGTTGGAGGTAAGCTGCTCATATATGGAGATGCAAAAGCACGTCTAGAAACTCCTCCTAAGCTCATGAGAACTCATCTAATGAGAGAAAATCGTAAAGAACAAAGGCTGAAAGAATCCCTCTGACATTTTCCATCAACTGTTAACCGATTTCTTTATACCTCGTTATGCGTGGCATACCTACTTGTGCGTTCCTCTCCTACTCTCAAACTCCTCTAGTGAAAAGAGATGCTGCCCTGAAAAAAAAAGGGGGGGGGGGACGACTACAAGCCTCAGACTCGTCAGTTCACGAAAAACAACAAGTTTTGGTCATAAATTATGGTCATAAATCATGGTCATAAATTGGCACCCAGGTAGTACCACCAACGGCGCCCGAAGTGAGCTCATCCCATATTCGAAAATAGGAAGAGAAGCCGTTGTCAACTGGCAGGAGGCAAGTATGTTCAAGTATCTAATTCCAATGCCATGCAGCCCCACCAAGATTACGTCGTGGCTTCTCATTCCGGCTGGCAAAGGCAATTAGCAAGAGCATGCAATACGCTCTTCAAGAGGCAGGAGACCTACACCAGAGGGAAGACGTGATTGGCAAGAGCAAGCGAAAAGCTGTGGTTACATGCGTATGCGTATGCAGATGTTGTCCAGGTGCCTCCCAATTCACACAAATCTCTCCATCTTTTGCATCACGAACAGCAGTCATTTGCATGATGCCCGGTCTCAATCTTTCCTCCTCGCCGGTTTCAATTCAGACCCTTGAGCTGCCCGCCCTTCAATGCACCGGAAGTAAATTCAGTAGGCCACATTTGCTACAACAATGCTGTCGATTGGATGCATCCCCCGCGGAATATGGGAGCTGCATCCGCGTCTGCGAAGTTGCGTGCTTTTGTTATCTTTCGTCATGGACGAGGCACGGAATTGCCTCCTATTGGAGATGGGCGATGAAGAATTGGATCGATGGCTCAAGCGAGTCTTCATATCGGTGGACCTCTTTTAGGAAAGTGCCTCTTTGCATCCGGAATGTTCACTTTTGCCTCTCCGTTGGGATGGAGCAGAAGAGGGGCATTCCGGGACGCCATTTCTGCCGGAGTGCAGTGGGCAGCCATGTCGACTAGGCAGCGTCTGAATGGTTCCTGTGTCAAGGACGAGGGAAAAGAGGGCTTGGCTGATAGGTAACACGATGGAGAATTCACAGACTCAAGCTGATGATGCCCGCACTAGGCAAGGTACCTAGGCAGCTACTTGGGTATAGTAGGTAATCTTGCTCGGTGAACTTCAGATCTTGCACGGTTCTCGCTGCCGGCTAAGCCAGCTGGCTCCGGGCCGCGGTCCGAGTGAGTGGGATCTATCTAGAGCATCAGGATCGATCCGGAGGGGCTGGCTGGGCGAGCTAGTTTTAGAGGGGTCGCGCCAAAAAAAAATCTGATTCATCAGATCAAATTCTAGCAACGGTTTTCAGCCACTTGGCTTGTGATAGCACGAGAAAAGAGCCGGAATACGTTTAATCTCAATCAGGCAAGCGCTGAAGAATCCGTTTCTATTCATCCCGCATGGTGTTCCAACCGCAAGAGATCCCGCCGGGGTCTCCACCCCTTATCGAGGACGAAGATGCTGTCAACGGCGTGTGGGTGCCCATCTACAGCCATGCCTGCACCTTTGGACCCGGTGTCTTCGCGGACAAGATGATGGACCTCATCAAGAACCCGAATCTAAACTCCAGCTGGCTCTTTCGCGCCGACATTCTGTATGACGAGAAGCAGCGGACTGAGGGTAGCACCAACACCAACACCAACACCAGCACCAGCAGCGGTGATTGTGATGGCGCCACGACAACTGCAGCAGCCATAACCAATAACAGCAATGGCTCTGCTGATGCTGATGCCGTCGATCCAGACTCTACCGGCCTATCTCTGCAATCTCCGGTGGTCAGCCCCATTGCCGTCGCGATCCGCGGCATGCCCCTCGTCCGCACCCTCGTCCGCAGACTCATTCCCAGAAACGAGCGCAGAGACAAGCCCCTGGAGCAGACCTGCGCCTTTTACACCACGGCAAAAGACCCGGCACAAGACGGTTTACAGGCAACAGTCCCCGCTGCTTCTTCTGCTGCTTCTTCTGCTGCTCCTGCTGCTCAGGCTACTCTCGTCATATATATGCCTCATGCCCCCTCGGCCGACAGTCTCCCCTTTTATCATCCCAAGGTTCGCGGCATTGCCCATCTCCACCAGTGGGATGGTCAAGGCCAGGGCACTATATCCGTTCACTTCCTCCCCTATCCAGAGCACCCCCTCACCGATTCAAAGCTACGGCGAACAGCGTATCATCTTCTCGAGGTTCTCGACAAACACGGTCATGGAGCGGTCAAGGGCTATGTGAAACGAGTTAATCATGACTTGGTCATTCCCCAAGACAGGTTCCAGAACCGGTACGCACTGCTCAAGAGCAAGTATGCTCGCCAGATGGTTGACTCGTGGGCCGAAAAGACGGATCCTTCCAAGCACGTCTTTGAGGACTTGGGCATAGCCGCCTTCCTCATCGAGCTATGGAACGACATGTATCCCAAAGACACGACTACTTTTCCTGGCTTTGTTGATATCGGCTGTGGAAACGGCTTGCTGGTGGCTCTGCTGACACGAGAGGGCTACTCTGGCTGGGGATTTGACGCAAGAGAACGCAAGTCCTGGGCCCAGTATCGAACGCGGGGGCATGCCTCACCCTCTGGTTTCTCTCTGGAAGAGCGGCTGCTACTCCCTTCCATTGTGGTGGCAACGCCAGCAGCAACAAGCGGTCAAGCTCAAGCGAGCCATCAGGCTGAGGCTGAACCCGAAACCCACCTACTGCTGCGCGACGGCGTCATACACGACGGCGCTTTCCCTCCAGGCACCTTTATCATCTCCAACCATGCCGACGAGCTGACCCCCTGGACGCCGATACTGGCCGCTTCATCGAGGTGTCCCTTTATCATGATTCCCTGCTGCAGCCACAACTTGACTGGCGAAAAGTTTCGCGCACCCCCTCCTAGGGACAAGGCCAAGGCCAAGTCAACCTACGCTTCACTAGTCGATTGGGTGTCCAGGATTGCGGAGGACTGCGGCTGGAAGGTCGAGACTGAGATGCTACGTATTCCCAGCACGAGAAATACTTGTTTGTTGGGGAGAACACGAACAAGAGGCGACAGTGGGCAGGAGACGCAGGTAGACGTGGCGGCACTTGTTGAAAAATACGGCGGCACAGGAGGTTACTATGAGAATGTTGCGAAGCTCGTCAAGTCAGGCCCAAGAGGTCATTGATCTTGGCTGGAGCCGTTACAACGGTATGCCATGCGAAGCTTGGTGTATTCCTCAGTTTTCATTCTAGCCTGCCAGACCACCACTAATGGGTCATACGGGGATTCAACGGCTTAATCTAAATCAGGTACGGGCAGGTGGTCAATGAGCTTGCTCTTCAGTCCCAATCTTTCCATCGCTTCCATGGCATTCTTGTCTCTCAGATGCTCAGTCTCCCTTGTGCTGGCCAAGACAAAGTTGTGCCTGAGCAACCAGGCTCCCTCGGGCACTCCGTATCTAATCGCCGTCTCCTTGTCGACCTTGTCTAGATCGACCACCAGGCTCTTCTTAACGCCAAAGACGACGTCAGATGTCTCGTATTTGTCGCCGCGAATAAAGAGGGTCCTATCACAGCATATGTCAATGTCAGCTACTGTTTCTCGTACTGGCAACTAGTGATTGGGCCCAATCTTGCTCGGCTGCCATTGCTTTAATTGGCATTATGCTTATATTGGACGGACGAGGTGGGGATTATAAGACAGCAGCAAGGACAGGGCTCTGACAGGAACCCGGGCACAAAGCGATGCCCACCCGGGAGGGCGCCGCGCAGGAAAGTATCGGTACCTACGTTATCAAATGATCTAATCCCGGCTTCTCAAACATGAAGTGCATATGGGCTGGCCGCCATGGATGGCGCTTGAGTCGCCCCAACAGCTTGCCTACCGGGCCGTCATCCGGGATGGGGTAGCTTACAGGCCGGATGGCCTTGAACCAGAAGCTGCCGTCCACGTCGCTGGTCATGATGCAGCGCTCGCTTGGCGCCTCTCTGGTGGAATACTGCACATCATAGTGGCCTGAGGAGTCCGTCTCCCAGATGTCGACCTTGACGCCTTCAATTGGCCTGTTTGACGAGTCGCGGACAGTGCATAATGCGAGCATAGGCTCTCCCGCGGCGTCTGAGCTCATGGATGAGCCTATGGGCAGATGCGGTGCATCGTGAGTGTGGAAAGGCCCCAGTACGGAGCCTTCAGTGCAATTTGGTGGCTTGGGATGATCAATGGAGTCCACCAGCATGGACAGACCTAGGACATCTGAGAGCAGGATGAATTCCTTGGACGATGCAATGTCAGCTCAGCCGGCCACTATCTTCCGCTACTATTGATGAGAAATCGCCGCTTTGAGACATGTGTGGCGTGTTTATCACCGAAAGTGTACAGGCCACGAAAAAGAAAAAAGAAAAGAAGATACGGTGGCAGGTGGCAGGTGGCAGGTGGCAGGTGCGTGGATTTTGGAAGCAAAGAGTGGGTGGGGATTTGGAAAGCAGCGGGAATGAAAGGCTGCATAACGTAGGATTCAATATCGGTCCTTCAAAAAGGAAACAGACGGAAAGGAGGAAGGGAAAGGAGGTAAGAGGAAACAAAGAGAGACGAGCAGACTGATGATACAGCACCAGCCATCAAAATCATACCTGGCGAACGTCGCTGCAAATTTGTCCTGTCTGGGTTAGAAACTGGATGGCAGCCATCCACTCGTGCGTGCTGAGGCGTGTCTCCCGCGCAAAGTCGTGGACATGGGTCACCAGCCGCTCCATCAGATAGTTGAGGCGCGCATCGCTGCTCTGGGAGTTGATCCGCACCACGTTCTGGGTGATGTTGTCAATGGTCAGGTCCAGCAGTGGAGGGGTGGGGACAGCAGCCTCCTGGTTGTTGCCGGACTGAGAGGGTGCCATGGCTGCGTATAGGCTGCGTGAAGGAGCCGAGACGAAATCGGTGAGAGACAGACAGTGAGATTGCAACTGTGCTATGCACGAATTTGTCGTGTACCAATTGCCGGGGGGACGTATCCTCGTCGTGGCCGTAGTCGGAGCAGTCGGCTGAATTATCTGGATGTTGAACTGACGTGAAAGCACGAGGTAGCTACTTGAAAAGAAGAATGGATTACACGACAAGCACAGGCAGCTATTGCGAGTGCTCTTGATGGACGACTGACTGCTGCTCAATGCCGTTTAAATAATCGCTCGGCCTCAGAGTTTCTCCAGAATAAGCAGCAGCGCTTCAGAGCAACAGCAGCGATTTCCTAAGCATTAGTCCATTCTTAATACGCATCTCTTTTCGCCTCTCATAGGTGCCGGGTCCGAATCCAATGGTTTGTCATTCCGGCGTCAGCAGCCAATCTGTGGCCTTGAGCCCCGCCCCCAAACGCTCATCGTCTGTTTGGAGCCCAGTTTATACTATGGAGTAGTCTAAGTCCAGAGTTGGGGGGGAATGGGGCACTACTCCGCATCAATATAGGTGTGGGCTCATCTCAAGCCAAGTATACGCGATGTGCGACTACAGTATGTGCTGCCAGGCCAGATTACCACAAATCTATTTCAGGCAGCTCCTCACCATCACGGCCTCAGAATCGCTCCATCCAGGCTCCGTCGGCGGCAAGCCGGCGAGATCGGGCTCCGGCACAAGGAGAAAAAAAAAGCAACGATCATGAGAGGGGCGCATTGAGAGGATTCGCGCTATGCTAAACTCTTTGTGGATTTGATGCACGCCCTGCATGGGCTGCACTGGATTGCCATTGTTTGCTCTTTTGCGGTGTGCTTCTTTTTTTCTTTTCCTGGCTTTACGCTATGCATCATCCTGGCTGTTGGCTGCTCGAATCATACAGTCAAGGGGAAAATCGCTTCAACAGAAGACATCTCGGTAGGGAAAAGAGCGTTGGGGATGGCGTAACTTGTGGGATAATCGCGGTTAAAGTCGAATAGGCCTTTTGCCATTTCCCCCACGAACCACCAAATCGGTCCCTCACGCTGAGTGGATTCAAGAGCGGTTGTTCCCGGCCGATCGCTCCTTATCCTGATTTGTGGGAGCTGGCGCTCCTGCGAGGACCAGGGCAGGCAAGATACCCACCCCGGTCTCAATACTTGGCTTCGGACCCTGGCCTTCAGCTCTCCCTAGCCGCTATTGTACTGTACAGCCTACGAGCATACAGTATCTGGACCAAAGAGACGAAATCCCGGTTTCAATTCCACGGCGCGGGGCGGTGGAGTCCTGCTTCAATTATGAGGCGTCTGATTGATTCACAAATGGGCGAATCAACGCTCGTAGTCCTAGGGGTGTTTGAGTGTCAATCAAAGACCTGCTTTCCTAGCTCTGTCGGAAAATGCCCTGATTGCTCAGCTCCAGCTCCAGCTCCATACGGCTGTGTTTGATTGCGCTTTGCATGTGCCTCCGAGATAGATAGTGGTGCGGAGGCGTAAGGAAAAATCCACGCTGTGCCAAGAAAAGGGGGAAGCTGGGAGAGGTACAGCCTGATTTCTTTGGAAGAGGCGTTCTTCTCCCTTGCGCTAGAGCTGCCGTCCTGATGGGCTGATGGTGCGAGATAGTGGAAACGAGTGGCCGAATAAGTGAATACTACAGAGAGAAAGATGCGAGTGTTCACACAGAACGAACTGAGACATCCGGTCTCACTGTGTCGTCCTGAGGACGTCTTGTCTGTTTTGTTTTTTTTTTCCTCCAAAGTTTCCAAGTATAAAGACCTTGTTTCGTCCCAAACGAGCGTTGATGGACAATTGACTCACGAAAAAGAATCTTGATCGCCATTATTGTCACCACGCCTTTGCCTTTAGCAGCATCCTATTCTCCCTTTATACCAATCTCCTCCTCTTTTCGCTTTTCGCTATCATTGTATCATACTTCGTTGACTTCTTTCGTCGGTCCTCGCATCGTCTCCATACATCCTCTATTCTTCGACTACTCAGTTGAAATATGTGCGTCTGCCTCTCGCCTCCTCTCGTCTGCCTCTCGCCTATCATATATACTAAGCTCGTTTCAGTTACTAGCCTCCTCGAATCAATCAAAAGAACAATACCAACAAGTTAACCCGCCGATCAGTCAAAATGTCTTCTAGCTCAAACGGTCTCGTTGCTCCCATCAAGGGAGAGCACGCAATAGCTGCAAATCTAAATTGCTTCTACTGCAATAACCTGCAGTTCGTCCTCAACTTGAAAGCGCCACACAGGAGAAAGCCCCTCACCGCCTACAGGATGCAAACCCGGGGGAATCCCGATGATTACTTCGTTATCGTTCCTACTCGATATCTTCTCCGCGATGGCTGGAGCCCCAGAAATGACCAGGGGCTTCAAGACTGCCGGTATTGCCAGTTCCTTCATGACACTCTCAACCTCTTCTTTGTAGGGCCCTCTATGAACTGGATTAAAGATTCCATGTACGGATGGGATGGCCTTATTATGGCTCACGTCAGAAAAGGCTTTCCGCTTGTTCTTCACTGCCAAGAAGCCATCAGGCGTGACTGCAGATGGATCAACCTGCGAGCGGAAATCGAAGTCTTCTGTCACGACCGGAGCGCACTATCAACCTGTGACTTCCCCAGCATGTATCTGGCGCTGCCAGAGCAGGAAGAAATTGTGGATGACAGAGCATTCAAGAGCTTTATGAGTTTGAACGCACAAAACTGTCGGGTTGCCCCCAACCACATGGGCGGTGATTATGTCATTCCCAATAAACTGCTTCACATCAACTGGAACGCCCGGGAGATCAAGCTGCAGCACTCGCCCCAAGGGCCTCCAGGGGCGCCAGGGGCGCCAGAAATGGTGTCGTATGCGACTCTGAGTCATTGTTGGTCAGAGACCGATCCAAAATTCCCAAGGCTTCTGAAGTCCAATATGCGGAACTGGTTGGCCGGCATCCGTATTGATGACCTGCCACCGGCCATTCATGATGCCGTCGAAGTTGCGCACAGGAACAACGTTCACTATCTCTGGATAGAATCATTGTGCGTAACGCAGGACGATGATATGGATGTTCAGGTGCAAAGGCCGTATATTGGTGGTTATTTCAGAGACTCCGCCGTTACTATTGTGGCGGCTTCTTCAGCTTCGCCCAAAGACTCGTTCTTATTCCCTCTTAGAAAGGATTGGATCACAAAGCAGATTGAATTCATAGCCCCTTCTGGTGGCACTGCCACCATCAACCTACGCAGGAGATATTCCCGCCAACTCTCTCCTCTCGACGCCATCGATGAATCGTCGCACAAATCTGAGCACTATTCCTTCCGGAGAACCGGACCACTCTACCGTCAACAGCGCTGCTACCAGGAAGCCCTCCTAGGAACAAGAGTCGTCACGTTTACGTCGGCTGCAATCGATGTAAACTGCCGGCGGCATAACCAGTGTACAGGAGGTGGCTTCACTCCCGGGAATCAGAGGATGAATGTCTTTGGCGGCTTGGTGTGTGCATACGATGACCCAGCACTTTACAAAAAACGTCTTGCCAAACGTGCTGAGACCAATCCTTTTGATAGCATGCTATACACGGGTCAAAGGCGAGAGGATACTGCCATGTGGCTCCAGGCTGTGATGCAGTATACTGCGCGCGACATGACCGTCAGCCCCAAAGACAAGTTATCTGGCATCGCTGGGCTGGCCAGCATGACCTCGATGTGTCGGCAGAAAACCCAGTATCTTTCAGGCCTTTGGATGAGCAATCTGCATGAAGGGCTTGTTTGGGAGGTAAGATTGCGTCCGGGACAGGCAAGTGCCACCAGAATCACGTTTCCGTTCAAGAATCAAAAGGCGCCGAGTTTCTCCTGGGCCTCTGTCGATGCTGGGGTTCATTACCCGGAGCCGTGGAACGGGTACTTCGTGCCCGATGCCACAATAAAAGCAACTTGCGCCTTGAACGACATTCAAGACCCTTTCAATGACGTTGAGGGGGGTTATCTCAAGCTGCGAGGCCGCGTTATGAGATGCGAAGTTAGCCAGACGCTCTCGGGTCCCACCGTCGGAGCAAAGGGCAAGTTGAGCGTTGCCCATTTTAGCATGGAGGAAAAAGAAGATGGCGTCAAAATCGTCAAGACAAAACACGTCCCTTTTGTCGCCGACGGCTCGCTCCTCATGGTTAAGAATCGAAAATGGAGTCGAGAGCACTCACGCAAGGAGGCAGCTTGTTCAAACTGTGTCTGTCGCATGACCGAGGAGCGCAAGCTGGTATCCGAACCAATCTCCTGTGCCTGGCGCAGTGTTCCCTACTTGACTCGCAACCACTGCGGATTTCGCAAAAAGGAGCCAAAACATGGTCAGAAAAAGATTTCTGGGACCGCCTACGTATTGTGTCTTGGATGGAGGACGAGAATGGACCTCGGCCTTGATTTTGCTCGCCACGAGCATAGGTCTTTTGAGGGGCTGGTGGTGACGCCTTCACTGCGGTATCCGGGAGCTTATGAGCGCATTGGTTGCATCAGAAACATTCCCGCGGCGGCATATAAAAAGTGCGAGCAATTGACTATTACTATGGTGTGAATTTGATGATTATATTCCTCTTGCAGGGCCTCTTTTGTATGGGAGTTGGGCGTTGCTGGGCAGCGTTTGGGTTTTCTTTTATCTTCAAATTTTTTCTTTCTTTCTTCTTGGCGTTTGGCGTCCGAAGTGCTTGGCGTCTGGCGAATTGTGGTCGATTATTCCATATTTCTTTTCTTGATAACACAAAAGGTGTCTGCTCAGCTTCGTTTGGACAACGCCCTGAGCGTCAGGGCGTTGGTCTGGATTTTGAAGGATTTCTTACATCCAGCCATCGCTGGGCATGCTCTTATAAAGGTATAACCTGTACTGTCTCCTTGTTTCTTTTTTCGACCTTGCATTTTCCGATATATATTCTTCTTTTCATGATTTCTTGCAATATTATAGAGAAGAAAAAAACTCGCAAAGCAGAAAATTTAATAAGAAATTATTTATTTGAACATCTTGTTCGCTTCGGCCATTTCCAACACAGTGTAAGATATTGACGGGTACTTGACATGTCGTTTATTTTGCTAGATACTACTGCTAAGCAGGTGCTATTTACAATCGGCTGTACTCGGAAAGAGCCTCCGCTCACTTGCCACTTGTATCTCTTCTCACTTCAGTTGTCAGAGTAAACCTCCCAATCCCGTCTTTCTCCATCCATCTCTTATTTTGTCTTCACCTGTCATCCCTCCTCTTGATATCATGTACCGTTACTCTTTTTTTTTATATACACATATGTGCTCTCTTTGTTCGTATATACTTAATTTTGCTTCATCGTTCTGGACATCATCGGTCAAAGCATCTAGTTGTTAGACGTGGGAACCACGCCGGTCAGGCCAAAGCCGAGGTACAAGGATCCAATGTCGGTCAGGCGGCCCGCGTTGTTCAAAAAGGTGGCGTTTGGTCCGACGTTGCTAACGTTGGATCGGAAGGCGCCAAAGTAGCTGTAGCGCTCGAGAGAGCTGAGGCCGTCCATGTAGCTGGCGCTCTGGTTGAAGAATTGCTGCGTGGTGGCGAGGTCTTGGTTGGGGTCGGCGTATTCGGTCACCCAGATTTTCTTGCCGGGAAATCTAATGTCAGGTAAGCTACAAGTCATTTCATGATACCGGCATGGTGAACTTACGCAGTGGCATATTGGTTAATGTGGCTTTGCAGTCCTCCCAAGTTGTCATACCAATGCAAAGGGATGAAGTCGTATGGGCACTGCGTTTTGAGGATACTGGTGCAGTTTGCGAGGAACTGCTCCGTCCAGTCGAATCCAGTCGGAGCACCGGTCACAGCAGGGATACCCAATTTGACGCCGAGCTTCTGCAGAGGAACAAAGTTGGCGATCCAAGCCAGAGCGGCGTTGGCGGGCGTAACATTACTACCGCCCCAAGCAGAAGGGGCATCGGGTTCGTTAAAAGACAACACATGAGAGATGGGCGTGCCGGAGTTGATCAAGTTGACGACGCTGTCGTGGAAAGCAGTGTCCTGAGAAGGGTTCGATCCAACTCCCCACATCATGGGCACAAACTCGAATTTGGACTGCGGGATGTGTGCATAATCCGAGCTGGGCAAGTTGCCATAGTTGTAGTACCAGGTAAGGTCTGAGCCTGTCTGAACCCAGATGGAGTTGTCCTGGAGAGTGGTCGAGTTGGGGATGAAGATGAGACCGCGCTTGGCCGAAGAGGTGGCGGATACAAGAGGCGAGAGCAGTGCACCAGCACCGATGAGGTATTTGTTAACCATTGCGAATAGTTATACGGTTATCCAAACAACAACAAGTCCAAGACAAAGAATATGAGACAGATTAAAGAGGTTTCGAGAAGAGACCAGAGGGTACAATAGACAAGAGACAAGAGACAGGGAAACTCTGCTGAGACGAAAGCAAGGACTTCGAATGATACTAGTTGGGTTCATGGTGGGCTTATATATCCGCTGAACGCTCATTATATTCTAACAAGAAACATCATAGACAGCCCCCTGGTCTCCCCGACGATTACGATAGCCGGACCGCGATCCTGGCTATTGCGAAGGAGTTCATGGTTGCCAACCCTACCAACGGCTCAGGGCCTCCCAGCAATGGCGGCAGCGCATGTCATACTATCGGGCCGAGTATTCGAGAGATGGGCCATCCCGCACCGGCATGGTCTCTGCATCTACGATTCATCTCATGGTGTTGCAATCCCGGGGCCGAGACTCCCCGACACGATCCGCTACATATATAGGCAAATTGAGCTTTATATGATCCTGAGCTGCACTTGACACTGCAAGTTGGCACACAGCCATTTTAGGGCCGAAATACGCAAATGGGGAGCAGTCTGCCAAAGGAAAAGTATGCATATGGATTCGGCCCTTAAATTGGCAGGCTCGCTTTCAAGCTTCCAACTCAAGGTTAGTATAGCTTCGTTGACAGGTCCGGGGTGTGTAAGAGACAAGCGCGAGCGAGTGGAACCAAGCAAGTGCCGTTTGTTGACATGTCTCCGTTTACACGGGAGGTAGTATCTACGTTGCGAGTGCTTATGTGTGGAAGCACATACTTGTTAAAGGCATTGCTGAGTATCCAACGCCCATCCATTCACATCTTGGCAGGCACAGAGAACGAACAATAGCCAGCAACTGAATGCATGCCGTATGCAAATGAGAGGATATAAGCTGATGGATGCTAGTTGCGGCTCGGGGTTAATTACGGGCCTCATTAAACCAAGGACAGGGACGAACGATCTCAGCGGTGTTTCTTCTCACGCAAGCATCCAGCATTTGCGCACGCTCTCTCCAATGCAACGCTTTTGTTGGGTCCAATACAATGCCATTGAGAGAGAATCTACTGCTGTTTGCTATCATGACCTATTACAAGTAACTTAGTTAGTACCGGCCATTGACTCGGTACGAATCGCAACCCTGCAACGAAGCGGAACGATCCCCCGCATCTGCCCGGCATATGTGAATCCAGAGAGCCCACTTTGCGGGGATGTTGGAATGAATCCTTGCCAAGGATGAAGCGCTGCAAATTTATTAAATGAAAGCTTTTGCCAGATTCCAGGTGTGGCGCATTTCGATCGTTGGTGGATTTATATGCTGGCTCAAATCTACTAGTAGTTGGGAGTCAACAGCGATGGTGCTATCATACGGAGGACCATGGCCGCTATCGATTGCTTCGTTTCTAAAGAGCATCCATTGCAGCCCAACCAACTTTTCCAGCATACCATCTCTATGCAATACGAAGAGCTCGGCATACTCATCTTTTACACTACAAAGAAAGAGCGCAGGAAGATGCGAAACACGATAAAGAACTGCCTAGACCCAGGTTATCTCCCACTTCATACTTCATATAGCTTCATCAATCTTCACTTGGCTGGTAGGGCTGGCTACCCTATAGAGAGCAGCGACGCCCCCCTTTTTTTTTTCTCGTCTCTCGGCTGGTGACAGCCCGAATCGACGCAACTTGCGAGCTACCTATGCATGTGATTTATTACTGCTGACGAGGGGAAAAGGGGGGAAATGCAAATGATTCACGTCGAGTGAAAGAAGATGCATATCGAGCTGACAACTCAACATTGCGGCTCATTGAGTATCTACTAAAGTACCTACCTAGGTACACAACAAAGAGTCACCAACTACAGTAGTAGTACACACAAACAGATCGCGACCAGCACTGTTCCCATGTTTGCTTGCATTCTGGATGCTTTGTACCTTACTCCATATCGTCTCGTCGAGTAATTAGGCGTTTACCAGCACTTCTACACACACTGATATACCAAGGCGCTTCTCCTTTTCTCCAAGCCATGCCAGCTCAACCTGAAGCTAGGCGAAGCAGCCGTTGCGGGAGGCCCGACCAGCCCAGCCCAGCCCAGCCCAGCCCAGCCCGACTCAAGTCGCTGCATCTGCAGGGTGGCGGCAGCGCCTCCAAAACATTGGCCGCTGAGCTGGCGGACAGTGCGACATGGCGGTGTGTCTGTGATCTGTGACTGATCTGTGACTGATCTGTGACTGCTCTGCTCAACTGCTGCAGGTACTTTGACGAAAATACGTGCGTGTGGCTGGGTGATGGCGAGTGAGAGGTGGCAAGTACAGTCTATGAGTTACTGCTATCCGTACTACTAGTATACTGTGCAATGCCCGTCACATCTGCTCATCTTGCACAGTGCCAGTAATACAGACACACAGAGCAGCGCCTCGTTTCCAACGCCTTCTCTCCCACCGCCTTGATCGCCCGCTGGGTGGGGCAGCGCCGTCTTCCTCCTCTGGCGGTACCTGCCCCTTCGCCGCAGCTACCCGCCAAGCCCCAAGTACCCTCTCTCGCTGCTCCCTTCCCTCTCGCCCCCCACCTTTTTTGCGCCCACCTTCTTGCGCATTCAAACCTTGAACCAATCTTTTCCCTTCAGACTCTCCCCCCTTTTGCCTCTTCAACAATCTCCAGTCTCAGCTCACCTGACGCGAATCTTCGTTCTTTCATCATCCGTCACGCCAGCCCAAGACTCAAGCCGCCTTTCCCATAACCGCCTCCCAAGCCTCCGAGCCGCCGGCCACCAGCTACAAAAACCCTTCACAACCCCGCCGAGTCTTTCTCCCGCCAAAACACCTCAACCAGATCGTCGCCTTTTCGCAGCCGCCGGTCCAAACCCTCTCCTCTCACCCAAACACCTTTTTCCCACGAGACACCCCGGAACATCCGAGTTTATGTCCATCGAAAATCTCAAGACCTTCGGTACGTTGCGTCGATACCCGTTGAACTTTTTCCATTCCCTCTTCCGCTGGGGGACTGTTTTCAGTCGTGTGAGGCGCGCCCGCGAACGGGACGGGCCCCACGTCTGAGCAGCGCCAGCCTTTGCATCTCTTACTCACACTCTCACTATGACGTGTTTCGCCTTTTGACATCTGACTGACCGATGCGTGTTTCCTCATTACAGACCCCTTCGCCGAAGCCGACGACGACACCGGTGATACCAAAAAGGTCGAGAATCACATCCATATCCGTATTCAACGTAGGTTTTTTTTTTTTGCTCCCCCTCTCTCCAGCCCCCATGAATTCCATCGCATCGCTTGTCGCGCGCTCGCGATAGGCCAGCGATGAATCCAAATAATATTCTTTGATCATCCAGAAACATTTTACTAATGCTTTTGTCACAGAGCGCAATGGTCGCAAGTCTCTGACCACTGTCACTGGTCTTCCTGCTAAGTTCGATCCCGGCAAGATTCTGACCTTCTTCAGGAAGGAATTCGGTATGTCGAGTCTCCACAACACCACATTTGACCGTATCCAACTGACTCGTTTTCCCCTCTGCAGCTTGCAATGGCAACAAGGTCAATGACGAAAAGGCTGGCGAGGTGATCCAGCTTCAAGGTGACCAACGCAAGAAGGTCATGGATTTCCTCGTTGACAAGAAGGCCGGTCTCGGTCTCAACCCCGATAACATCACCGTTCACGGTGCTTAAATCGTCCTCTTGGCGCCGCCGTCCCCGCCACCCTTCCAGCGACATGGCTTCACAGCATGCTGGTGATGAGTGTGTCGGAATGAGGCTGTTCGAGCAGCTTGTGCATACATCTTGCATAGGCTCGCTTACTGCCACTACCTTCATTATCTAGCCGATATCGCTATGTGTCCAATTTGCTATCTGGTCTCTAGTGATCTCATACGATAAAAACCTCAACCCCCCGGGCATAAACCACCTGTGTGCGGGTAGCAGCGTCTTTGGAAGGTCTGGCCGGTCGGATGCAATAGAGGATAGGGTTAGAGTGAGAGCTTTTATGCTTATTGGCTTTATTTATGCACCCGGATCTGCTGTGCAGCAGCGCAGCAGTTTTACGAATGATCAATATTTTTTTTTTGTTTGCAGTTTGACATCAAGTTTGATGCTGATGATTGGGGAGGGAAAGATGCGCTGAATCTGAAGTTTGATTGTAGGCCTTGAGACTGGTTCCTGTTTATAGGCTACTAGGTATCTCGTTACTTGGCCATTGCGTTTTCCTTTTCAGTTGCAGTCTTGGTTGTTGAACGGGCCTAGCCGTAGTCTAGGGCACATAGAAAATATAATACCAACCACGCGTGGTGCGACGAATTTTGGTGGCACATGTTGATATACGATGATGTGAAGTGTTTATGTAACATATTGTCGAAGAAAAATCTAAAGACAGAGAAGAGCAAACAGAAGAGCAGCTTTTCCCTTGACGCCTTGTAGTGTGGTGATGTAAAGCAGAAACATGGTAATCAAGGCGGCAATAGCGATTATACAAACCCCTGTCTAATCAAACATATACGCCTCCCAAGCACTCCCGACGCCTATATAGCCAAACCAAACCCAAAAGCCAAGGAACGCGGAAATAATACACCTCTATCTGATGAAAAGAGCAAACTCAACTGAAAGCCGTTGAAACAAGTTGGTGGTATATCCGCCTCAAAGTCCACAATAATCAAAACATTTCGTGTCGTATCATTCGTTTTTTGCTCCTCTTTCTCCTTTTACTTTCTTTCTCTGTTTCCTCCCACTTCCCCTCTCTTCCCTCTTTTTTCTCTCGTAGTACCTTGGGCGTCTTATATGGGCTATGTGTGGCCTTTTATCGCTCGGCGTATTCGTGAATCAGAGCCTTCGCATGGGCTATCAAGTGTTTGCCCTCTTCCCAAAGGTGGCTGCCTTTCGACACCACGGGCATGATGGGGTAATCGCTTTGGTAGGTCTGCATGTGGGCCAGCAGCACAATCATGGTGATGTAACTGGCTATGGAGAAGACATTGACCGATGTCGACGTCTCCTTTCGGATATTGATCTTTTGGTGCGTTACGTGATAGCATATGGTAAGCGTCTGTGGGGGGCAAATGGTCAACGTCGCGCACTTGTTCATGGGCTCTTGGAAGGTCCATACTGTGGCTATGCTGACCCAGCCAGGGAGCAGCAGCCGTGGGTCTTGGAATCCGCCAGTCAGGGACAGCGCCGTGAGGGTGAGGTAGGCATTGACGGCATTGATGGATAGGAGGCGCACTATGGTGGCCTGAGGAGTATAGTGGATGAGCCTAGAGAGTTCAAAATCCAATGTCAGCCAACTTTGACAGGTTGAATGCAAGAGTGAAAGGAAAAGGGGGGTCCAAAGGGAGAGGACTAGATTCTGCGCATATTTACCATCGAGACATGAGACAGTCGGTGAAGAAGAAGGCCAGGTAGCCGCAGGCGAAGCACTAGAATATCCCAAAAAAATCTTCAATTAATTTCCTGCATCCCAAATAGCTTCTTGTTTCTCGTGCATAGTCCAAGTACGCACCCAAATAGTAGCCAAGGCCGTCTCGGTAATGGCATAAGGAGCCGCCGCCATCATAGCTGCTGTCCCGCTGCCATGTTGTTCTCCAGCGCACAAAGACGAGAGAGCAGACGCCTGCAGAGGGTCATGGCCGCTGGGATCGCAGCTCCCGCTCAGCGGCCTCACGAGCTGAAATTGGTCCGGTGGCCCTGGCAAGAAGTGTATCAACAATCGTAATAGCGACGGCAACCCCCACCACAGAGCCGGTAGGACAGAGGCTAGGCGCAAGGCAAAGAGCCATGGATGCCACGGTTTCGGGACGTTTAGGACGACGGCGACGCGGGGCTGAAGCATGGACGGCATAGGAGGCGTGGGCATGGACGACGACGAGGCTGAGGATAAGGCTGAGGCCGAGGCTGCTGTAGCGGCAGCATTACCGGCGGCGGCTGAGTCGGGAGAGGCCGAGGCCGAAGAGGTCGTCTTTTCGGCGGAAAGGTTGGAGGTTGAGCGAAAGCGCCGTCGTATAATCGAAGGGGGCTGAGACTGGGTTCGAGCTGGAGGAGGAGCGCATGATGACGGGTCGCCTGTCGACAAGGCCGTCGACGAGCGAGCTTGCGGATGAGCAGAAGCTGCGGAGAGAGAAGAGAGCGGCGCGACAGCGGGAGCGGTGGACGAGCCCTCGTAGGGCGGAGGGGTCGTCGCCGTCGCCATTCGAAGGAGCTGTGATTTATGCCATGGGTTGGCCGGAAGGGGAAACGACGGTTCTGGGCGAGAGCCTTTTCTGTCCTTTTTGGTTCTTTGTGTTCGTAAGCAAAAAAAGCTGCTGAGTGGAGAGCAAAGTTGTGTGTCCTGCTCGAGGTCAATTCGCAAACAAGAGGGGAGTAAAAAACTGAAAATATTATGGAGAAGAGTAGGTATTCGCAATTCCACAAAGAAGCCAAGAGCTTATGCTATGCAAGAAGAGGAGATGCTATTATGGACCAGAGCTTGGAAATATTAATAGAACCTCCCCCCCCATAGGTCTCGACTTAGTGGAGCGAGCGGGTTCTGGCGAGGGTCGGCTCGGTTGATGCAATTGCGGCGACTAGTACTTGTAGGTGCTGCTTGCTGTAAATTGCACCTAGCACTGATGAAGATGTCTTGCGTGAAATTACCCAGACACTCGTTGATAAATATGCTCAATGGTTGGGGAGTTCAACTTCATTTTTTTTCCTTTAGCAGGCTGGATTAGGCAAGACTGGCGAAGGGCACCTGCTTCTTTTTGCTGCATGCAACTGTAGCTGCAGTTGCAATGGCCTGTAAAAAATGGCAACTGCAAGGCACAGGGACAAGGACGGCCCAGCCAATTGTTGCCAACATCAACGTGCCTGGAAACCAGTGACGTGGGAGTTGCACCTGCTCGCGTGCCTCTTTTGCCGCTCCAGCCATAAAAGGAAATTACCAATCTACTTACTACCTACAGGTATTTCACGACCTGCTTTCAATATGCACGTTTCTGTAAAACAAGACAGAGAAGACGAAATTTCTTATTGTGCTATCAACTTGAATCCCATTCTTCATTTTATCTCGACTCATCCCCTTTCCTACTTCCCGTCAAATGGTGCGATACATGGGTTATATACTAGTAGTACAAGGTACCTATCCAATAACACAATAGAGCGGTAATTGCAAAGTATCGCTGGTATACGTCGAATTGACAAGAGACTGCATACAAATGCACACTTCTTGAATAGCCGTGCCGAAAAATATACAAGTATAGATTTGGCTCTTGCGAGTTCAACCAGCACGTGTGTATAGCAGCTCAAAAGAACTTGCCGGCAACCGGGGCATGGACCTCAGTCACGAGCTGAGCATCATCCTCCTCAGCCTCGGCATCGGCAATCGGGCGATCAAGAGCATCGAATCGCTCTCCGCGCGACTTGGCCCGAACAAACTGCACGGATAGCCTCACCACCAAGGCGATAAAGCCCCAGATGATACCACCCACAGGGGCGGCCACGAAGGCTCCGAAAGCACCCCAATCTCCAGCGTAGAGGCCCTGCTCGAGTAAGATGAGTTCGCCGCCGCTCTTAGCATCGCCGTAGTAGATGGTGCCGTAAATGAACACGGTCAGGATGCCACCCAGGCCTCCCACCACGACTTCGAACCCGCGCCACCAGTAGAAGCCATCGATCAAGCCAAGACAAAGCGGGGGAATGGTTGCCGCCGAGGCAAGATCGCTGATGAGGAAGATTTGGAGGATAGACGGCGCCTTGAGGGCAATCACCACCGTGGGAATGATGATAAGCACAACTAGTACTCGGATGATCCAGATGTTCAGGCGGTTGCGGAACAAGTCGTTGGACGCAGACGAAATCATAGCCGACTGCAAGCTGTCGAATGCGGAGACGCTCAAGCTGACCACCATGACTAACACGATGCCCACCACCCACTTCGGTAGCTGCTCGAGCAACGCAAAGAAGGCGAGCGAGCCATCAATGTCCGATTCTCCAGGCCAGGCACCCGTCCACGCCGCGATGAGGCCTGTGGCGCCAACCAAGGTGAGGATGCACAGGACTGCTACAGTCGCAACCGAAACGCCGATCCACAGGTCCTTGTCCGTCTTGGATGAAAAGGTACGCAGCCAAAAATTGGACAAGAAGAAGTCGTTTGTCAGGACGGCAACAGGGAGGATGTACACCAGCTGCCATCCCACGAGGCTGGCCTTGGTGAGCCCCGATGAATCGATGAGATCACGGTCAATTTCGGCTTTGACTCCGATGGTAATGGTGGCGATGATGATGAGCCCGACGACCATGGCTCCTTGAATGACGTCTGTCAAGAAGGAAATTCGGAACCCACCGAGAGCTTGTGTAGGCCGCTCATGTTAGCCATGGCCACCCATACAACTTATTTTTCATACCACAATTATTGCTCTCAACTTACAGGTATAAATGGTCGTGACCACACATTCCACAATGATAACTGGGAGTCCGTCAAGGCCTGTTAGAGCATTGACCACTTGTCCGACGGCTGAAAGCTCGGCAACCATGTAGAGGAACAAGGTAACCAGAGTCATAAAGCTCAGGTATAGCATAGCAACCGTGCCATATCGTTCACGTGTCCACTCAGTCAAGACGAAGCCATCTGGGCACTTGCGACGGAGTATGGGACCCAGAGCGGCAAAGATGAGCAAAGGCAGCGCCGATGCCAAGGCGTAAACCACAACGCCCTGGACACCCGCAATGGTTGCGAGTTGCGGGTACGAAAACAGGATACCGGATCCCAGGGCTATACAGGTCAGCAAAACACAACCCGACAAAAAGGGGGATAGGGCCAAGGAAAGGGGATCTGGAGCGGCAGCACGTTTCCCACGCAAGCATTAACTTGATCGAGTATTCACGGTACAATCTCAGCTTCGTTGCCACAGCCGCGCGACATCTCCCGCAAGAACAGAGTAAACGAGATCTCATTTCATAAAGAGAATGAGAGCTAGTTTTTTCTGACTGGGGTTGGATCTCGCAAAGCTGCTTCAACTCGGCGCCCGTAGTGAGCCGCATCCTCTCCCCCCCTCTTGGTCCCCAACGATGGACATCTTTTGAATTCTCTGGTTCTCTTTTCCTCTCCTTTCTTCTTCTATTGTTTCCGCCCCCAATACCCGTAAATGACTTTGGTTAGTAGTAGAGAGCGAGATGCACATCGCAGGGGAGAGAGGGGAAGAGGGACGAAGATTGCTTTTGAGGGTTACGAACCTATTCAGTCTACCAGTCGAGGTAGGCAGGCAGGCATGCATAATTCTGCGATCTGTCTTGGCGAAGAAGATTGCGCTTTCGCATCCATGCCTCTTAAATGCGCAGGCGCACACGACATGGAACGCTTGAACAATTGCCATAGCTGAACGTTACTGCTACCGCTCCACAGACATCCTAGTCCGTCTGTCTGAGACAATTCACCGAGCCAAGATTGTTCTTGCGCACGACTCACCCGAGGCGATGAAGTTGAAAGCCAGAGGCCAGGCTGCGGGAAACATGGACAAGTTAGTTTGACCGTGCACAAGACCGGGTTTGCATGAGCCATGGAAAGGGGAAAAGCGCGCCAAGGCGCCATCTGTTTGTTTCTGACCAGTCTGTGTCCTGTTGCCGGCGAGAAAGTCCGTGTTGGGCTGCTTTCTCATCCTCCAGGCGATGCCTGTGCCCATGACTCTAGAATTCTCATGTTAGCCAAACTACACGGACATTTTGATAAAAATATTTTGTTTGTTTGCTGTTCTAGCCGCAAGCTTGAGGTTTACGCACAGGAAGAAGCCATAGGTAACGTAGATGATCGCGTTGGACGCGGCAAATGACGGTTGGCCCATTTTGGAGTATGGTTCTCGCTGTTTTTTTCAGTGCCCACGCGGGTTATTGTGCTTTGAACGAGGATAAATCAGTAAAATCCGGATGCGAAAAGCTGCAGCCGGGCTCGAGATTTGATTTGGCGCTCGCACTCTGCGGAGATGTCGAATTAATGCTGAGAAGAGTAGTGAGATTGCTGCTGGTAGTAGGGAAAAATTCTGCGCGCTTCAGGACTTCATCCATCTTAGGTTTAGTGTGAATCGCTAGTTGTACAAACTTACCTAGGTACTGCAGTACCTACTACTAGTAGTAGTAGTACATACTACCTACGCGCGCGGGGGGTGTTTCTGGTCATCGCTCTTCCCTCTGGTAACGCCCATGAAAGGCACTAAAAGATCATGTTTCCTAAGCCTTTCGAAAGGCACTGGAAAGAGTTGCTATGCCTTTCATGGTTGTACCAGAGATGAAAATCCTGTAGTATCCATGTTCAAAAACACCCCTCGCGCGCGTACCTAGGTAGGTAATTTGATGATCTGGCTGTGGGTTTGAACAGTTTGAAAAGTAGACTGAGCTGGCAGTATAGAACACTGAACTCTAGCTTCTCAGTACCTAGCAGTATGAAGTTGTTTACAGGCTGTAGAAGAAAAAGAAATATCTCAATAAATGAAGTAACAAAGTTTTTACATGAATAACCTAATGACTACCTAATTGGCAATTCTTGATTGAGCCTAGCAGATTCAAGGAAAGCCCCTCCCTTGGCTCTTTCGGCCATAGAAAACTACCTGATAAAGAGAACAAGTTCCAGGAGCTTGTAATGTTTCTTCAAGTGGAAAGAGGGATTGCCCACCTTCGAGACGTTATGATGCCTTTTCGTTCTCTAGGGTGATGTATTACGGTTGCTTTTGATATTGCGAGGCTTCTCTCCTGTGTGTTTCATATGCAGAAAGAAGGATGAAACGTTGGTAGTCCACACAACTTCTGACCAGTCAATTCGCACGCATTTTAACGTGCTTCATCCTTGTCTTTTGGCTTTGGCGACATGCCGTACAACTCCTTCTGAGATTCATTCTGCCCATTATTGATGATCTGAGGCGATACACGAAGACGGGTGGGTGTCTCCAACGGAGCGGTTGGGAAATGTTGCATCATCGGATACATGGTATACATGTCAGAATAGGGCGCTGGAGAATAGTATGCATGCCCAAAGGAGTTGTAGAGGGCAGGGCCGCCCTGTGGCGTCATGTGGTTTGCCATGAATGGTGGGATTGGATGGAACCCATAAGGAGAGTAAGGGTAAGGCGGAATAATGGGATAGAAGCAAGACGTCGTTGGCTCAATACCCTGCTCATGAGGAGTTTTGGCATCAGGGCATGATGGAGATATGGTAGGGGTTTCCATATCCCTCTTGACTTTAGTCTCCTCGCTGACTGAGTGGCCATGCTTGCGATCAAAAGAAGGCTCTTTTTCTTTGCCCTGATAGCCGTCGTCCACATATTGTTCCGACTTCTTGGGGGTGAGTACTATTGTGGAGGTGGGCTTCAATCCTTCTGGACTGTATTTACCCATAGTACCAGAAGTAAAGCTCTCTCTTTCCATTGCAACACCCTTCATGTTGTTGCTCTTCGCTGCTCTGTCAGATTCAATAACTTTACCATGGCCAGAAGCTGGTATCTGACAATCCAACCCATGAGAGGAGGACCTCGCTAGAAACTCGGCTAGAATTGCTGGGATTTCCTCACTGGCGGCGGTGCTTGTAGCGGTGGGCTGTAAAGATTCTTTAGCACTCGTTTGAGAGGCTTGATGAGCTTCAATATGCACCGCGTTAAGAGGCGCCATAGCATCCTGTTGTTGCTCGAATGTAGATGTGGGGAAATCTTGTGCTGAAATCGGTGAGACAGGAGGTTTGAAAACATCAGCATTCATGATTCGGTTGGCATTGCTGCTGCGATTGCCTCTTCTACTGCCGTGCCAGGTGGACGGTATGGTAACCGAGTATCCTCGCTGAGCATTATTGGCAGCATAGGAGAACCCGTTGATTGTCCGAGTGCGTTTTCTCTCAACCTTAACAACGTGCTCATCAATCGGTTTTCGGTGCTGTCCGACACTGTCAGTAAAATGTTCTTCTTCCTGTCTCTCTCATATTTTTCCTAGATACAACTCACATAGCTCATAATAGCGTTGTCGACCGAATCAGGACGCGTAAACTCTACAAAACCAAAGCACGTCGTGATAGCTGGGTTATCATCATCAGTTACTTTCGTGCTCAGGGGAAGTGAGTAAGGATGTCTGCTTACTTTTGCCTCCTGTTTGAGGAACTTCTTTTGTCGCTAATTCAGCGCAAATCACTTTACCACATGAGCTAGCGAGCGACTTCAAACCATCTGAAGTCATAGTCAAGGGCAGGTTGCCAAAATATGCCGAGCGGCGATCTTTCTCGTACTGAGCAAAATTTTGCTCATCGCCTCTTTTATTATGTTGGCGAGTTCCAGTTTTAGGGTCGTACGCATCGACGCAAAAGACGGGATGTCCTTCCAAAGTCTATAAACGTGGTCAACTGTGTTGGTTTTCTCCAGCTTATAAAAGGCAAGAAAAAGAAGCGACAAAAAATGGAAACCTGGGGTGCGGCATACCTTTACTACTGATCGCAAGGAATCATAGCGCTTGTAATGAACCACCATGGCAGGCGGAAGCTTCTCCGTCTTCTGGCTACGAGAGCCCAGAGGATACACCTTGGCTATTGTTCCCAATTCACTGAGCAAGTCGTAAGCTTCTTGTCTACTGATATCCTCCCCAGAGAGTTTGTAGACAACAAAGCATGCTGTCAAGAATGAGTATTAGTTTCACATAACAAAAGCAAGACGAAGTGGAATGATAAACTCACAGTGGGCTGTGGCCTTTTCAACACGACATGGGCGGCCTAGGATCATTGCTCCGCTTCCGTATTTTTCAGCATTTTCAGCATCCGCATCGCTCTGGAATCGAGTCAGCAGATCCTTTTTCTCATAAGTGCTTAATTCTTTATGGATGGCTTCCGCTTACCGTAAATTGACAAAAAGCAAAGGGCATCTGGCGGCCGTCCCGTCGGATTTTGACGAAGACGGTTCCAAATTGCGAGAAGTACTTTGTGACTTCGACCTCCAGTTTTCCATCGTCAAAATTTTGACTCAGACTAGGTAGAGTGCATTCCCGGTTAATAAATGCAAGGCGTCGGATGTTTAGCATTTACCGGGCAAACAGAACTTACTTGGCGACAAATACGCAGGCCGACGATGGATAAATGTTCTGTGCGTCGGTTTGAAGCGGCTCACGGGGAACCAGAGCCCAGCTGGTGTCTCTTTGTGTGGACTGTTTGCCGCTTTCAATGGACCTGTCTTCAGCACCGCTTCCATACTCCTTTGGAGTAGATTCTCCGTATCCTAGCTCAGGCGCTGGCTGATCAATAAACACGTCGTCTCCGCTGGCATCACCAATCTGGAATGCAAGCGAGCTGGATAGAGAATGTTTTAGTAAGGAAGATATTTAAGTGGTGGAGATGGAGATGGACATGGAGATAGACACATACCTTTCACGCTCAAGATATCTTTGGGTTTGCAAAGCCAGGTTGTTGGACGAAGCTGGTCGCCTGGGGCTTGGAATCATCAGCTACACGCAAAAGCAATTTTCTTGGATGGAAGTAGCTTACGCAGTTTTATCGTGGCTCGAAAAGGTATCCAAGCCTAGGTATGTAAAATTAGTAAGCTCAAGAGAGCAACGAGCAGGTTTTGAGCTTTGCTCACCTTTAGCGGCAATTTCTTCGTTGGAAGTCATTTGGCGAAGGACATCGAAAGACGAGGCCTTCATCAACGTCTTCTTTGGATAGCGGAGCGAAGAATACGCAGGCATCGTTGTTTATGCTTGAGAACTACTAGTAGCCTTGCTAAGCCGAATTATCGTCAGGACTAGGGAACGAAAGCGAGGCAAACGTGGGGAGAGTAAGAAAGATCATGGAAGAGACGAAGCAGTGAAGAGCAAGAGAAGGTGGAAGTGAAGAGAAGGTGGAAGAAAAACATATGAACAAGACAAGAGACGAAGCAATTACTAGTAGTATGACTTAGTATGACTTACTTGCTAGAAAAGAAGAGAAGCCGATGAGCACCTTGTCATCAGAAGTGTGATGAGAGGCTGCTTTTTCTCCCACGAGAGTAACGAGACTGGGAGCAGATAATTCGAAACTTGGCGAACTTCAGAGAAAAACAAAAGGAAGATGGCTTTGGAAGATTCAGCTAGGAAGATTCCTCGCTTTGGAAATGAACTCAAGCATGGCAGTGCCAGCAGTTGGCAGGGGGCTGGCACAGGGGGCGGAAAACATCAATGCAGGCGGCTGGCAGCAGTTGCGGTGGTGGCACGTTTCTGTGCAGGCAGTGAATACCAAGTTGATAGAGGCCAAGTTGTTTACTAGTAATTGTGTGTATCAGGATAAGTCGTATAGCAAGTCTTGCCTTTGTTTTGCTGGTTTCCCAGCGTTTGTAGGCTGCTTGCCATTTCAACAGGCTTCTGGCTAGGTCGGCAATCTGGTCTGCCTTCTCATCAGCTTGGAGTTCAGAGGTAGATCCAGCAGTAGCTTTGGCGCCCTTCTTCTTTGGCACCACAGGGGTGGAAAGGGCGGGAGTAGGGTCAGTGTTGACAGTGGTGGTGATGATGGTTGTGTAGATAATGTTGTCTTCTTCTGTGGGTTCAGTTTCTACCACTCCGATGCCTTGCATGTGATCCCACACATCAAGAGATTTGGCGGCGCTTTAAGGTAGTTGTGTTTTCCTTGAAGTAGATGCGCTTCAACGGAAGCGAACTCTAGGCTTTTGTCCATATCGAAGATGGAAAGGGTTGGGTGGGAGGTCGTGACCACTCAAAAGAGCAAAATGAAAGCTCCTGAAGTATAAATACTCTCCGGACTCATACCCAGTTGTTTAGTTGTGTGTATTGCGCTAAAGCTAGAGGCCCTAAAGAACAACTAAACTAATCAAGGGAAGAGGCTTAGCCTTTTATTATAAAATAAAGCAATAGTAAATAAACAGTCAGTGAATAAACTAACGAGTGAATGAGGCGGTCAAGTTAATTCACTGGTGCCGGAGGCGGGAGCCTGTATCGGATTCCAGTCACTCATGTCGGATAACAACAGGCCAGTATCCAAGTGCAGAGCAGTGAACCGACGATCAATACCAGGAGCAATTTGCTCGCGTCCTGTCAGCAGAGCTTGAGCTCACCCATGGTGATCATATTATACACAAATACCACCCTTGCAGCGCAGATCTATAGTATACATTATCCTCCTCCCAGCCTTCTTGTACTATACATTTTCTCTCAGTTCTTTTCCATACCATCCGAGTTCGCATCGTTACACATAAAAACGCCCCTTTCACATGGTGAGTGACACACGGCCTACTTAGACGCCGGCTTCCACCCGGCACGCCTAGCCTGCTCTTTATCGATGGCATCTTGCTCCTCTCGAAACGCGTCCAAAGTGGTAGGGGCTGTCGTGCCCCACACCCTCCAAGAGTCCGGTTCAAAGGTGACGGCGCTGACCTGCCTTGAGAGCACCACATATTCCACCTTGTCTTGGATCTTGACACTCCCAGGAATGGTTTCTCCCGTTGATGCATCGTAGCGCGATACTTGCTGCGTGGATGAAATGGCGACCACTGCTTGCTCAGTCATGAGGTTCTTGTCGTACACGTTAATTTGGTGGATCTGATGCGCTATCCGCTTGGGATAGAAGAGCGAGCTATTGTATTTGGTCACTTCGAAGTGAACCCGCTCTCGGGGATTCCGCCGGTCAATGGCCGCCATGAGCTTCTTTGCAAAGTCACTCACGCAGATCCTCTCCAGAGTTGCTTTATCCCCCGCGGCAAAAGCCTCCAGAACCTCCTGGTATAAAGCCTTGGCAGTGGGCGCAATCTTGCCACGGCGAGCCTTCCATTGCGGCCGGGTGGTCCAATTGGGCATGGACTTTAGCTTGAAGTTGAGCAGCGAGACGGTTTCGATAGTCCAATGCCGTAATCTGTTCCATTGATACTGCGCAAAATCGGCAGGAGATAGTGGAAGGCGAGACAGCGGCAGCGATACGAATGTGCCTAATGGTCAAGTGTATACATGTTAGCCACGGCCCATTGGCATTGATTCTGTCTAGGTACTACTGGATATCGTCGCCACAGTAGTATTGAGTTTTGAGACATCTTCCCTGCAGAAGACCACGGGGAAGAGAGAGATGAGTCTGGATGCAAGTGCGAACCTGGAAATAGTGGCCCCCCTCCGTCTTTGAAGTATTCTGCGTTTGCCATCTTTTGCAGCTGTGAGATGCTCTGCTCTTTGGTCATCCTGCTGGAGCCTGCGCGAGCTGCACGGTCCATTTCCCTCATTGTCTTGCTCCTCGAAGGCTGTGTCGCATATTGTCGGAATATCTGTGCAGCCAGCGGCTTTGCGGCGCATGTTAGAGACTTCTTTGCGGTGCCATGCGGCAACACTGCCGCCGCAATCGGGCGCAATGAAGGAGCGCGAGACATGGTGATTCCCAGAATGTACAGCAGAGGATAAGTAAAGACTGCTCTTCTTCCTAGTTTCACACTCAATTATGGCTGAAGAAAAGACAGACAAGCCCGCCGTCACTGGCCCACCGCAGCGGGCATCCCAAAAAGCTGTGATGAGTTGGAACTTTCTGTGCCGGAACAAAGATTGGCGGACTATTGATACTCCGATCGCCGTGGTGCCCTGTGCGGGGTGTTAAAAAAGCCATCCTCTCACGCCCATCTCCGCCATATTTTCTATCCACACAGGGTTTTACCATGTGTGAATCTTATGCCACCTTCTCGCCTTTGTCAACTCTCAACGCCAAAACGTGAGCATCGCCACCATCTTTGGGAATCAATGCGGAACTGGAGACATTGAGTCGCCTTTTTTGCCGCATGATCTGCAATAGAGGTTCTCCCATGTCACTAAGCTCTAGTTGAGCCGATTGGCTCGTCCGCTATTACTCTACAGGCCACGAGAAGTTGTGCCCACGCCCTTCGTTTTCCTCTTCTCCTCTGCTTGACAGTCAATCATGAGAGTCACCCAGCCATTTCTCGCCAAAAGTTTCCTGGCGCGGAGCTTGGACGAGCTTAAGAGACGTTCTAGTATAGGTAATGAACGGACTTCCTCATCCCCAGTTCCGCTAACCGCGCGCTTCGCTAACGCTTGAATCTCCAGCATGGAATTTAGACGCCGTCAAGGGTCCCTCGGGCCCTCGCGAGCTTTACGACTTCTCTAGCACCGATTCTGTAAACAGCTGTATTATCATGTCCGACGCATTGATTGGTGGTGCCTCTTCAAGCCAGCTCGACTTCATCTCTAATTCATCCTCACCATCCGTGCAGACTTCAACTTCGCCAACCTCATACGCACGCTTCCATGGGTGCATTTCGACATCACTACCCTCAGATCGCTTGGCAATTCAGCGAACAGGCTACGCTGCGTTTCGAACTCCAGATCAACCCCCCACAGTTTTTGGTCGCTCTATTTGGGATATTGATCCTTACACATATCTCGCGTTACGGGTCAAGTCTGATGGCAGAGCCTACTACGTCAATGTACAAACGGAGAGTGTCGAGCCCACAGATTTGCATCAGCACAGGCTGTTTTCAAAACGACCTGGGCAATGGGAGACTATTTTGATACGATGGAATGACTTTGTACGCACAAACCATGGCTTTGTCGTGGAGCCACAAACAGAGATCCTCAGGCAAAAGGTTCACAGCGTGGGAATTGGACTGACGGATCGTGTCGAAGGGCCTTTCGAGCTCTGCATTGAGAGAGTTTGGGCGACCAATGGGTTGGAAGAACGAGGTAAAGAACCGGACCACCAAGATGGGGAACTAAAGAACAAAAAGGGTGAGAAGATCCAGTGGTGAGAGCCAGCAGAGATATGACGCAAGTTCAGTATGCTTGTTTTTTCTAATTCGGTAGATGGTTTGAAAATACATATAATAACAATTCTCATCTCTACTTGAGGCAGCTTCAAATATCATCATTATGTGTAGTCTATGTCCGGAATTTGTAGGGTATCATTATTCTCGTATCAAAATATAGCACAAGGCCTGCTACCTATATCTCCACACTGCGCCTATGAACCAATTCCACTTTGCTCTCTTTTTTCTTGAACCTATAGTACAAGCTTGCAGATCTGATGTAAAGCAAATGCGACCAATATCTTTTCCTGATTAGAAATGTTGCGAGAACCAGCCGCCGAGCGTCAATGTGACTGGAAGATCTTGCCTACTTTGGAAAAAATCCCCATATTGATTATGTTGTGTGTTGAAAGAAGAAACACAATCTTAACTGGCCATAAATAAACGTCAAGTCAGCTAAGTATTTGTTCTCAAACCTGTAAATGGACTTATATTGACTTTGTTGATCTGGACTATATCCCATTAACTACAGCGTCGAACCCATGTCCTCTATTAAAAGCGAGGTAGTTGCTTTAAAGGGGAAGCATATTGAGTTGATATCACGTGAAATAATATGCGTAGTTATGAAGCTGCGAACCTTTATGAGGTAAAGAACTATACCGATAGATAGCTTACGAATGTAGATCCTCCGCTGAGTAAAGATTTACTTCCAAGTCTATACTTCTCTCTTAAGGGCACTCTTATAGGTTAAAGGTTATGGCTAAGTGATGCTGTGTGGCTCTGAAAGCTGCATCTCGAGGAAAAAGTTTCCTTCGCTGCAAGAAGTACAAAGAAACTTGGTGCCACCATAATGAGTCAATCCTACCTTCGCTTATATATTGGCATGGGCGGTATCGTGATGAATATCGATAAGATTCTGTACCACATGTCACTTCGAAATGATCAAGCCCAATTCTTGTGAGCTTAAATCAAAATATCACATACTTTTACCGGCCCGGAATGCTTGTCAACTTTATGTATTCAGCCAAATGTTGGTAAAAAGGCAGTAATCTCCATTGACAAAATGTAGTACAAAGATAATTTCAGAAAATTAGCAGTTTTGCTAAGAAAGAATTCACGGTATATGTAGGTTTGATGACGTGTATGATTGCCGAATGAGCTAAAATATTACTGGCCAATTGATCAGCCCAGCGACCTATGTGTATATATTACTTTGCCGCAATACAACGAAACTTCCATTGTTGGTAAATATAGCTATTGTGGAGAAAATAATAGAAGAAAGAAACGTAGCATGAGAGAAGAACGAGAAGTAGAAAATTATGCATGCGGAAGAAGACTGTCCCAATCTCCATCATCGCCTTGAGTGTCGTTAGAGTTTACACTTGCCCAACTTTGCTCCCATGAATCCATAAGTATGGACATATCTTGAGACATTCTGACCTCAGCATTTGGCATGGATATGGGATTATTTTCAGCGGCTATAGGAAAACAGCCGCTACCTAAAGACCATTCGGTGGCCCCAGCAGCGAAGCCACCAAGTAAAGGCAGCTGGTCCTCAGATGTGGCATATCCTTGTTCTTCTTGGTAGATCTGAGATCGTTGTGTCATCGTTGTCTCTTCGAACTGATTGTTGGCTTGTGGGTGCGATTCGGGTGATGAAATCATAACTGTTTGGGCGCTAAAAAGAAATTGTTCCTGGAGCGGCTGCTGGCTCTGGCTTGTCGAGTAATACTCTGGCAATGTGCGTGGCTGTGTCTCGTAAATCTGCGATGCAACTTCGCGCGTGTTTCCAAATTCTGGTAAGAGTTCTCCAACGCGTTGAGCGCCAAATCCAGTATCAAGATCTAGAGCCACAAGGTGTTAGAATTTGTGATATTTCTCAAAGAAGATTTCATACCATCAGTATACTCATAAACAAAACTAGCGCAATGTTTGCGAATATCTTCTTCAGTCTTGCACTGGTGTAGAGTGTATGTGATGGCTTCAGTACCGTTATTCATAACATAAGAGAGGGTAGTAGAATCTCCCTCTTGTTCATAGACTGCCCAATGGCCGCCCGGCCGCGGCTCAAGGGCTTTGAGAGCGGAAATTGGAGGAAGTGGAGTGTTAGCCATAGTGATCTCAGCTGTGTTCCTTTGTATTAAGGGCTGCAAAAGAAATCTTGTTTTGTTGTAGTACAATGATTGATGCTCAGAAAACGGGGGAATGGAGAAGGTGAGCTGGGCAGAGAGTGACAGTCGAAAGTTTCTTCAAACAAGGGTGCGTTTGTTATTTTCCCTGTCTTCTGGTGAAGGCGAAGTGAAAGGTTGACACCAGTTGGAGCTAACATCCATGTCATTTTTCACTCACTCAGCTGCATTTCCGATACGGCATCAAAGTAAAGCGCAGACAATCCTGGGGAAAGACCCACGGCGCCATTTATAGGCACTATGGTAGGATTTACTACAAATATCGGTACCGACTTAGGTAGGCACTAGGTAATTCGATGTTTGTTGGTCCTCTCTTCGGTTTCGTCACTAAGCTTATCTCGGCATTCTAAGATCATTCGCATTCCTACCAAGGTAGTACAAAAGGAACAATTTCCTGCAGAATCCAGACATGAAGGCGGCGTTCTACACGGAACATAAAAAAAACTACGAAATCTAAAATAGTATAAGAATTCTTTACCCGACTATGATATCTTAGCAAAGGTATTTGTGGCCGCTTCTCCCAGGTATTCAGTGTAGAGAGTGGTGTGGACACCATCTCTTCCTCTCTACAAACGGTAAGATGACCAAATGTTTCGTGCTTTCAGCTCCCAAGCAAAACAGGGCTATAGTAGCTTAGGTAGTAGATACGATGCGATTAGACAGGGCGGGGGTGTAAGAGATGGGGAGGCGTAACGATTTACTAGCGCTTTGGGAACTTGTTACAGAGACACGGTGGTGTACATAAAAGGTTTATTCTTACACCCAGGCTTAGTGTCTTTTAGCTCCAACGCGTTTTTGTTTGCTAGTGGTAGTTTGCTGTTGGTTGCCGACAGTCCAAACATGAGCTAAGAAGTTGGGGGAAGAACAAGTATCTTCAGATGGCTCCCTTTCTATGAGATGTCTCTATAATCCAAGTATTACACGCTCTCTTTTTTTTTTTTTCTTCTTCTTAGATGGTGTACTATTCAGCAAATGGATAAGTAGTTACTGCGCCAGTATTGTCACGCCGCGTGCTTACTTCATTTAAATATAATAAAGCAACAGCAAAAAAAGATACAGAGAGAACGAACTTGCTCTGCTAAAAAGGGTGGGGAGCGCCGCAATCGCACTAAGAGAGGGGCTGGGTGGGTATTCGATTAACTTATTCAGTATTGGCGCTCAATAGAGGTCAATAAGGCGAAGAGCTGCCATGCAGATTTCTAGCTCACTTGTAGCTCATCTGCAATTCTTCATACTCCTTTATGCACTGGGGATATTTTCGCTTTTTCGCCTCTTTATTACTTACCCATCCACTTGATATTTTTCAACTTGGCACTTTCAACAATTCCAATCCTTCACCATACTGCCTTCAGCATATTCGCATACCAACATCGAAAGTATCATTGTGTCAGACTCTTTAGCGGCATCATGGATCTATATCAACTTCCATCGCATAGCAAAGAGAATACTGTTTACCTAGATGCGATCTGGAATCAGCTCAAAGAACAAATCAACCCATTTCTCCGAGTCTTGTGTATCAATGGCAATATATATCGTTTGATGGATGATTTTGGCAAGTGGTATATAGCCAAAAAATTCATGTGAGTTTGGTTTCAGTGATGATAGTCTCGGATGTAGCTAACGTCTTCACAGGGAATTTACCAGAGAAGCCGTGATGTTTTGCCGCGATGGCACTGGGCAAGATCGCCACTATTTGGGTGCACCCCGCCATTTCATCGCCAACGGGGGCATGGTACATTCACCTGATGGCCTGGAACCTTTTTGGACCATGGATAATGGTCTGAATGCCCATTTAGAAACGACAACAGTCTGCCAACCACTTGCTCCATCTAAGCCAGCCAAGATCCCACGCCCACCTAATGCATACATTTTGTACCGCAAGGATCGCCACAATATCGTCAAAGCTGCCAATCCTGGTATAACCAACAATGAAATTTGTAAGACACTTTCTTGCAGCCAGTAGTAAGTTTCTGCTAATTTGTTGAAGCTCAAATTTTAGGACGAGCTTGGAATAAAGAATCCAGAGAAGTTCGACAAAAGTACAAAGAAATGTCCGAAGCCATCAAAGTTGCGTTGCTCGAAAAGCATCCAGATTATCAGTATAAGCCTCGAAAATCTTCAGAGAAGCGCCGCCGCACACGACGTATTCATCAAACTCAAGGAATTTCTGTGGAGGTTGACCTCGCTGCGTCTTCCGCCACCAATACTATGGCCTAGATGACAAAACCGCGGGCATAACTTAATCAATTTGTCTTTTCTGGTAGCGACATATACCCGATACTTCAGTATCAAACGACCACAGCGTCAAGTAGGGGCCGGTCGCAATATTTGCAGCTAATGTTTTAGAGTAAGTCGTACTACAGAAAGTTCACATGGGGGATCATGCTAACAGTCGCCAGGTGAGCCTGATCACCATAGATATGAGCATTCATTTCAGTATAGAGAATACATTCCGTTGTTTGTGACTAAGGTGCCACCTCTTCCATATCTCGATGTGAAAGGCTTCGTCCGCGTATGCTGATAATTATGCAACTTTCCCCTGTGCAAAATTTTGAACACGATTTGCTAGGAACAGCGATTTTTTTTTTTTTCTTTATGCTGCGACCAGACGAAAGCTCAGCTACAATATTGCACGTCTGAACTAAACATGTAATAGGAACTGAAATCAAGTCAGGCGCTAATGGAGGATATAGCGTCAGTGAAGATGATTTTTTTTTTTTTTTGGAAACTTGATAGCCATTTGCCACAGCAATTAATACACTGGGCAAGTCTCTTGATGACAGTCTGCTAGGATCTTATATCACTAAGAAAACAAACGTACACGCGCAAGTAGCAGGCAGCTACATCAAGTTGAACCTCGAATTGTCAAATCGTGTGAGGTACTTACTAGATATCCATAGATGAATGAAATCATGTAGGTACCTAAAAGGGGAGGGGGAACCGGGTAAAAGACACGAGACGTGTGTTACGACTGCGATCCGTTCCAGTCACTACTCCAAATAAAAGTGCCACATCGCCACTCAGAATCCTTCTCTTTTTCGCCGGAGGGGCCTAGTGGCCGGGCACAAATATAGAACGATCTTCCTGTAGCAAACGTTAGCAGCTAGCTTGTCTGTGCACGTGGAATAAAAGCCATCTTTTACGACGTGGGTGCGCAGATACAAATATGAAGAAGAGGACCGATGGCGTGAGCCTATTATGGGTCGTAAAATGTGTGCGAACCAACAACATAAACTAGAGATGAAGCTGAGAGGCGGTGGAGTAAGCAGGGTAATAAAAGAAGACTAGCAAAAGGCTAGAATCTGTAGGGAAGGGGTAGGAATCTTTGGGTATCGCAATGACTGAATCAAATCATCGACCAAAAAAGGAAGAGTCGACGCACCACAGTTGACGCCTGGCTTTTTAGTGACGAGGCTGATACAGGGCTCATTATGTTCGCATCGTGGGAGCACCCTTCTTCCGAGAAGTTTTGACCAAGATTCTTTTGCCTGAACCGGATCAAATATCTGATTAGTCTCCGTCTGAAGGCTAGATGACTTCGTATTCTGCTTCGCTTGAGATTCTGAACCTGGCGATTTGCCAGACCAATCAGCGTCGTAGTTAGTCTCTAGTTGTGAACTTGGAGCTGATGAGGGATGGTGCGACAGGAGCTTCGTAGGCAGCGTCGTTGTTTGCTGCAAGTAAGGGGACGGGGCATTGGTAGTAGCTTTCCGGTTGGCGTTGGCGTCGAGGTCGCTGCCTGTTTCCCCTGCCATCCGATTTACAGCGAGGCTTGATACTGGCTTAAAGAAACCTTGCAGGGTCTGTTGGCCTTTTGTGCTAGTTGAAGTAGTGCTTCTAGCATTCTTCTCTGCCATAAGGCTTGGATTGACGCTCATCGCACCGTTGGATTTTTTACTTCTTTTCAGTGATCCGCCATCACTAAGAGGATCGACAAACCCCGCAGCACGTTTCGCGCGTGGTGGCGCTTCCGATCTCGACTCAGTTAGTGGTTTTGATTTCGGGGAGTCGCTAGCGTCGCTCATTCCGAGTCTATATTCAGCACGGTTTGACATTACATTGGTTTGGTCTAAACGTGTTGAATCACCCACTCTTGGGCTAGGGTCTTGAGCGTGGGTGCTTTCTAGCTCTGATGATGAACAAAAGATCGAAAGCTTAGCACCAGCGCTCTTCGTGAACATATCTCGGATGCTTTGCCGGCGGTTGAACTCGGGGATCAGTTTGGCCGACAGAGGCAGAATATCCTTCGTATGCCATTGCCGGAGGCGTTGACCATCTCTAGCCATCATGTCAGTTGGATTCATAACGGCTAATAGCGGTACCTGTTCCGTGTCAGCCGTCACGACATCAGCGATCGTGGCAAACACCGGACAGTGATCAGATCCCATTAAGCCCTCCTGAATGTCGGCTTCTGTAAACCAGTCTTTCAGTCCATTGCTGCATAGCACGTAGTCAATTCGGCTGCCGTTGTTGGCGGGCCGTGTGTTTCGTTTGGTGTCCCAACATGTGTTCATGCCCTCGCGCGTGGGGTGGAATTCTCTGCATAGATCCCACAGCGCAGGCTGCTCCCGCCCTTCATCGCGATCTCCATGCACCGTGCCTCCGTAAATTAGGTGATTGAAGAGACGACGCGAAGGTACGTTCATCCACTCCTCGATGCTCAGGCCCTCTTTTCGAAGAGTTTCAATAACGTTGGTTGAATCAGACTCGGAACGGCTCACGTTGAGGTCCCCCATCAAAACTACTTGCTTGCCCTCGGAGATCAGATTTCGCACCCTGGCGTCAAGTGCTTGAAGAAATTCCATGCGAAATTCCACTCGAGACTCGTCGCGATTGGCTGGGCTATAAACACCCAGCAGTACGAATGCTGGAAATTCAAGGATGACGCATCTTCCTTCAGAATCCAACAGCAGTTCATCGATGTTTCCCGGGAGTTGCTCAGGTCTTGGATAACCCCCAATTTGTTCATCTTTGGGCAAATTGCGAAATTGTGTTGACGACATGGGAGGACAGAGCACTCCTAGGATTCCTTCTTCAGCTTTGATAGGCGCACAAGTCGCATTTCGCGTGTAAATAGCAACACCAGAGTATCCTTAGCATGTTAGATACAGTACTAGGTCGTAGAGCCATGGAACATTGAAAAGGTACCTTTCTTATGCTTAGGCAGGCTGAAATACACATCCCACCCGGGAACAAGAACCATATCATCAGTTAAATCCTTTCGCTGGATTTTTGTCTCTTGCATAACGACAATATCGGCCTCGAGAATATCGAACATTGCCTATATGAAGAGCGAAATGAGTCTTTAGCGACGTGATCTAGTCGTCCAGAGAAATGCCAGTCACCAACCTGGAACGTGCGCTTCTCTCTCCATGGCTGATATCCAAATGGATTTCTAAAGTATTGTAAGACATGATATTTGGTCCAATCGCTTGAGAAGAGGGAAACAAACCTAATGCCGTTTACTTCGGGCTTTGTTAGTGATTATCATTCTCAAGAGGCTCACAGAATAGCATACCATTCCATGTCGTTATACGAAATCCCATCGTTTCCTAGATAAATTTCAAGGCCAAATCTATCACAACCGAACAACGCTTTTGGTGCGAATTGCAGCGCAAACATCCCGGTTTACGGGGCAAAAAGAAGATTGTGAGAGTCGGTCAATGGTCGTAGAATGATGCTGGCAAAGAGTATGGCGGGTAAATCACGCTTGGGGCCGATGGTACTCAGAAACAGGCATATCGAGAGAGAGAAAAATCGCGCGTTGCTTCAATTATGAAGGTTCGCAATCATATATGTGACATTGAATCGCATGAAAGAGAGCCAAAGAGGGAAAATGCGTGTTGCTGCATCGCGAGAGCACGCACCGAGAGCACTCGCGAATACGTCACGATGTCACGTGACTGAGATTAAGCAGATATTAGCCTGGAGTTTGAGGCATCCATGGCCTGCTCTAGCCGAGCTCTAATTCGAATATGACCTGACCTCATAATCTGCACCTTTAATAGACTATCCAAACATTGAAGACGAATTCGGATCGCTCACAATGTTTGCTGCCCGACAAGTTACCCGCACCGCCCCGCGCTTCGCTGCGCAGCTGCGCACTCCTATGCAGCGCCGTTTTGCCAGCACCGCCGAAAACGAGTTCATCAGCGAGCGCCAGCACATCAAGGAACACGCTCAAGGCACAACTGGTGAGTAGTTATTCCTCAGTTCCTCCCATTGCGCCATGATCCAGCTTCTAATTGTATTTTCAGAGCTCTGGAAGAAGATTTCTCTCTAGTATGTCCACCGCCGGTTCTCGATATCTGGAATTTCTACGCCGTTTTTAGCGCCGGATGAGGGAGAAAGCAGCTGATTGCGCCGGATTTGTTGGGATGGGCTGTAGAAAGCTGACAAAATCAAAAGCGCCGTTGTTCCTGCCCTTGTTGTCGCTGGAGCCAACGCCTACTGGCTGTGGAATGAGCACTGGGAGCACTGGAGCCACCTTCCTCCTCTGCCAGAGCGCACCGAGTATCCCTACCAGAACATCCGCACCAAGAACTTCCAGTGGGGCGATGGTGACAAGGTGAGTCGACACTCTGTCCGCTATTCAACGAATCGTACGCTAACTAATATCATCGTAGACTCTCTTGTAAGTTCCGCTAACTCTGGTCTCAATGGAGCCACCGCTGCCTATGTTCAACAATTTGCCTTTAATCCCTTTAGAGCGAGAACGGTCTGCTAACTGCTATCACCAAGCTGGAACGAGGCCGTCAACTACCACAACCATGACAAGACCAAATAAAGTTGGCGAACGGAAATAAGCTGGATTGATGCTTCCGGAAGGAATATTACTGGTAGTTGTAGACCCCTCCTTTGGAGCTTGAATCGACTATCCCCTAGGTTGAAGGGCGACAACTGTATCCCTCCAAGCTGAGCTAGACTTTGCAATGTATCTATATCATCCTTTTGGATTCCCTGCCTTTGTGTAATGACTCTGGGTGTCTTTTTTGGTGCAGAAAGTTCTAGAGGCCATCGCCATGGCGGCCCTTTACGAGCAGAAAGTAAGCCTCTCGAAAATACTAGTAGTAGGCGAATTGAGACGCGGTCGAGTGTGTCTCGCCTGATATCGGTTCCTCGCTTTTAGGATTCACCATGTGTATCAATTGTTATGGACCTACACCGAATTCCGCATATCCCAAGCTCCAGTCAACTCATGCCGTACTTTGCTACGAGCACGTATAAGCGGGCGCAAAATTCTCCGAAGAAATTCCGGCCACGATGTTCTGTTGCTAAGGTCTAAACTCGGTAGCGACAACAATAATGCCCAAGATGTAGTTATAGTTACCTAAGCCACTAAGACATCAAAAAAGAAAGGCCTACCGAGTAAGGTAGGTAGGCACTCGGCTATGAAGACAGCAGGAAAGATTTGATCCGAGACAACTGCCTTGATCTATCCACCCCTGTTCCTTTCTTCCCACATACCTACCTACCTACCTATCTATTCCCCAGCATCCACCCAAACCCTCAAAGCCTATCAAGGCAATTGGCCAGCTGAAATATGGAGAAGGTTTGAGCTTTCCACGCCGGATTCTATATCGCTTGAGAGGCACACAGTGAATGCTTGGTGATTGCTGGCGGGTTCTCGACATTCAACGCCAGGTGGACCCAGCTTTCTCAAGGTGAAGATGGCGCGGTATCTCACGCCGGCCAAGATTGGCCTCCTCGTTCTGACCGAGCTATACGTGGAAGAAGCGGTCCCCAGCGATGCAATCGTGCCAGTTCTGTCATTCATTGCGTCTCACGCCATGGGCTACGATCCAAATGGACCATCCACAAGCCAAGCGGCAAGATGGACAAAGGCTGAGCGCGCCGTGAGCCTAGTGATCTCGATCAAGGACTTCGAGAAGCTACTCAGCAGCTATCCTTTTCTGATGGGCTTGCCCGGGAAGAGACTGTGGGATCAGTTTCTCAATAAGCTGTGGGGAATTGACTCGCTCCACGCCCTCGGTGAGTTTTTCGAGCATCTTTCGTGGACGCTGTCTAGAACAAAAGAAGAGCTTCGCCGAGAAGGGCTGGATCCTGATGAGCCCCAACTGGGCGTCAAACTCACCAACAACTCTCCTCTCGGCGCTTTCGTCCGCAGAGCCCGCCTCGAGTACCAACGCTTGCGGTTTCACGACTGCACCGAGCTCTGGAAAGACTTTGTCCGGTATCGACAGCCAACATCCCACTATCAGAAGCGGAGGAATCCAGACTTCGGCCGATACAGTTTCGATCAGGTGCTGCAGCGTGGAGAGCTGGAAGACTGGGATGTTGACAAAGTTGCGAGCCTGGCGTCGGTGGCGTATGGCGACATGTTGACAGGGGACCGGACTGGGGGCCTCTCTGTCAGCATAGATGACGTTGAAAACTTACTCGACTTCCAGATCGAGCAAATGCAGAGTAAGTCATCCTTTGAGGGGGCTCTTTCACCACTTTCGCCATGAGGAGCTCGAGCTCCAGCTAACTGTCAAATTGAAAAGAATACGGTAACCGGATACCGCTGGAGATTCGACACCAGTTTCACGACCTCCTCAACGACAGCTTCTTGGTTCCCAGCCTAACGCATTATATCACGTAAGTACCAGTTTCCACTACGTATTACACCTTGGTGCTGTGCTGAAATCGGGTTAAAGCTTTCTCGACGCCTGGAGAGCCGGTGATTATCCCACGGCGTTCGACTTTCTGCATAGATACTTTGATTATACAATGCAGCATCGTGATCGACTCTTTTACCAGTACGCCTTGATGAACTTGGCCGTTTTACAAGCCGACTTTGGCTGTTATAAAGAAGCCATAACGGCCATGCTTGAAACAGTGACCACAGCAAGAGAAAACAGGGACATAACTTGCCTCAACTTCTCTTTGAACTGGTTGTTTCATTTTGGACAAGCCCACCCGGATCTCGTTCGTGATCTGCAAGCGGATAACCTCCTCGGCACAAGCAAAGAGACATTGGCCTTCCTCCGAGTGAAAGCTAGGGAAGCGGGAATGTGGACTCTTTGGAGCTCTGTGCTCTTAAGCGAGGCCAAACTTTGTCTCATCAACGGCGACAGTGTAGCCACCGCTCTTGAATACATGGTACGAAGCTCGCAGATTATTGTGGAGAAGAATATGAAGGGCATGTTCGGGGCACAGCTCGGCTTATACTCGTCCCTCTGGAACAGGCTTGGTCTCGGTCACCTCACCACTGTATCATGTGAGATCTTCTTACGGTGCCATACATGCCATTCTATGTTTGATGATGAGCTCAAGATGATCAGTCGATTTTCGTCTGCACTTTTAGACCAGGGGAAATATCGCGAAGCTATGGAGATCTTAGACAAGGCTGACGAAAACTCACGGCGGTCGTGGAAGCCCAATCAGTACTGGTTCAAGTATAGGGGGGTCATACAGCTCAAGAGAGACTTACATCACAACAACTTGGACGGTGCAGAGCAGCTCTTGAGTCAGTTTCTACAGTCCAAAGGGGACGACTTCGAGCCCGACCTCGCTCTCGTAATTGATACCGCCCACATAGATTACTTGACTCGTCGCGGAGACTTGTCATCAGCCGCCGAGAAAGTCGATCAGATGATTACGGAACTTAGAGACGAGAATAGAGATATAAGTCTACGAGTCAGGGCCCTGCTCATCAAGGCTTCGCTCCTAGATAAGTGCGGGCGGCCCCAGCGTGCTTTTTCCGTTGCCTTGCGTGCGGCAAACCTATCTCTGCGCGCGCGGCTGATGTCTCTGCTGTGGGCTGCAATCGGCGCAATATCAAATATCATGGTCTCCATGAATGAATTCGAAGCCGCAATGCAGCTACTCATAGCCGTATTACCGCGGAGTCTGGAGTGTGACTCCCCAACCCTCACCGCAAAATTATATTCATATTTCGCTGATGCCTGTATGGGGTTAGCCGGGCAATGTGAAAGCTATGGCGTTGCTAGACAAGGGGAAGAAGCTCCAGAGCAGGACCAGGAAGCTATAGAGACTGAGTCGCCCAAGTCAGCCACTCAACGCCGTGATGAGTACCTCACAAGAGCGGCAATGGCGGTCCAGAGTGCTTTTGATGAGTATTCTAGCATTGAAGATATCAATAGTCAGTGCGAGATGATGGCAAAGAAGGCTGTAATTATGAAAGTACTGGGCGACATGGTCCTTGCTGCGGATTATGCCGCAGCTTATGCTGAGCTCAAGAAGAAGGCTGAATCTCTGAGTTTGAACGGGGGAGACACTACATAGATGGCATCTTTGGAAGAGAATAGTAATCGAGTACAATGTGACGGAATACAATAGATACACTTTGAGGCTGCGCTGGGCGTAACCTAGACTAGGTATTTGATAAAAGAGTAGATTGGTGACATACAGAATCACATCCCCAAGATACACGACAACAAGACACCTAGGTATTTGGAGGAAAGTATAATAACAACTAGCCAATATGGAAATATTGATCAAACTTGCAGATGGAAGAAGAAATCGCTCTCTATTCCTCTTGGTACGAAATCTTCCGCATTTCGCCCAGTCGGTGTCTTGCAGAAGCAAGCGCGTTTTCCAATTGTAGAATTTCAACCTAGATAGAGAATCGTTTTGGTTAGATCATGTCCCAACAATATCAAAAATAAACCGAGAGCTTTTGAAGAGTGTCGTCAACTTACCTGTTGCTCCATCTCGCGGACCTTGAACTCGTGTGCCCCGAGTTTGGAGTAATCCACTTGGTCCTCTTCTTGGCTTCGCTCGCGTATCATGTCCTGAACCTGGCGGACAAGCGATCGGCAGGCTGACCCGACGGCTTTGCTGGCTTGCTCCAAGCGATCCTGGCTCTTAGACATGAAGCCGGCCTTGACACGGCTGGCTGCCACCAGCTGTGCCGTCGACGCTGCAACGTCGTTGGATGCTACAATCAGTTGTTCGGGGCTGTTACGGTTGGATAAGACCCCATCTGCCGTCTCAATCAACGTATTGGTTGACGAAGCGACCGCTTTGGCCGCCGATATAAGGCCCTCTGTCCACCGATTGTTCTTCTTGTAGAAGGCTGTGCGTGAAGATGAGCCTCGTCCGGCTTGCACAATTTCCTGCTGCGTTACTGTTGCTGCGCGAATGAGCTCTCCGATGGCCGTTGTGATGGCTGCCGCGGCATCCAAGATTGAGTCATGCACCTTGACTTCGTATGTAGTGTACCCATCGCGAGGCTTGTTCTTCAGCTTAGCAAGTCTAGCCGCGGCCGCCGCAATGGCATCGGCTGCTTTGCTCAACTCCGCATCAACCAAGTCTCCAAGATCTCCCTTGTTGTTCATCAGTTTGCCAAAGCCAGGAGCAAGGCCCTCTACCAGCTTGTTGAGCTTCTGCAGCTTAATCTGTACATCGTTATTGCTATTGATGACAACATCCGTTTTCTGGAGTGGCTCCATCCCTTCGAGACGGAAGCTTTGCAAGCCCCTGAAGAATTGCACTGTGGACTGGGCTGACTGCCTTGCACCTTGCATCAGCGCGTCGGCCTTCTTCTCGTCTGTCGCCAGGCGCACTACACCCTTGGTGTTGCTGCATACATCCGCAACCGCCCCGGCAAACACGTTGATGGCCTTGATTAGCTCCGAGTGTGTGCTGTTGGGTCCATCAGCAATGAAATTGTTGAAGGCGGTGGCAAATTCCATTGCGCTCCCGGATGCTTTCTCGATCTGCGATAGCACATACGACGGCGAGGCATTTTGGTTACCCGCCTGCATAGACGAATCCAGCTCGTAGAGAGCATCATCCACTCGCGTGACACCAGCCTGCAACACTGAATCGATAACGTCGTTGATCTTATCCAGGTTTGACAAGATCAAGGCATCGATTTGCCCATCGAGCGCATGATCCGTCTCTCCCTGGTTCTGCTTTAGTTCGCTCAGTTCGATGAGTGTCTGGTCCATGCCCGCTTTATACACCTCGAGCTCTTCCTCTTTCTCGCGTAGGAGTTGCTCGAGATCAGAATCGCCGTTTCGAATCTTGCTCTGTGCCTCTTCCAATGCTCGCGACTTGTTCCGGAGCGCCTCTTCCAGGTCGCTCATCTCACGGTTATACTTGGAAAGCATCGTGGAGAGCTCGTTGCCCTTGCTACGTTCGAGGTTGTCCGCTCGATCTTGCGCCATACGCAACTCTCGCTTCAGCTTCTCTACTTCGTCTTTGCTGCTACCACTAGCTCGATCCTTGTCATGAAGGGCTCGATCGCGCTCCCGGATCATATCAGCCAGCTCAAGGTTCTTTGTCTTGATCTCTCTCTCCAATTTTTCACGTTTTTCGATGGCTTCCTGGGCGCTTGCTGCCTTCAGCTGCACCGCCTTGAACTTTTGCAATAAATCCAGGTGTTCATGCCGAAGCTGAGAGTACAGCTTCGCGAGAGATTCGTACTTTGACCTCCATGTATTGACTTGTTCTTGCAGTGCCTTGATTTGATCGTCTTTGCTGCCCATCTGTTGCCCATAGCTGTTTTGGATTTGCATCAGCTCTCCCTCGAGGGCTTTGACACGCTGGTCATACTGCTGCAGCATCAGCTGGTCGCGTTCGTATTGGGCCCGCGCGTTGAGATTTTCCCGTTCAAGTTCGGCTAGACGGCCTTGAGTTTGCCACTGAGCTTGCTGTGCAAGAAGTGCCTCCTGCTCTCGTTGCTGCTGTTCCATCAAACGTCGTTGCTGCTCTTCGAAATCGCGCTGTGCCTGTTGCTGAGCCTGCTGCTGCGCCAAGAGAGCTGCCCGCTGCCGTTCTTCGAGGACTCGCTGCTGTTCTTCATATTCACGATTTTGGCGATCCAGTTCACTCTTCCAGAACTCGGAGATCTCGTCTGGTTCGTCCGATTTAGGCGCAGGAGCAGGGGACGGCTGTCGTTCAATTTCCTGCTTGGGTCTGGCAGGCAAGGCTGGAGCTTCGTCATCACCAGCAAGGAGGTTAGGCGGATCCTGCGGCAGCTTGGGGATTGTAATGAGGCTTGTCAGGTATCGGAGATTGGAGCATTCGTAGTAGAACTTGACGAGTCGATAATGCTGGGCGTCATATCGCTGCCGAAGGGGCTGCAGTGCATCGTCATCGCCGGTGACTGTGCGTCTGTGTTAGCGCCTGTTCTACATTGGTGGAGGGGCAATGCTCGGGAAGTACTTACTTGAGTGCATGGCGCGCAGCATGCTAGTGATAAATTTGTAAATTCCATAGCTCTCCTGGACCAATGGCACCAGGGCTGCGATCCGACACTCGTTGTTTCCGACGTTTCTAAAGTGCGAAAAGATCAATTTCTGGAATTGCTCTATCTTGTCTTGCAGCACCATCAGATCAGAGATGGTCTCGTATCCCTCGTTTGGGTCGTTGATCGCTTTGAGGCTGAGATATTCCTCATACTCGAAAGTACCATTAAACTCCGGGTGTTGGTGGTGGAAAGACAGCTTCGCAAGAAGGTAGTATACGTATTCTCGGATCAGAGGCGCATATCCGCGGACTCCTTCTCCACTCATTCCACGGTTTAGGGAGTCAATCCATGAGCGATTGGCCATTGCTTCTTTCAAAGCTGAGGGATGGCCTTCCTGCAGAACCTTGTGGACGGTGATCAGAGCTTTGAACGTCTGGACCTCGTCGGCAAGAACGGGTTGGCTGCATTCAGTGGGAGACAAATCACATCAGCAGCCGAACGTATAGAAATAGAGGAGATGTCATGACAACCTACACCTTCATACCCGCCCAGAAGGACTGTGAAGACCTATGGTCCCAAGTATATACGATACAGGCTCGTACATGCTTGCGCTTCGGGGAGATTTCATCGGGATTGGTGGCCTTTTTGATGCTAACGGCAAGCTCCTGATCGGTTCTAGTTGATTTAGTGTGCAAAGGTAAGCGGGTGTCGCCATTGATGGTCTGATTTATGATTCAAGGAAGGGACATCACGAACTTCGTATGCTCGGTCGTGCGTATGGAAGCCATGGTGGGCGAAATACAGCCCAGGCAAGGCGGCGACGAAGCTTGGATAGGAGGCACACGATAGCGCAGTCGCAGAGCGCGCACTCAAGGCGCAGGATGCACGATAATGACTCGCGGAGAGGTCGGGATTTGCTGTTTTCTTGGGTAGGAGGAGATGTACGTTTTCGTCGAGAAAAAAAAACTGCAGCCTAATCTCCCGCACAGTTGGGGAGCACTTGTTGCCGGCGGGATGATAGGAAGGCGATGGCAGAGAAGCTAAGCTGCAGCCGGGGAACGGGCAAGCATCGTCACCATGTGGGGCGCAGTAATTACCTGGGCATTAAGCGGTGTTAAAATGATCCGCCTTTCTTGCTGCCGTACCTATAATTACATAATCCCTGGATCAATCAAACTGCCTCTAGGGTATTATAGGGGATGTCTCCAGACATTGCTAGAGGTGTTTTGGGATGGTGGCTGGGATGTTGGAATTCTTTGAGAATAATTTTGGAGCAGTGTTATCAGAGGCTCATAGCTAGCTAGGTACCCATATGCTGCCGGTGCAGACAAAGGGCATCATTACAAGTTGTACAATGTTGTCAGCATCTCTTGAAAGGATATTGTACTACTATATGGCATTTATGAGGAATGAGACACAGAACCCAGCGCAATCAAGAAATGGTGCACAAGGCTCAGGTTCACTGACGGCAGTGATACCAAACTCATTCCCTTTTTTCAGTATAATTGCTAGTAGTGCTGGTCAAAGCGAGCGAAATTAGCAAGTAACTAAAGGCAGTCGAAATAGATCACCCTACCTACTAGTATGGAGGCACCACTACTACAGTAAGACGTGGTGTATCTCATATTGCATCACTACTAGGTAGGTACGAAATAAGCCAATACTTTGAGCAGACACTGCATGATCATTCGATCCTCATCACGACATGTATGTGAACTGGGCGAACTCGAAACTTCAGCACAATAACATGGAAGGACAAGTTCATTATTGATCAAAGAAATTCAACGTTTGTCATGGAAAACGTGCAGTATATTTCGCCAAGGGTTTGTTTTTAGCTTCAGCGCTCAACGTATCCGAAATTCAGACACCTAGGTATTATATATGGGAGACACCGCATAAGCCGTAGAAACTATGGGGATACTCTACTCCTCCAATCAGGAGGGGCCACTGAGCAAAAATGCACTTTTGTCGATGTCATATTTTCTCATTTCCTATGAACATCAAATAGAAAAAAATGCAGACCTTGGTCACATGCTGAGTTCTTTCCCATCCGAACGCAACACCATAAGAAAAACCGAAGCGAGCACCACGCCAACCCTTCCCTTAGATTGTAGTTTCGTATGGCAGAGGAGTGACAGTCTCAGGAGGGTTGTCGGTCAGGGAGACCGTGTGGGCTTCCCGGGGAAGAGCGGGCTGTCGCTTGACCTGAACAGTCACACCGTCGGCTCTGGCCTGCTTCTTGGCCTCGGCGTTGGCCTTGACTCGCTTGATGAAGTCCTCACGGGATCGGGAGGGCTGGACGTGCTCGATTCGGACGTTGATGCGCTTCTCGATGTAGCGGTGCTTGACCTTCTTGTAGACGATGACGCCGACAGAGCTCTTGGTGACGTTGTAGATGACACCGGTCTTGCCGTGGTAGACCTTGAAGGGCATGCTGTACAACAACGTTAGTTCCCTTGTGCTTTTCCACCTCGATATTCGACATCGTTTCCTTACCCCTTCTGGACGGCACCGTTGACCTTGATGTCGACAATGTCACCGACGCTGAATGAATGTTAGCCGATCCCTAAACACATGTCAAAATTCTCCTCTTGCTCGGATTCTACTCACTGATACACCTTCAGGTAGGTGTTCAGGGCGATCATGCCCTTCTGGCGAAAGTCCCTGCTGAAGGCATACTGCGAACTCGTTAGCAACGAATAGATTCGTATCATCGCATGGAGGATAGACCAACTCGAGTGCCCGCTCGCTTTCCGTAAGAGTGACCCATCGCGCCTTAATTGCCGTCGATTTTTCGTTCGAGGATTGACGAAGATGGAGGTGAAGCTTTGCTAGTTTGGCGTGGTGAATTTGCGCACGCCGTGTGGGAGCGAATATGCTTAGATAATCCACTTATTTTTTTTTCGCTCCGCCGTGGTGATAGGGCAATTGTGGGAATTGGCAGGCGTGCGCAGCGAAACCCGCCTTAGGGTTTGCTGCTAGTGCATCACGTGCATAATTTGCAATGCCAAATTTCCTATCCACACAACCTTGACGACTTTCGAGATCACCTGCGGAAAAGTTCACCAGTAGCCACCATCTCGGGAAGCAAGTCAAGTGAGTGTTGGATGTTCAATTCTGGCAACTCAAGCTGTGATATCTGACCGCATACAGAATGGCCCCTCGTGCGCATTCCAAGACCTCGCGTGTCCCTCGCAGACCCTTCGAGTCTGCTCGTCTGTCAGTATCACCGGCCACTGAACTAGAGCATGGCTCTGTTTAAGTCGACTGTGACAAGGAAACTGACATCTTATTTCTGATCAGGGACTCTGAGCTGAAGCTCGTCGGAGAGTATGGCCTGCGCAACAAGCGTGAGGTCTGGCGAGTCGGTTTGACTCTGTCCAAGATCCGTCGTGCTGCCCGGTATGTCAATGTCACATCCTGCATTAACCCATTCGGCGCTTGTCAAGTTCAAAAACTAACTGCAAACACCTTGCAGTCAACTTCTTACCCTCGACGAGAAAGACCCTAAGCGACTTTTCGAAGGCAATGCCCTGATTCGACGTCTTGTCCGTGTCGGTGTCCTCGACGAATCTCGCATGAAGCTCGATTACGTCCTGGCCCTGAAGATTGAGGATTTCTTGGAGCGCCGCCTGCAGACCTGTGTCTACAAGCTCGGTCTTGCCAAGTCCATCCACCACGCCCGTGTCCTGATTCGCCAGCGCCACATCCGTGTTGGCAAGCAGATCGTCAATGTCCCCTCCTTCATTGTCCGTCTCGACTCTCAGAAGCACATCGACTTCGCCCTGACCTCACCATTCGGCAGCGGCCGTGCTGGCCGTGTCCGCAGAAAGAAGGCCAAGGCCGCCGAGAAGGGCGAGGGTGGCGAGGAGGAAGAGGATGACGAGTAAATGCATCATAACAGGTGTTAATGACTCTTCCTGCATACGAGTTTGGTCACAGAGGGATATCACAAGCAGGGAAAACAGGTTTCTCTTCCTAGCTTTCGGCGTTGGCCAAAGGATAAAAATGGAATGATTTTAAAAAACACATAAAGCATAATTGCAAATGGGATTTAAAGTACTTCCAAGACCCTTAAATTGTGATACTTTCATTGGAAAGATGTGACGGAGCTGTGTCCGAGTATAGCATTGGTAGAGGGGCGCGTGCGTAAAAAGAAGACGTCGAGTGTTCTGACTTCAATGTATGTAGGTATGTACGAGGTGGATATCTTTTAGCTTAACAGCTCGTCTTTACCTAGTAGATTTGCCATCGGATCCTGAGCAACAGTCCTCTTCCGACGGTATTCATCCAATTCGGCCTCTGACACTCCGTTTAACATCTCTGCTTGCGTACGCTTCCTGCTTCCCGCATCTTTCGGAATCGTTCCTAGTTCAGCCTCTTCGCTCTCTCCAGGTAATGATTCGGTCTCTTGTTCCATCACGGGGGCTCCAAACCGCTGGCGCTCAGCAGCTTCCCATGCTTCTTTGCCTTCCTCGCCAGTACAGTAGCTGTTTTTGATGAAAGAGTGGCAACACGCATAACCCCATTTGAAATTCGACCACCAGCTACCCCAAACTGATGTATGGTTGTTGATCAATACATCTTCTGCGTACTTGGATTTCACGCCCCTTAGCGGCGCACCCTTGATGAGGCCTGCCTCATCGTACTCGACAAATGTCTCGGATTCTGACATGGCCATATTGCGCAGCGCAGCAGGCATTGCTTTATGCGCTTCGCCCCCGTATTTCTCCAATAGTTCTCGTTCACGTTCAATACGCTTTTCTTCCGCCTCATCCGCCTGCTTCTTACGATAAAATGCACCGGCCGTCGGATTCGCCTGTAAATGCTGGGTGGTATCTCCGCTCTTTTCCTGGGCTTCCCATGCATATCTTTGCGCCTTCTCAAACTCGCCGGCATCTCCCGAGGATCGCATGAACCCTTCTTCTGCAAACAAGTCGGCTGCTTTATCTGCTGTTGCGCCAGAATTGACAAGTGCTCTGGTTTTGGGATCGTATTTCGCAGATTCAAGATCGAGATTCAGTAGATACTTGGCGGTGTCTTCTCGTATTCGAAGTTGTCTTGTAGCTGTGCTTTGGTGCTTGCTCATGTCGTTTTCTTCAGCGTATTTATCACCATCATCCTTTGCCTCTTCATCATCATCATCATCGCCGGCTATCGCATTTTTTGCTTGCTTCCGTAGCTCCTCCATTTCATGGAAGTCGTCCACCACTCTGCGATACTCCCTAGCGTCGTAGCCATTCCAACGATCTCGTTTTGCATCCCATCCCAGCTTGACATCTTGAATGACTTCGTCTGCCTGAATGTCCTTGCCCGTCCATTTCGCTCCTTTCGCCCTTGGCCGGCTTAGGCAGTCTTTGGCTTTGTGGGTCAGTGATCCGCAGTTCTCACACGCGCCTTTTCGGTACTTTGTTGCCGCTGGCCCAGCCTTCTTCCCGCGATCGTACCATTGCGCCTTTTCATTTTTTTCTTCTCGACGCTGATGCTTCAGGTAGTCGTTGTCGTCGTCGCCTTCTTCCCCAGCATAGAAAGGCCGTTTACTGATGAAGGATGGAATATATATGTTTTCCTCTTTTGAGGCTGCGCCTGTTTGAGGCTTCCGAGGGGGCGGCATGGTTGCTTTGGATACGATAAACGAAACGATAGCGAGATATATTCGCCTTTACAGCTGCAAGACGAAGTTCTAGAAGGATGCTCAATAGATTGCTTCTTTGAGGGAGCGTGAAGAAATATGTGATGGGGATGCTTGCCGACAAGCACTGTCGCTGCTCCAGGCGCTAAGACTATTGATAGATTCCCTGTAGCATCCAGGGCTCTTTATCTGCACGTGATCACGCGATGAAGAGCCCCACCAATGACGCGAGGCAGACACGCCCTTCCAAGTTCTTTGCTATCATGACCAAGTTACTGCTTCTATCTGCTTTACCGGTAAAGAGGCAGGGCATTTTGTCTTCTGGCCCCCTCTCAAACTGGTTCCAAATGCAATCCTATGGCTTCGGGCGCAGCGAAATATGGACTTGTTCCGCGTGCGCTTGAACTGTATCGATCATTATCAAGCTCTGCCCAGCCGCCATGATCCGCCACTTCGCAACGATGTTCAAGCGCCCCCGCCCTTGAAGGCCACAAAGGTACCCATTATTCGAATATTTGGCTCAACCGAGTTTGGCCAGAAAGTCTGCGCCCATGTTCACGGAGTGTTTCCTTATTTATATGTGGAGTATGATGGGAATTTGAACCAGGATGCAGGTGAGCTGAGCAGCAGAGCGTGAAGTTGTGATCGTGAATATCTTGTTAAAGGAACTATCGATAGTAGGGTCCTTTGTATACCGATTGCATCTTTCAATCGACCACGCGCTTGGTATCAGCTATCGACAAGATCAAAATGGAGACAAGGCGAGATTTGTAGCACGAATCACACTTGTGAAAGGAACACCATTCTATGGGTACTCTGTTGGGTATAAATTCTTTCTCAAGATTTACATGTTCAACCCTGTGGTGATGACCAGGCTAGCCGATCTGCTGCAGCAAGGTGTTATCATGAAACGAAAGTTTCAGCCGTACGAAGCCCATCTCCAGTACCTTCTTCAGTTCATGATTGATTACAATCTATATGGCTGTGATTTTGTCGAATCATCCCAAACCTACTTTCGATCTCCGGTCCCCGCAAGTGGAACTAGTACCACGTCTTCGCAGCTTCTTTGGAATATTCAAACTGTTGCAAGAACTTCCATCACGGATGATCTCACATTGCCTCGAGAAAGCTATTGTTCAATCGAAGTCGACATCGCAGCCCAGAACATCACCAATAGGCACAAGGTTAAAGAGCGCTTGCTCCACCACGACTTTACTGAGTTTCTAAGGCCTCCAACGGACGATGTTAGACTGGTGTCTAGTATGGCTGGGCTATGGAAAGCTGAGGCACGAAGGCGCCAACGCCAATTACTACCCGGCCAAACAAATATTGAGCACCTGGTGTCCTCTGTTCCGCGAGACGCTTTTGTGTCGATGTCGGCTGACTCTCGATCATCCCAGCCTCAGGCATGGATTCATGAAGGAGAATACCGCCGAAAAGTGGAAAAGTTAGTTGCTAAAGAACAAGACCAATGCCATGGACCGGAGCTTAATCTGGATACATTTTTGAAGCCTCTACACTCTGAAAGTTCCATTAAAACTGCTTTACAGTCTGTTGAAGATTTGCATCCGTCTAAACTCTTGCCCTCACTTGGGCTTTCATTGGGACTAGAGCAGCTAGACGAGGATCCTGATGCCAGTATTATGGTCGATGAACTGAAACTTTCTCAAGTGGGAGAAGATGACCTGCTCGGAACAGATTCGGATGATATGGGGATAGGCCAAGAGACTGGCCAAAACCACGATGATGCAGCAATAGAGAGCACAAAGGACCTAATGAGTCAACGCGTCTTGGCTCAATCATCGAACATCGAAACCATGAAATACAAAAGACGGATATTTGGAATCGGCCAAAGCGGTCTTACAACCGGCGAGCTTCCTCGTATTCCCGTATCGGCCAGGTTGGTTGAAGCTGCGCTGCGCAGCTTACTTACCTTCAAAAACGGTAGAACGGCTGTGGGGGGCCAAAAGACAAAAGTAATCCGTAAACGTACAGCATCATGGTCGTCGAATGGCAATTCTGCTAAGAGGGCCAAGCACGATCCTTCATATGAAGATGACCCTCCCCCCCAATTAACAGGTGCAAATCAATCAATGTCCTATTACGAATCTGAGTCGCATATCTCGAAATCAATCGGCCCTTCAGGATCGCCGCCTCGTATCGTCGAAGGAGAAAAAACTAAAACCTCAGGTCACGTCGTGACCTATGCTATTCGTCCGCCATCTGTGGCTGAAATTGCTTTGAGGAAAGATCACCACATCTCATCTAGTATCATATACCAGGATGCTTTTTACAGCAGAGAAGCCGATCTTCCGGTGCAACGACGGGAATATGCCGGTAGGGAGTTCCGATTAATCAGCGACACTCTTCCCTTTTTGCATGACTTTGATCCCACCGGAGGACTTTCACCATACGGAAGCCCCGATCTCGATATGAGTCGTTCTGATGGGTCGCATATGAAACAAGAAGATCGGCAGTTGAAGAGATCATGTTCGTGGAGAAGCTGGGAGATTGCACAACTTCCTCCTTCCTATGAGGAGGTTAGAAAATGGTCCACTCAGAGCGGCAAGGTCGACACAACTAGCAGTACAGCAACTAGACGGACTTCAGGTCGTTCACTGCTCTCTCAAATTGATGGCCCAACACAGAAGGCCAAATATGATTTTAAATATAGTCAAAAGCAGCCCTCGACAGCTGTGCCACACGAAGCCCAATATATGAGCATAATGAGCCTTGAGGTTCATGTGAATACGAGGGGGAATTATGTCCCCAATCCAGAAGAAGACGAAGTCCAATGTATTTTTTGGCATTGGAAAGATGACGAAGCAATAGCAAGTACTGATTTCGAAACACCAACAATATCAAAATCCGGTATTTTAGTCCTGTCAGCCGATGGCGCCCTGGCTGATCGAATAAGGCATGCAGTATCTGACGAAGTCACTCACGAATCTTCAGAGCTGGATTTACTCAATCGCATGGTTGAGATAGTTAGAGTCTATGACCCAGATGTGCTGACCGGCTACGAAGTCCATGGAAGTTCATGGGGCTATCTCATTGAACGGGCAAGGCTGAAATATGACTACGATCTTTGCAATGAATTTTCTCGAATGAAGACACAATCCAAAGGTCGATTTGGGAAAGAAAGCGACCAGTGGGGGTTCAATACAACATCAACGATTCGAATAACGGGAAGACATATGATCAACATATGGAGGGCAATGCGTGGCGAAGTGAATCTTCTCCAATACACCATGGAAAACGTGGTATGGCATCTTTTGCATCGTCGAATACCACACTATTCATGGAGGTCTCTCACATCCTGGCTCCAAAGCGGCAAGGGACGGGATTTAAACAGACTTTTGAGATACTATCGAACACGGTCCAGGCTAGACTTGGAAATTCTCGAGTCCAACGAGCTGATCTCGAGAACTAGCGAGCAAGCAAGGCTTCTAGGCGTCGACTTCTTTTCCGTATTCTCTCGCGGCTCACAATTCAAAGTCGAGTCCATCATGTTTAGGATTGCCAAACCAGAAAATTTCATGCTGGTCTCCCCTAGCCGGAAACAGGTTGGGCAGCAGAATGCACTTGAGTGTCTACCACTAGTAATGGAGCCCCAAAGTTCATTCTATAGCAGCCCTCTTGTTGTGCTGGATTTCCAAAGTCTTTACCCTAGCGTCATGATTGCATATAATTATTGCTACTCGACGTTCTTGGGACGAATCACAGATTGGCGAGGCAAGAGCAAGATGGGCTTCACTGAATACAAACGACAAGACGGTTTGTTAACTTTGCTAGAAGATCACATCAACATTGCGCCGAATGGCATGATGTATGTGAAGTCCGAGGTTCGGAAATCTTTGCTCGCCAAAATGCTAACCGAAATTCTGGAAACGAGAATAATGGTCAAGAGTGGCATGAAACAAGACCAAGATGACAAGACCCTTCAGCAGCTACTCAATAACCGACAGCTTGCTCTGAAATTGCTCGCCAACGTCACCTACGGTTATACTTCAGCTTCATTCTCCGGGCGAATGCCTTGTTCAGAAATCGCAGACAGCATTGTGCAGACTGGTCGCGAGACACTGGAGAGAGCTACGGCCTACATCCACTCCGTGGAGCGATGGGGTGCTGAAGTTGTATATGGTGATACTGATAGTCTTTTCGTCTACCTCAAAGGGCGTTCAAGGAATGAGGCATTCGCCATCGGCCAAGAGATTGCTCAGGCTATTACGGAAAGGAACCCAAAGCCAATAAAGCTCAAGTTTGAGAAAGTCTATCATCCATGCGTTTTGCTTGCTAAAAAGCGCTATGTCGGTTACAAGTACGAAACCAAGGATCAACTCATGCCTGCATTTGACGCCAAAGGTATAGAGACTGTCCGCCGAGATGGAACTCCCGCAGAACAGAAGATTGAAGAGAAAGCACTGAGGTTACTATTTGAGACAGCCGACTTGAGCCAAGTTAAAAGATATTTCCAGAAACAGTGCAAAAAAGTGATGCGTGGCAAAATATCAGTTCAAGACTTTTGCTTTGCCAAAGAAGTCCGCCTTGGCTCCTATTCTGCGCATGGCCCAGCGCCTGCTGGAGCACTAGTCAGCGCAAGGAAGATGCTGCAAGATGCCAGAGCAGAGCCACAATACGGCGAACGCGTCCCGTATGTGGTGATTACTGGAGCGCCGGGTGCTAGGCTGATCGATCGGTGCGTCTCACCAGAGGAGCTTCTCCGTAATCCTCACTGGCAGCTGGATGCAGATTACTATATATCCAAAAACATCATCCCTCCGTTGGAGCGAATATTCAGTCTTGTCGGCGCCAATGTGAGGCAGTGGTACGACGCAATGCCCAAAATACGACGTATTCACCAAACAAAGGGGCTTGGGAGTAAGAAACGGACATTGGAGGCATACATGCTGTCGGTACACTGTATGATTTGCAGAAGAAAGATTGCCGGCACTGCAGAGCTATCATTGTGCCGTTTCTGCTATGCCAGGATGCCGGCGTCTTTGCTAGCGCTACAGGCAAAACTAACTGCGGCGGAACATAAGTACGCTGAAACGCTACGCATTTGCCAGAGTTGTGAAGGCATTGGCCCTCTGGACGAAGTTGGCTGCGATAGCCATGATTGTCCCGTATTCTGGACTCGCACTAAACTGAAGAACAAGATGCTCTACGAGCAGGCGGTAACTAGCCCGGTAATTGATGGAATAAACGCCAAGATAAAGAGCTCCTCTTTGAACTGGTAATGGATAAGGCGTGATATGATGTCATCTTCGTTTCTCTTAGGATGGAGAAGCCTCATTTTGTTTATACGTACTAGCAAATAAGTAAATGTTTGAAACAATCGGTATGCTATGAGATGAATGTTTAATATTACTTGATGCTTGTCCCTTTCCCAAACGCCAGCGCTAATACAAAATACAAAATCCTTATCTAGGCTAAATGGTTGCCCTGAGCCTTTGCGGCTAGTAAGTGACCTGTCCGTTCTATATCTTCTTGTACAAGTACATCTATAACAAAGTATGCTCGGCATCAAATTTTCATGGTACTGTCAAGACTTGAGTCGAGAACTGAGTGGCCTAGGTACGGCCTACCGGATTCTAGTCGTCGTCCATCCATGCAGAGTATTCGTCATCGTTCAATTCTGCAACAGCTGATGGGCTAGATGGAATTGGTCGACCTGGGGTGGCAGAGATTCCTGTATCTAAGTTCTTAGTCATGTCATCTGTGGAATTTGTAGCGGCAAACTTAATGCTGCTTGCAGCATTGTTAGTTTGCTGCTGTGCATCAGGAAAGTCTCGGTTCCAAAGTTCGGTCTGATGCATCTCGCCTTCCATGGCAGGACTATTAGGCTGCGAATCATCTGGTGCGGCAACGACGAGGATATTTGGACTATACTCCTCTTGCAGTTGACTATCTTGTCTTCTCCTCCACGCTGCGGATTGGTGTCGCCTAGTCTGGTCTTCTTCAGCCGCAAGGGCAGCCTGCTCCTCTAGTACTAAACTGGGAGATCTCCGCTTCGATGTGGGAACGGGTCCTATTTTGGTACCCCCGTTTGTTGGCATTGGAAGCGGTGTCCCTGGCGGTGGAAGCGGTTGCCCTCGACCCATGGGCTGGCTCAAATCAACGGGGGCGCTTTTTTCGTTGTTTCGCATGGCTTCTCTTTGTCTCTGGATAGCATTCCATCCCCACTGTCTTGCCTGTGCTGCCGCATTTGTAACTGCCGCCAAAGTATTCCTCTTTTGTGCCATGTCACTTTCGATGGAACCAGTCGTCGTCATACTAGAAGGGTCACGTTTTTGAAAAAGACCACGGCTAAAGGAGCCTGCGTGAGATTTCACCGAGTTAGATGTAGACGTACGAGAGAGATCTGGTTCAGACCCGCCGACCGTTCCAGGGGATAGAGACATATTCTGCTGTGGTAGCTGCGGCAAAACCTTGGGGTCAACATCGCCGTCTGTGCCATAGTTGCCATGGAAGTCTTTAGAGGAGGAGGAGGAGCGTCTGGATGTGATGGTGGACTGCGACAACTTCCTAGATATTGGCAAGGGTGAAGCGTCCTGAGACCTAGATCGCAAAGCCGCAATCTGGTTCATAGCGTAATCTGGCGGGGATGTTGAGGGCTTGAATATATCGGCATGGGCCGTTTCAGTTCCGACAATTGGCTCGGTAGAAGTTTTAAAGCTCCTAGGAGAATGAACCGCAGTTGGAACGGTTATATCCACACTGGTTGATGACCCCAAACTTGGCAGCATAGAATCTGCCTTTTCCAACTTGCTTTCAAGTGGACTGGGTGTTGGTTCAAGAGAGTCCATTACCGGCATTGTTTGGCTCTTTTCGATGGGTTGGTTGCCATCAGAGTGAACACCAGAGTCAAAGAGGTCTGGTATTTCCGCATCGCCGACTTGAGGCAAATGCTCGGTTGGCAATGCAGGAGATTTGACGGCATCATCCCCTTCAAAAATCCCGCCTCTCCACTGTTTGTGTTCCGTGTTGAAGAAGGGTATATCATCCCAGAATGGCTGAACCAAGGTCTCGGCAAAGACTTCCTTGATACGATTTTCTATCTGGCGAGTGATAACGGTATAGGTAATTTGTCTCGAGCTGACAATGGGCTCAATAGTCATCTCCATCTTTGGCATAGTCTGAAAGGAGACCCAAATTCTGTTACTTGGAGGCGGCTTGATTTTAAATAAAACATGACCCTCGAGTCTCCGAAGAACCAAGGCAAGAATCAGATTCACCTCTCGAACTTTAAACCTTGCCCCTAAATCGATCCTTGCAGTGGCAGCAACCTCGATTCGAAAGCTGCCTGTATACTTCAGATCGGCTTCTACTACGCACTCGCCCTCAACGTTGAGATCTCTGAGTTTCAGGTTGGAGAGGTAAGGCGCAGCATCTCCAGTGTCAATCTGTTGAATCTTGATATTGGTGAGAAACGAAGGTCGTTTGACGCGCGAAATCTTTTTGGTGATCTTGTCGCTGATAAAAGTTTCCAAATCTCGGGTTTTATACACGCCCAAGAAGACTCTGCCAATAAGTGCATTGATCCAACGTGAGTGTACTTGATCCTCCGATGAATGCAGCTTCTGCACTAATGAAATGATGGATTTGAGCTCGAATTGTTTAGGCAGTGGCGCAATGTCTTCGAAACCAAAGGTGTGCTGTTGATTTTTCAGCATGGCAAAGTAAAAATCTTCTTTTGCTGAACAATTTTCCGAAAATAGATAGAACGGCCTGGACCCCGAATTATCCGACGAGTGTTGTTCCAGTTCATCGAGCTTTCGCGTCAAGGATATCGCATTTCGTTTGATGAATAGCTCCCCCTCCGGTGTGATGTCGCCGCCCGAGTATATGCCTATTCTATGGTGCGCCAAAGAAATTACATGTCGTACTTCGAGCTGTTCCTCGTCGTCGAATAGCATCAAATGGCCATGTCTGCAGCCTAGTTAGTGTATGAGCTACGTACGAAGGAGAAACATGCGGAAGCGCACCTAAGCACCACGTAGAATACATTGCCTGCCTTCTTAGGCCTCTGACTAGCGCTGCTACTGTTGTCCATCGGGCTAGCAGCAGCTTTGCGGTCGAAAATACTCCTATACATTGTCTGATAGACGCTTGGGCTGGGGGGAGTCACTGTGGCTGAGCCGATAGGAGTCGAGCGCTCCACGGGTTTGGCATTGATGCCCATGGGAACATATTCACGGCAAACTGCAAAGTAACCTGCAGCGACATCGATATCGGTATTCGACCTCTTGGAATCGCTATTGTTTCGTTGCCTCTTGGCTTCGTCGAGTGCTGCTGTGTCATCGCCGGGATGCACAATGTCGCCCTCGTCCGGGTCGTATGGGATGCCGAGAACGCGTCTATATGGCAAGTTATAATATCCGAAAAGGAGCACAGATGCAAGGAGTAAAGGTATGAAGGTAATGCCACCTATCAGGTAGGCCACCAGAATCGTCGTCCAAGCCGCCATGGCCAGATTATGAACAGGCAACTCTGGACTTCGTCCGGGATGATCGCGGCCCGCTAGAAGACGGTCAAGGCGAAATAAACGCGATGTAAAAAGAAACAAACATTATGCTGCGCCGATAGAGAGTTGCCAGAATGCTTAGTTTGATCATAAGACTGTTAGCTTAGGTCTGGTATGGGAAGGCGAGCTGGCCAGATGATTGATGCGAGGCTTGTCAGCTACGTCATGTGATGAATAGCGTCCTGAGGTACAAAGGTACTTAGCACGTGGTACCTGAAACCACGCAGGACTCAAACTTGAAAACGTTCTAGGTACCGTACTAAGGTAGTAATACCTCTACAGAGAACTCACCAGGCGACACCAATAAATTAATAAGATCTTGAAAGACAAATTAGAGACGAAACAGAAGCAAGAGCATATGGGCATTGCTCTCGTAAGAATGACAGCACCTAAAGGTATCTATTTCTCGTTTAAGCGCTACCTAGAGCCGGGTACCAGCAGTAGTTTAGATAGGTTAGTAGGTGTAAAGAAAAGTGCAATTTCCATGCCTCCTTGAAATAATGGGTTTCATTTGCACGAGGCTTATCGGACTGAGTGAGTAAGTGGATCTCGCCAGATGATCTCCAGCAGTAGAGCTGTATATAGGCACAGGTACTACTAGTATGTAGGTAGAAACCCGAATATTTAGTTACGCTAAGAATATCCTGGAATCTATCAACTCTTTATCTTCATTTCAGGACGTCAAACTTTAAAAATGAACCTATCTATATTAGCCCACCGAGCCCAGTTTGCTTGATGATCAAAGCCGTGTCCAAAAACTCACGTAGACGCCTTGGGTAGGTACTAAAAGATAGATTTAGGGGCTTAGGCTTCCAATTGGGTTTTGAAAACCAACTAACCTATTCGCATTAAACTGCATACATCTTTCTAGTATTAGTATTGAACTACACTAAAACTTGCGAATCTAGATCTCGGCAAGAAACAAGCAATACTAGTGTTTGCGGGGATATAGGTTTACTTGATTAACCATGAGCCTTCCTCATACTCAAGGGTAAGCACAGCTTGGGGTGGGACATATGAACTGCTGTGACTGTTCATGCGATTCGCTTGGAGAGGTGGGCCTGGCCCCAATTGCTCCATATTTTTCTACGGAATCTGTGCCGCATATGCGAGGGAACCTTTTACGAGGCTGCGAGGGCTCCCCTCACGGTAGGTAGCCCCGTTTGATGAGAACCAGAACCGATCAGGGAGCAACATACTGACTATTATTCCGTACGGAGAATTGCATACTATTACAAGCATGCTATTTGTTATCTAGTACTAGTACTTAAGGCTCTGTAATCAGCGTATAAAATGCTACTTGTCGGTAGTAATGGCTGAAGTATTGAAGGATCAACGAGCCTGAATGTGGGCTAATTTCTAGCGTTAGTGCTGGCATTTTCACGCTAATAGGACAAGGCTTCCACATCTTTGTTTACGCGCTGCCAGCACCCCCGTCTTTGACCAATCCACGCCCAGAGCTGATGATCAAGGATGCAGCGGGATGTCTCCGAGCGGTTAATATTGGCTTATCGTTGGCTATATATGTATCCACCTGCACTTTTTCAAAAAGTGTTCGACCAACATACATAAAGACAAAGAGTTCTTCGAGGTCAACTAAGCCAAGAAGACTATCCTCTCTCCTGACCTCCCTACTCGGTCATAAGAGGTACTATGTAATCGCGCTCTTCTAAAATTTTCCGCGAGTTTTCTCGGTAGTAGCAGTAAATAAATAATCGAGAGCCTGCCATGCACCACTACGCTAGCCTCCCTGCTAACCACCTCTTCTTTGTATTGAGCCTCGGGAATATCAACGAGCCTAATTGTGTGGCTTTGCTTTCTTTTTTCTTTTGCAAGTTTGAAGAGGCCGTGAAAGAAAGAGGGGTCATAATTCAGCGGTCTATGCTTGACTTCGGTGACGGTTCGACAGGAAAATGAGAATCGGGTGCCTGCAGTTTGCGCCCCAAGTCGGCGATGTCGACAATAACCTAAATCGCGCGGATGCAGTTCTTTCGAAAGCAAACCCCGAAGATTTAGATATCCTTGTTTTGCCTGAGATGGCATTTTCTGGTATGGCTATGCCTTTCTGTTTTATGCGTCATTTACCTGCCTGTTTCATTTGTGCTCCTTAATTTTCTTGGAGATTATATGGTCTTTCACCGTGCCTTCCCCCCAAACGTGTGCATGTGCCGAAAGAAATAAGTATTGATTCCGCCAGGATACAATTTCAAGTCGCTGCAGGATATTTCGCCATTTCTTGAGCCTTCGGGCTCAGGAATCACCTCACTATGGGCCCGCACGATGGCCTTGAAGTATAACTGCACTGTTCTTGCAGGATACCCAGAGAAGGTTGACGTCTCACCCAACTGGCCTACAGGCCCTGAGTATTATAACTCGGCCATTGTTGTTAACGGAGATGGCGAAACGATTGCCAATTACCGCAAGGCTTTTCTATATTACACGGATGAATCGTGGGCGTTGGAGGGGAGTCGTGGATTCTACGATGGGTACATTCCAGGGCTTGGGAATACAGCTATTGGATTTGGTGAGTCGGAAGTAGCAATAACAAATGCAGACACTCTATCCTTTTTGAGTTCTCTACTGTACTAATGTGATGATAATAGGTATGGACATGAAGTAAGTTAACAGACGCTGGGCTATAGTGCCTTTAGCACAGCCCCTTTTGCGATGCGGGATTAATTAATTTTGTACCAGCCCTTACAAATTCGAAGCTCCATGGCATGCATTCGAGTTCGCCTTCCATATTCTTGAAGTAGAGTCTAATTTGGTCATTGTCACCATGTCGTGGATGACCAGAGAGGATCGCAGGCACTTCAGTCGGATGCCCAACGAACCCGACATGGATACGCTCACATATTGGATCACGCGACTGGAGCCCCTCATTCGATCTAATAACGAAGACGAGATTATCGTCGTATTCTGTAATCGCACTGGTACAGAAGACGAAATTACATATGCGGGCACCAGTGCCGTCATTGGCATTCAGGAGGGAGAAGTCAAAGTATACGGCTTGCTGGGGCGAGGCGAAAAAGATCTCTTGGTCATAGACACCAACAATCGTCCATACGCAAAACTCCTTTATCGGCCAGAAGACATGGTTGGGGGCTTGAGCAAACATCCTGTCAAGCTTGAGCAGCAGCAGGGTATATCCAACGCCGATACCAGAGCTATGTTTGCTTCTGAGAAGCCATATGCCCAACAAGAGAAATCAGTTAAGATTCCTTCTTCCCTAGATCGGAATAATACTGTGCCAGCTGCGCCTTCTCTCAAAGTAACGCCTCTGGCTGTTCGCCCACGACTTGTTATTCCACAATCGCCACCTATACTACCGAACCAGCAATATTCCGAAGAAGATGATGTCTTAAGTGCCATTTCGATGAAGTCCGCAAAGTCGATGCAATCAGTCAAATCGAACGAATCAGAAGCTTCGGTTCAAACAATTCGTTCGAACCCCCGACCGCCGGAAGATAGTACGCCTTATCCAAATAGCGGTCTACCATTGAGTGGCTATCCAACAAACGGCTTCCGAAACGAGTATGAGAAGCGCATCTATGGTGGTCAAGTTGTTATTACTCACGATTCCGACACCGTTTCTCCGACAACGCCTTTTGAGGGTGTGTCCCCAATAACACCCCTTAGAGCTTGGCGACCTCATGATGGAATTTTTCGGACTCCAATTGCTGGTCCCGGTGGATGGACGCCGAGCACACCCATTGGAAAAAAGCCAGAGCCGTTTCCGTGGTCAGAAATAAAAAACATAAACCCCGAGTCGAATAAAGACGCAAGCAAGGACGAGGGTGTCAACAACAACAAAGTGATGGGCATCTCAGACACCGGGTCCAACGATGCACAGTCTCCGAGATCAAATACATCTTCTAAGACTAGCAAATCGAAATTGTCAGATGCAAAGACACCACAGAATAATAATCAGAGCGAGAAGCAACTTTCAAGACCATCCTCTCCAAAATCACGGAATGCAAGCCGCTCTGGTGTTAGAGGTAGAACTGATTCTTCGCTGAGCCAACGCGATATTTCATTGGATGTATCGCAGCATATCGAACAAATATCGCAACGAGCAGAGTCTAGGAACAGATATAAGAATAATGGACGATCACATCAGCAGCAACAGCAGCAACAGAGTGGGTCAATTGTTGACCGCCTTTCATCCCCAAATATTGGGAGTGATGAATGGAGTAGTAGTGGAGCGGATTCTGCAATGGATCACCTACTCATACCCATTGCTGCAAGCCCCAGTATCTTGGGGCCTGGGGCTCGAGCAAACATTCCGACACCTGTGGCAATTGACTATTACCGCCGACCTACTGCGCAAAGATCCCCTCAGAACGTACGATTACAACAGCGACCTGATCATGGGAGTCCCAGATCAGATGCTATGAATAATGGTATCGATCTCCAATACGTATCTATTAGTGGAACACCGCAAACATCAGCTCACTCTCCGGACACACAAGATACTTCTACTCGTTCTATCAGTAGGGGACGCCAGCCTAAGCGCAGAGACACTTCTACCAATGCCGCGACAGAAGATATAACAACTGAGAGGGCCACCTCTGCTGACTCGATCATAAACGGCATACTGCACACGCGAGTTGCGAAGCGCCACTCCAGCCAAAAGAAAGATGCACGGAATCCGTCCCAGTCTAACGAAGGGTCGTCTCACGCTGAACATGTACATTCCCATAGCGTTCCAAATGAGTCGGAATTTGAGAGGGTTGAAGTTATCAGCTGTCCTAGTTGCCCCATCCATGGCCGGCATTCTGCTTCATCCCATGACGCTTCTAAACGGACCTCTGATTCGACTGGCCAAAGACGGCGTGCTAGCGAAGTTGCATCCGAAGAGAAAGCTGGATCAGATTGTAATATTCGTTCAGAGAAGAAGGACGCGGAGAAGGCCGAAGGAAATATGGTTGAAGCAAATGCAAGGTCGATGGATCAGGAGACTGCCGCAAGTATCAGTAACCAATATGCCAGCACAAATGAGCAGTTGAACAACAACAAGTCTGTGCTGTTGGGAAGCACGGCTCAGATGGAGCTTTCTTCCGAGAGCCAGCCCCTACGTATCCGATCGACATACAATCCCTCCACGCCCAGGGCGATGATATTTAATCCCGATGATACCCACATAAACGCAACATTAGTTGAAAATAAGATGGGAAATGAACGAGAGCAGCAATTGCCGAGTTGGTTTACTGTTGAAGGGAAAATGGGAGATGAAACTTTTGATTCTTGAAATTCGGACTATCTAGTTCACATCCAAAGATATATGAATGTGTCTCTATTCAGGCCGTTAATAGGGGTTTTGTAAAGCGAAGCGAACCGTTGTTTTTTATTATAAGGAAAAAAAAAAACTGAGAAATATATTGCTGTTTGATCATTGCATGCAACGTATTCAACTTGACATATGTACATATAATCCCAACGCATTTCAATTGCTCACCCCGAGCTGATATGAAAGCATTTCTCGACTAACCAAAGTTTTTGACGCCCACTCAAAGCGTTCATAGTGGCGAGTAAAGCTGGTGTGTTGATCAAGGCCATGCAGTGTAATCGAGGCCACCTGTTTTGATCGACCGAGGTCAACCAAGTCAGTCATCGAATATGAGTGAGGCCACAAGCAGACAGGGAGGCGGATGAGCTACCTTTGCATCCGGGAAACAGACAGAAAAAAATAGAATGATGATACATGATCAGAATGTAGCCAGAATGAAGCCCCAGAAAAGGGCCATGGAAAGTATGTTTGGCATACTGCCGTGATCAAGGGTCCACTTTAAGCATCTTCTAAGGTTTGCGTATTGTCTATTCATGAGAACAAAGCTGGAAATGCGAATTTGTCTCTCGCTTTTTGCAATTTGGCTTCGCAGCTGTTGCTCACGCAGCTGTTGCTCACGCAGCAGTTGCCCGAGAAAAGCCTCAAGCTCAGACCAATAATATTCCACATGCCTCCACAGCCACTCGCCAACCGTGCTCCCCAACCAGCTGATATTCGCCCAGTTCAGCCTCAGCAGCACCGGGAGATAGTCAGGCTCATCGTACTCCACTTGGCGCAAGTCCTCTGTAAACGCGTAGACCCCCAGCACGAAGACTTCAAACCCGATGGCAAAGTTGAAGAGGAGGAGCCACCGCAATAGAGCAAACTTGAGGAAATCAGAAGTCTCTTCGATGTCGCGGAGCTGGCAGTCCCAGGTGAAAGTCCCGGGGCGGCGGGTGTAGGCTTGGTGGGCAGAAACGAGGGCGACGAGGATGAAGGTGAGCAGGAAGTAGTACACAGTGGCGCGGTATATAGGGGGAGCGTTGGCTAATGCATCGAGGGCGGAATCGAAGATGTAACGGGCGATGCGCATTCCAGCCGACATGCACAAGATTTTGATGGCCTCAGATCTGTCCATCATGTGGCGTATGGGTCTCAATATGATTCTGATGGGGTCGAGTATGTCCTTGATGTAAATTCTGCCTGTTTGGTGTCTTGTGGGAGTATAACAGGAGGCGAGAGCAGTTGTGTGTGCAGTTTTGTGAGTGGGACGAGTGGGAGGTATGTAGGCAACAAGACTGGATCACTTGCGGATAGAGGACATGGAAGCATTTATGTGCATGTTTTCAAAGAGGCTAATAATATATATAACATGTAAACTTTTGCATTACGCGTCTCTTTTAACCCACCGGCCATCGGTCCTACAACGCCATGATAGAAACGTTGAAGCTATGCGCCCACAAGTCTCGGCTATGAGCCATTCCCGGACCAAACTTCCCCATCCAAAACCCACGAGATATAGTTTTGGCCCAACCCTATTAATAGTGGGTGCGCCAAATCAATATAAGGTTGTATCCCATAAGGAGCCAAGCTCGTTCGATCAGTGGCAAAAGCCGGGGCGGTCTCGCGCCGAACCGGGGAGCCACGAAGTAGACACAGGCCCAAACCAAGATGCCAATGAACTCACAAAAGAGGATGAGGGATAGGATGCCGGCCCACAGCGAGAAAACGGCCGATGTAGCGGCAATGAAGGTCTTGTCCCCGTTGTCGTCGCCGCTGTCTTTCATCTGAAGGCGCCAGGAGGCAGTGGTGCCCTCTCCGACGGCCAACCACATGGTGCATATGAACCAGGCGATTTCATGATGGATGATGAATGCGAGGACCCAGTGGTCCAAGAGTATCATTGCTTGGGCGATACAGCCACCGATTTGCATCACGGTGATGATGATGGTGACGACTGGGCCGAGGAAGCGAACCCAGAGAGGCATTCGAGGATTTTGGGGCATCTTGGGCAGTCGATTGGCTGAAGCGGTTGTTTGTGGATACGGTTTGATATAAGTCTGAACGGAAGAACTGATGATGAGGCTGACTGATTGTCGACTTTGCACAGCAAGAGGAGTATTGAGTTATTAGAAGAATAAGCTGACGAAGAGTTTTTGTCTTTATTGAGTAGAAGAAAAAGAATGGAAGAAAAAGAATAGATGAAAAAGAAGAAGAGAAGCAAAAGAAAAATTGCCTAGAGCTCACGATATCATACTTCTATACGATGACGATGTTGGCAGATAGGGCCCAAAAAAGTATCCTGGGCTTATAACGCCCAAAAGGCTATTGTTGCTATATTTGTGGTTTGTGTCTGAGTCCCGCCGGGAATCTGGCCGGCGAAAATAAGATTCATGACGCGGCAAAGCGTGCAAACAGTTGTTGAGGCTCATGGTGGATTCAGCATATACGCATATACTTGGCGTCTATACGAAGCATCGTGGCTGTCTGATTCCGATCAAGCGACGGCCACTAAACTGAGTTGGAACCAGCAAATGTAGATAATCGAGGCGTTTGCAAAGGTACATGTACACGTACACGTGATGTAGCATCTGCAGCCTTTGGAGTCTCTACTGTAGAGTTTTGCGGTTTCATCTTCACATGCTGTTCTGTTTGAGCTTGGGCTTCCATCCCCGGCATCAATAGTCAGCTCGGCCCAGCTCAGGCCGACTCGCCAAGGCCAGGCTCGGGCATCCGCGCATTTCCCCCTCCGTTGGCTGGTCGAGCGTGAGCCAATCATCGAGTCTTGATTCCGTCACGGCCACAGAAACGTGATCTCGACGAGGGGCGTAACGAGCGGGGCTATGAGCCGCTTGTCTCTCATATAAATAGCAGCTTTGCTTCCTCCTCTTCAATCATCTTCTTTTTCCTTCTTCACTTTCATCTCCAATTCTTCCTTCACTCAAGTTTGGCCAGACTCCTGTCTTGGCCTCCGACATATCGGAACTTTACAAGCTTTGGCGAGCTGCAGCTGACGCCGGCGGAGGACTACATTACGCGGCATTGCCCTCGAATAGTACAGCTCTACGCCGTCTGACTCTTCTACAGATCGTGTGGAGCTGTAGAATTCGGTCGGTGCCCTGTAATGTAGTCATCCGCCGGCGTGAGCCGCAGTGGTTTGCCTGGTAAGTATATCAACATTCCTTTCTTCTTTTTCCTCTCTGGCTTTCTGATGGGCGGCAGGCTAACTGGTGGCGGCAGGAGGAGTACGAGGAGATGGTCCACAGCGGCAACATGTATTTCGATCTCAACATGTGCCACGATTCAAAGACTCACATGAAATCGAAATACATATTGTCGCTCTGGACTGTCCTGCTCTTAATCTTGCAGGCGCGCCATTGGGTTGTAATGCAAGGAAGGGGGCCTGGGAAATGGGAGATAGAGTCATGGGGTCGGAATAAAAAGCATTGTGGGCGTAATCATCTTGTCCAAAAGTGAATGCTGTGTTATCAAATCATGTGCTGTGAATCTGTTTCTTACTTGTGCCCTCGTCGTAAGACATTGCCGTAAGACTTCGCCGTAAGAAAATCGTGCTGTAAACTTGCAATAATCTTGGTTTCTTGTCGTGTCCCCGTGCCCTCATTTATCGGTGTCCTCATTTATCGCATTCTGGCTGTGATGCAGTTTCGCCGATTGATTCATCTTCCTTCTTGATGGCGTTGAGGCTGCCCAAAGATGAGAAATCAAGGAAATGATGATTTCCCCGCATGTTGTACCCATGTACTGATAGTGCCTTTATGAGATTGGTCGGCAGCAGCTGCCCTGTTATTGGCATGTGATAACCAGTGCAGATAATTGTCAAGGCTGTAATGTACATCTATTAGAGCAGTACTAGTAGTAGGTATTATAAGAAGAGACTGTACATAATCAGGCTAATGGTGTATCTAACGCATTCAAACTTGAGACAAAAAAAGACATCTGATTACAAAGTCGAAAACAAAAATATCTAAGCCATGGTATAAATGAAAGGAAACGAACCGGCTAAAAAGGTCAAGGAAAGCAATTCCATCACTTGAACGAACTGGTCGGCCTTGGCCCCAGGCCGCTCTTCTCATAGGCCATATCAAGCATCTTCATCTGTGCAATCGAATCCTCCCTCTCAACCCAGTGCTGCGTCTTGCGCCCCTTGACCTTGTTGACAAACTGTTCCAGCTGGTGCCTAAAGGACATCCAGTGAGCCTCGCCGGGCAGATCAGAAAACTCGCCGCCAGCTTCCTTCCAGGTGTATGCTTTTCGCGAGGTCGTCTTCTCCCACTGCTTGACAACTTGGCCATCCTTTGTTCGGATCTCGTTGACTTCTTTGATGTCGATGCGATGCCAGAAGGCTCCATGGATAAGGCCTTGCAGCGTCAGCTCCCGCTTTTGATACTGTTGCTGGCCCGCAGGCAGGTCATCATTAGGAATGGCCGCCTCTCTGGTCTTGACTGTAACCCATGATGGCTTCATCACGGTTTCGCCCACCAGCGTGCTGGAGGCCACGCCGGTGCCGCCATTGGGGAAACGGAACGTGGCCTTGAACTCATAGTCACACTTGTCATGTATGCCCTCTGTGTACGACTTGACGTCGCAGCTGATGCACTCCTCTGGGCTTTCACCAAAGAGCAACTGCAACGCGGCAAAGTTATACGTGCCCATGGCCAAGATGGTGCCGCCGGCAAGATTGTAGTTGAAGTAAATCGCGTCCTTGCTGGTGGCCCACCAGGGAAGCATAGAGCGCGACTCCACGTGCTCGACTTCGGCGGGGTCAACCAACGAGTTGAACAAAGCCCAGGCAGGATAGAAGCGGCTGTGGAAGGCTTCGAGCAAAACGGGGCCGTTGGGCTGGTCCAACTCTGGCAAGTTGAAGAGGATATCGGCTTCGGCAGAGTTGGATACGGAAGGCTTTTCAAGCAGGACATGCTTGCCGGCACGGATGGCCCGGACAGCCCACTCAAAATGTAGGCTATTAGGCAGGGGAATGAAGACGGCATCGATGTTGGGATCATCGAGGATTTCTAGACCATGAGGGTTAGTTATACGTACATTCTATCAAGAGGCTACAGAATGTTATAGATGCGACCATTGCAGTTGGAGGCTTACCTTGATAAGTATCTTTTACCTCGGGAATGCCATGAGATTTGGCATACGCTTCCGCTTTGCTGCGATCACGAGCGCTGATGGCCTGGACGATGACCTCGGGGTGTGATTTGGCGGGGTTGAATAAGGAATAGGGACTGCAGGCATTGGTCAGATACGATAAAATATTAAATAGTAATGAAACTGGCTACGGAAATGGAAGCAGCATCTATATATGTGTATTGACTTACGCAATGCTGGCAGCTCCCAAAACGCCGAACCGGATAGCATCGCTGCTTTTTGGAGGGGTGGGCGGGTTGAAGCAGCCCCAGAGACGGCCAATCATGGACATGTTGGAGGTTTAGGAGTAGACGAGATGGTTTTCTCTGTTGAAGCTACTCAAAAGTTGAACGAATTGGAGGGGTTCGTGGCAGCGCTGGTGTAAGTGATGTTAGTATTGATGTGTGTAGATGGTCCAGAGGAGAAGAAATACATGGCTGCTTCATCCATTTTTATACTTGGAGGATCCAAACTCCGCTGCGGATTTGATCAGATACTCATCCATTCCGATACGTCTCTCCTGACGCGGCCTCCGCGTGAAGAAGAACGAGAACGAGATTAAGACGAGAAGAAAAAGAAGAAACGAAGCCCACTGTTGATACGGATCGGATAGATTTTCGAGATGGTGGCTTGAGTGGCGTTTCGGCGGCTGCTCCCGCGCGACAGGCCTGTGAGCAGCTTCGAGCCTCGGATTGGCTGGATCGGCTGACTCACCAGCAGCCCTTGCAAAATGGGCGTTTGCTAGCGCCATCGAGGAGCGTCTTTGCTCCGTGTGGCTTGACCGGGGTTTGGCGAATGGGATGCCGGGCTGACAACAATTTCTCCACTTCTCGCAAACCACTGCTACAGTAGGCCGCCAGGCTCAAAGCCCACGAAATCCTTCTGCCCTCGATGCCGTCTTTCACGCAGAGTCCGCCAACAACTCCGCGCATCTAGGCTGATTCACTCCTCACTATCAAGGTGACTGCCAGTTATTCCTGCCAGTAAACGCCTGCTGCTTCAACTGAGCCGATGTACGTACTCAGATCTGAACTCCGCTTCTGCTGCCGCTGACGGCATCATCGCCTGGGCCCGGTCTAAAGCTCCATTAGCCTTTGCCCATTGTAGAGCCCTCGACGGGTGTGATTGGCCGCTTCGAAGACCAGTACCTCACATGTCAGCCAAGGGGCGTGTAACTCGCGTGTGTTAGTAGGTACTACTAGCACTGGGACTTGACAGCGCATACGTGTAAAGAACAAGAAAATCAGGGGAGGCCTTGGACTGCTTCAAGTCAGTTCTTGCACCGCTTTCAAAGTCCTACATTATAAAATACTTTGCTTGTTGCTCATATTACGGGTAGTAACATGACCATATCTTTGGTACATGTTGCATAGCAATAGTAGCCTCTACATTACACCGATACAACATCAAGTCTATATGGAGGTCATTATATTGGAATAAACATGGTACAAGTACTGATCGTAATAGTGCAGGGCCACTCATAGAGAAGGCCAGTCGAACGCCCGCTTACTTGGTAGGCACATGCACCTTGCTAGCTGCCAATCATCATCGCTTGTATCGTCTCCTGTTTACTTGGCTAATTGGAATAACGCAAAGCCGGGTAATCTTCAAAGTCCAAGACCAGTGAAAAGTCGCTGAATCTAACCGTAGCCGTGAGGCAGTGTTTTATAAGAAGACTAACAAGTTCTACATGATGAGTCTGATCTGGGCATCTTGAATGAAACACCAACTCCCATAACGCCTCTGCTCCCTCCCTTACGGCCCGCTCACTTTCCCATGAGCTTGCAGAGCCAATAACTCTTCTCGTATCTCGTCCCAAAATGAGCAAACGCTGTAGTCTATCTCGCCCACAACAGTCTCGTTCGCCAGATACAGCATTCCCATGGCCTCGCTTCCCTGACTTCCTCCAGAGTAGCGCGGCCAATGAGCTCCAGGGCTTGCTACAGCTGCCATACTATCCCAAGAAGATATAATCTGCTTGCTGACCTGTAAGTCGTCTGCAGTAGAGCTGCAGTTCCCCCCGGGTGCGGGTAACCCGTCCAACACACCAAAAACAAATGGAAGCTCCGCGGTGTGCGTGGCACCAAGAAAGCTGTGGACAAAAGGAACATCGGGGACAGACGTCATCCAAGTGCAAGAGGGAACGCGGGCGAAGGAATAGGCAAACACAGGGACCCTGTTGGCGATGCCCTTCTGAAGGCCTCTGTGGGTCGTACACTTGAAGGCGTAGTCAGTGTAAATGGCACCGATGGCAGCGTCGGCAGAGTTGGGAACAGAAGCGGTTGGTGGAAATTTGGAGAGCGGATAGGTGGAATTGACGCGCGACGCAAGCGGGCCAAACTGATAACCCAAGAAGTCGTCGTAAGTATCCTGAGTTTGCTTTGTCAAGTTTTGCGAATAGGTAGCCAAAACGAAGAGCATGCCCTCTGACGTGGTCGAGCCGAAAACAGATGGAACCTTGACACCGGCTGAAGCAGGCGCCTTGGGAATTACTTTGCCATCTACAAGAGGTCCCCAGCTAAAGCCTCGGCCGAGATGGGAGATGGGGCTACCGATTGTCGGTCCAACTCCAGCGGGCATCTGTAAAATAGCTTTTTGCATCTCGGCTACGCTCTTAGAATTGATACAGGAGAACTAAAGCAAGACGGTCAGATTTGGAGAACACGTTTAGAAACGTAAAATGGTGTAACAGTGAGCCACTTACATCTGATGGCTGGCAGCCCAGACCAGTAAGGAAAAGATCATTCCAAGGTTGAGCCTCCGCAACAGATGCAAAATCGCTACCACCTCCCGATTCCATAATGGCAGCATTGATCAGACTAGGGGCCTCATCCATAGTCGCAATGGCAAAAGTATTGAAAGCGCCAGCTGACTGTCCGAAAAGAACCATCTTATCCTATATTTCATTAACAAGGATGATGACGCACGTTAGCAGTTGAAGAAAGAAAAGTGATATGGGCAGAGTTAAAGAAAGACTAACAGGATCGCCGCCAAAGGACTTGATATTATCCTTGATCCATTTTAGCGCCAGAAGCTGGTCTTGTATGCCAAAGTTGCCACCGATTCCAGCCTTGTCAGCCGCCAGGAAGCCCAAAGGTCCAACTCGATAGTTAACATTGACCTGAATGGCGTTCTCGGCAGCGTAACATCCTGTGTACATTGCATTGGAAATACCTCCTGCCTCATTGCTGCCACCAAAGATCCATATCTTGACAGGGAGCTTGGATTCATGAGGCTTGTGCTCCGGAACCCAGATGTCAAGGAAGAGGCTTTTTGGTCATCATTAGATAGGTGTAACAAGAGATATGTGCATAAAAAAGTCTATAGCAGTACAGTTACGTACCAGTCTTCAGATTGCGCTCCTGTCTCAATGAAAGTCGTCCCAAACTGCGGACAGGCCGGAGCGGCAACCGTTGCGTTTCGTTTGTTGAACACTTCAGTATATGGCGCAGGAGCGTGAAACCTCTTTGGAGGATTTGCGTAAGGAATAGACAAGAAGAAGTTTACGTCTGTTGTGTTGCATTTTCCACCCAACAGTGTCCCATGTCTTGTCGTAACCGATGGGGTCGACGGCAATGAACTTGGGCACCCAGTATTAGCGTAGCATGGCGCTGCCGCTAGGAGAGTGGTGAGAACGAGGGAGAGCAGCGCCATCTTGCCAATCTGAGCAAATGGGCTATAGGAGAGAAGAGGATGATTTAGGATGGATGTGTTGACGCGTTGGAAGGAATAACGGGTTGTTTAAATGCTGAAGAAGACCATCGTATAGCTCTAGGGATGCTCATTTGCGACCCATGAAACCCATGGCGAATTTCAACAAGATCCCCTAGACAGAACATGTAAGCCTCAAATCCACTCAGTTCCAAATGCTAGTAAGGTATGGGATTATTACCAATATCTTGACCATCACAGTAGTTACTATCTCGAAGCATTGTGCTTGCAAGGAGAAAGTCCAAATGCAGACAGTATAGAGCAGCGACAGAGTCCCTGATTGGCCAGTTCGCAAGACTAGCTAGGCGAAGCATAGCGCAGCCTCAACTAAGACGTTGTCATACTTTAGTACGATCCAAGTATAACAGGGCTTGGCGCCGGCCGCGTCGTATTTCCTTAGGCTTGCAGTGTTAATGAGTCGTCTTGGCCCCACACGATAGGATTTCGCGAATAGTAATAAACAATAATTAATCATAATAGGGCTAACGAAAACGAAGAAGAGGAAGAACGGCCAGCTGTTTCGCCGTCAACTCAACTAGCCGGGGGGGAATTCGCCAATATACCACAGGTCAGGATCCGAAATTGACGAGGTTGTCTGCTCCAGTTTTATCGCCATCGATATGGCTAGCTGTATGCCCATGCGGAGGCCCAGTTCTCGCAAAACGACAGCAATCCAGTCTCGCTGGTCTTTGGGTGTAGTGCTCAGCGATCCAGCCAGGAACAGTGGCCATAACAGCGTGTATCCACCTGGTTTGGCTCGTCTCAAGTCTGGCCTTGCAGCTTCGAGGCTGCCTCTCGAGTAGCGTCTGTTGCACCTATCGCCCATAATGTACGGCACACTGGAGCAAATCCCGTTTGTCATCTCGGCCAGTATTTTGGCTGAGTGCTTGATCCCCATCTTCTCTTCATCTGTGCCGTATTTTATTGTCGTCGTCATTATGGAATCATGGATCAAGATGCGGACCATGCGGTAGTTATTCCAAGTGGAAGCAACCCAGAAATCCGGATACTCGTCATATTGAAACATCTGGCCCCCAGCCGCTGTGTTAGTCCCTGGAACTAGAGATCTGTACGATCTATAATTCCACGAATCCGGAAGCTTCGACTTCCAGTCCTCAAGCTTGTGATCGATTGGCTTTAACATGGCAGTCACAGCTGCAGGGCTACGTATGGCCTTTCGCTTGATCTCAGCTCGGATAGCTGCGAGGTCCTCATTTAGCTCAGAAAAGCGGTTGAGGGAAGCCTCGTCTTTCTTTCTGGGATTCTCAGTCCATCGTGACCACGTCTTGAGAGTGTAAGGTAATGGCATCTGTAGCTGGTGGCAAGTCGAGACCTGCGAATTATTAGCATGCGCCAAACTTGTCGCTCATGGGTATGCCTGTTTTTTATTTTAAAGGGAAGAGATTCATACAATAAGACGACGTAGCTGAATAAATAAAATGACGGATACTAAATTGCGAAACTGGCTTGGGCCTCGAAGCTGAACACATTGAGCGCCGGCTATAATGTGGCGGCCGAAAGACTCCATAGAAGTCAAGTCACCATTAGAAATCATCTAGTGCAGCAGTCAGCTCCTGCATGTGTTCAACTTGATTGCAAAAGGATGAGGGGAACAAAATGATGTTTTACCTCAAAAGTACCCATCAGCATGACAGCTGCCAGCGTGCTATCAGATTTCATGTGGACGGGATCCTGCAGATCAACTTGCAACTGCTGGATGGCTTTTCCGTATGAACGATATGCATCGTATTTCCACGAAGTTGAAGCCCCAGCATTTGCCAAAGCGGCAAGTCCCGTGGCTGCAACAATGGTACTAAGCGCTCCTGTAGGCGGTTCGTGTTGAAGCAGGATCGGCAAATGCTCGTGGACTCCTGGAGAGATGCCGGTGCTGGCGCAGAGCTCGGGACTAAACGCGTATTGATACAGGAAAAAGGCTGTAGCCCTGTCTGTAATTGCAGGCGCCAAGTCGATGATTCTCTGCCCGTCTCTTGGTTCCAACGGCGGGCCAATGCTTGCTTGCTGAGAGCCTCCGGGCGCGGCACGTCTGCGGTGGTGCCGGAACATGACATCGGCCTCGGAAGGTATGCCCGGACACGCCCATCCGGATCTTTTGCACTGGGAACATTCGGGCTGCAGTCTGTCACACTACATTGCGGGTTAGATTCAGAGTACCAGTGTGTAGAGGTACAATGACCAGGAAGTTTTGGTGGATTCATTCATTACTTTGATCCTGCGCGTTTTGCAAGTGGCACAAGCCATGCTAGGCTTTCCGGTATTCACCATCTTGGCGACCTTCTTATTAGTCGGTCAATTGCGCGCTTCAAATGATTGCTATGTGCGATCGATTCAATTGTCATCGGAATGCCAGTGCTGCGAACTTGCTGCGAACTTGCTGCGAACTTGCTGCGAACTTGCTGCGAACTTGCTGCGAATCTCATCCATCTCATTTCGTCTTGTCCCGGGGGACGGCATCCAGGTAAGTAGTGGCTCTGTCATCCCTCGTTTTTAGATTGCTCTAAATGGCATAGTGTGATGAGTCCAATGGATGGGGATGGGGAACCCTCAGCCCTACCATTTTAGGCCGTGTTGCCGCCAATAGCTATGTATCTCTTTGCCTCGAGTGGATAAACAAGGAGGAAGATAAGCGCTGAGTGCGTCGTTCATACGTGAGTAAGCAATAAACGTGTTGTGAGGGCAAATCTCTTGTACTGATACAATACAGTAGATCGCCCAGTAATGGTCCCAGAATATTGCCGCGAAAGAAGAACTGCTGATCGCTACAAAAAGCCACGGGTGGATACGAGTCGTGGCAGGGTCACCGTAACTATAAACTCGTAGCGCTGCCGTCTCCATGCTGGTCAAATAATCGTGGGAAATGATGGAAGAGAGGAATTGGCAAAGCGAGGATGTCGTTGTAAACAGTGGTTGTGGAGACGCTTTTCACGAGAAGGAGCGGAAAGATGGTGCATCTTTCCCAAATGGAAGAGACTTGTGCAAAGTAGCAGGAGCAACACGACGAATCCGGAAAGAAGAAAAACAAGAGACAGAAAGCAGTCATATGTCAATTGGTTTATGAACCATATATTCAGTGGCATATATATTCAATTAGATGGCTATCGTCAATCATTATGGGCTCCATGTTAAAGGTACGGATGGTTGGGAAACGTTAGGTGAGCTTGCAAGGGCATTGAAGTAATCTGCTCCATGACAGATTCTTGCACTCCCTCCATCTCTTCAAGTATCCTGTTGTTGATCGTGTCCGTAAACTCATTCACCACATCACTCTTTACCCGCTCCTCTACAGCATCAATCTGATCTGCGATACTGTAGTTGTTGATGGCCAACTGCTCATTTACCTTGCACAAGTGAGCAGATAGCATCTCCTGGACTTTGTCCTCATGCGCAGACAGCATCGCCCCCACCCTGCGCTCATGAGCGGTGAGCTTTGCCTCGAGCATGTCTCCAATGAGGGCTTGCATAGCTGCAATTCCCGTCGACTTGGAGTCATGCCCCATCGCAGAGCTCTCATCATAAGACCTTTTTCTCTTAGCTAGACAAGCAGTTAGCACATGTAGAAGCACCTGAAGGCGTTGGCCGATTTGCGTAGATGGAATACTTACTAGATCGTGAAGGAGGAAAACTTGGGTTGGCCTCTTCATAAGCTGGGAGCTCTGGGGCAACAAGGGCAACAGGGGCAGCAGCACTACCCTGGTCACAAACAGCTTCAAACGGACCATCGCCTTCAACCGCCCGAGCGCCATGGCCTTGATACAGAGACTTCAAGTTTGCGAGAGCTGCAATGGTTGAGAATTTGTGCTCTGTGATGTCTTGACAAAATTGCTGCAGCCACGATGATGAGAGCATTCTGCTTGGAAGAGACGCGAAGACGGTGAAATATGTCTGTTGAATAAGGTTACGAAGAGATTGCATCGTGGCTTCTGCTCCAGGCCCAAAACTGGTGTATGTCTTGGGGAGAATGAGGGCAGGTGGTCTACTAAGATCAAAGGTGAGAGCAATGGTAGGCGGGCCAAAAGGTGAATATTGGGGCTGTGAGGTGAATGAAAGCTGGCGTATTCGCTCTGGATATATGAAGATGTAGGCGTTTACGAGGCCATGCCGAGAAGCACCAGGTGCGCCCTCCAGGTGCAAGGTTGTGTGAAGTTTCAAAAATGCGCGGCCATGCTGTCCAGCCCAGTGTATATCTAGCAAGACATTATCCATGGTTTGGTCAAGCCAGCAAGCCTCTGCGCGTATTTTCGTGCGGTCTATTTTACTGGGCCATGTCGGTTGGATATCTTGAATTCTCGTCCTAGGCGACTCTGGCGATGAAGGCAATGAAGGTGATGAAGGCGCGGCATCAATCGCCACCGCTTGACAGCCAGTATCGACATTTCCTTGATCTGCTTGCGAATTTCCTTCATGTAGCTCACTCGAGCGCGGAGTATTCGGATTCGTGGAAGTCGCCGAGGCAGTTGAGGCTGCTGGAGAGAAAAGAGGATCTGCCATGTTGTCGACTACGGCTGGTAGCTAGATGATGAAGTCAGTAGTGATGAAGCCAGACGAACGTGAAGAGGAAAAAGCCCTCAAGAAATAGCTTGAGATTCCCGCCCGCCCAGGCTTGTATGCGATGGCAAGAGTAGCCTTGACTCATGGAACGTGAAAAGAATTACGAAGAGATGGCAATAACGAAGACGGAGCTGAGATGCCACAGTTGTTGCCGAGCGTCTTCGTGCACATTGCCCAGCCACGCTACCACGACGATCTCCAGTCTGCCCTGAAGCCGACACCCAGGGTCTTTCGCCGGCCGTAGACGGCGAGTAGAAGCCTGTAGAACCGGTGCCGGTCGCCAAACTGTTCGTGTGGTCGTAGCCGTGAGCAAGTGCAGCGAAAGCGCTCTTGAAACAGATGCGGCAGTCTCGTTGCCTTGTCGTTCGTTTGATGGAGAATGTGTGAGCGGTGGAGTTGGAGGGAGGAGACGAAGCCAGAACTAGAGCAAAGGGAAGCAAAAGTCACCTGACTGATGACCCACTTTTACTCTGACTGTGCTTACCTAATCATTCATTCACCTGCGCCGGCGTATAAGTGTGGAACGCATCAAATTAACTGCAGCTCCCATTGTAGAGTAAAGAAGATATATCTCATGGCACCAATCAGTTTCTTGAATCAGGGCTTGAAGCTAGTGTTGACGCTCAAATCTTAATGCGCGAGGCTGGGAATTTGATTACTTGAGCGCCAAGTCCCCCAATCAAAGCGCGATCGCCCGAGTCGGCCCATGTACCTGAATCATCAACAGCTGTATCCAATGTAGACATAAAAAAATGCTTTACACTCAAAAAAGATGGCAAATGACACATTTTCTCTCTACGAAAAAGTACTGCACGGGCGGATTGGCATTTTGAAGATGCCATTAGTCAAGATTGACAGCAGGGGCGGCATTTGATGTCAGCCCATCGCCAACGGCGTCTGCCCAAGCCATGGTCAAGACGAAGAGGCATGTCAAAAGAAAAAGAAAGAAATAATAGAATATTGGAGTTTGCGCTCTTGCAGTGATGTTGTAATAATAAGCCCCTTTACTTGATGATGAAAGTTGCTGCTGCCTGCCTCCTGCCTCAACCGTGTTTGTCAAGACTACCTCACATGTACCAAGATGTTTGTTCTAGTCGCAAAAGTCAAACTCATCACCTTCACACTATATTATATCCCTATATTTTACAACATGCTTGAGAAATTCTTCACTGTGGCTCTTCGAGCCAGAAGCGTCGATCAATACGGAGGCACGCTTGAGGTGCTTCTCTTCAACGGCCGGGCTAGATCCCTCGTCAGGCTGCTCGCCGTCCCCGTAGAGCCAACTCCAACCTCGACTCCGCCAGCTGATGGCCCTCATCTCGCACAATCTGGTCATCATCATCATCATCAGCAGCAGCAGATTCCCCTTCTCAATCTCCCGGCCGAACTCCATTGGATGATATTCTAGCAGACTAATCGCATCGAAGACGCCCTCAGCCTCGGGCTAGCTTTTCCGCAATTCCGCGACATAACTCGCAGGCGGGTCCACGAGCATCTTCGCCTGCTGTTCGGGCCATGGGCTGATCAAGAGATTGTATGCGTGGGAGAAAATACTGAGCCGGATGACTTTCCCGCTATATTCTCCTCAGAGAAAGAGCTCCAACCTATAACTCAGCAGCAACGCTTGGAGCATGATCCAAGCACACAAGAGGTTATCAGCGTAGAACCAGCGACTCTCTACGACTATACCAGAACCGGAGTTTCGGAAGTTCAAAAAGAGCCATGTATGCTAGACGAAATCTTTCGGCTGAGAGAGCAATTCACCTCGCGGCGATTGTGCACGAGCGCCGATCTCATCACTCTAGGCCTGCGCCCTCGAAGCGATCGCGAATTCCTTCCCACAAACGAGCCATGGATCCTTCGAAATCTTACCAAGAAACAATTTGTCCGTGCCGAAGCCGTTGCATTAAAGCCAGAGTTCATCCACGGCCCGGATATTAATGTTATAGGCTTTGGCGAAGTCTTACTCACGCGGATCTGCTGGTCTTCTGCGCCCGCCGTTGGCATTGAAGATCCCACGAATATCTGCAGGGGAGTATGGGCAGGGCACCGCTTCGACATAACAACGCTCGCTAGGCACCAGAAAGAGACTGGAGATGAGGACGACTGGGCTGATGTGAGCGAGGAGATTGCAGAGGATATTGCGACTATCTGGCGAAGCAACTTTGGCGCTGATTAGCGAGAATTTCTTTGCGAATTTGAGTGAGGCAGAGACGAAGACCGATAATGAGGATGGATGAAAGCTCGAAAGCGATATTGACGAAAAATTGGAAGGGTGGAATAAAAGGTCTGGAGCGATATTAGCGATTCAGTGAGATTCTGCTTCATTTTTGGCTGAACATCTTGATTCCATAGACCTTACACTCTAAGAAAAGCGCTTTTCACCGTATTCAGCGCAGAAGCAATGTATCAACACAAGCCCAGCTTAGCAACAGTAGCATATACCAAGGAGATTCTGCCTTCTGACATGCATGCGCAACCCTAGGTCTACTAAACAGTAGCAGTATATATCCAGGTTGTCCACCCTTGCCCTGTATCCAGCGGCTATTTATTCCTGAATTCTGCACTCCCTCTTGAGGCATCCAAACAGACTGACTGTATCAAAAAATAAACGCTCTTCGCTTCCACCGAAAACAAATAAGATTTAGCAAAGCAAACGCTTAGCAATAGAGGATAACTCGTCTTCCAAAAAGCTACCTGCAGCAAAATATGTGCGTCCCCTTCCTGCTAAAGCACGATGACAACGTAGTATCTTCAAATATCGAGATGAACGCCCAATGGAAAATTGAGCCAAGTTTTCAATTACCGCATCTTTGTGCGTTTAGTTGCAGACGCGGTGTCGCTCACACATTTAGTGTCGTTCCCCGATGATGATGGCCTCTCCCTTTTCCAGATTGTCGTTGCGTGCTTTCCTTGCTGCTGCTCACTCACTTCCCCAATTATAAGAGGCCTTCATTTGCTCCCGTGTGCTTCGCCATATCCACTCTTCTTCTCAAGGTGTCCTGAATATTCTCGAATTGATCTAAATAGCTCGTTGCCGAACTTTGCCTCCAAAAAGACTCGAACATCGTCATTCCCCCCCCTTGCGAGTAATCCGTCTGAGTTGCCCTCGATTTTGAGGCCTTGGAGGCTTGTCGCTCTAGACAATCCGACGTACACCTGGCCCGCCTCAAAAGCATTGGACAGGTCAACAATGACGCGATCTAGCGTCATGCCCTGGCTTCTGTGAACGCTCATGGCCCATCCGGCGATCAAGGGCACTTGAGTCCGATGTAGCAAAGAATATGGCTCTTTATCGCCTACCGAGTTCACTGTACACGTTGCGTATATGGTTCTCTTCAGGCCATTGTGGAATAGCACGCGAGGCCACGCCTTGGCCGCCCATGAATTACTTGACTGTAGTTGATATTCCACAAAACGGTGTATCTGCCTCTCTCTGAGCTTTGCATGATCCCCGGTGAGGCGTTGCTCCGAAGGAATAGAGTCAGCGTTGTCACCGGTTGCAGTTCTAGGGAGTTTTTCAGGGCTATATGCTTCAAAGCCGCATATGATGCCCTGGCTTCCATTGACCAGTCCTGCTTTTATGTCAAGATTTACCTGCAGGATCACGAGCATGCCACCTCGCAGTATGACGCGTGGTTCCAGGCGTTGGTCTCTGCAAGCCTCCAGGGTTCCGTCATACTGTCGTCTTGTGTACTGGGGGAGATCGTTATGCTCCTCCGTACGTGGTTCAAAGCCATCGAGAGCTTCATACTGGTATCTTGGTGTCTTTAACTTATTGAAGCTTTCTTGATTTATCCTTTGTACTTCTCTTCTTGTGCAGAGTAGCTTCGTAGCTTTTTGGACCTCGCAAGGATGATTCATCAGTATCGCTATCTCTTGTGGCAGAAACGGAATTCCAAGACGGCATTTCTGGAGCATTCTGATGAAGGACTCGTCTTTTTGGCGGTGAATCTCTTTCAGATTCACGTAATGGAAATTGGCTTCCTCCCAAGCAGAGCTCCTAAAGGCCCATTTGTCCGTCTCTGGAAAGGGGCCATGATTGTTGTCGCAGTTGAACTCGGCTCCATCCTCGTCGGAGATGAGCTTCTGTCCGCACACGACGCAAAACTCGAATGGCTTGACAGGCGGCAATTGGCAAAAATCTCCCGTGACGATGACCTGGACTCCCCCAAAGGGCGGAGCGTCTCCATTATCGATGGGAGCATCTCCCTCAAAGGACGGGCCGTCTCCCCCGCCGTGCCACCGGTTCCAGCAAATCGCCGCTTTCATGCACAAATTGATGCGCTCGAGATGGTGATTCTCCACCATGCTAATTTCGTCAATAATGAGCACATCTGTGTCTCTCAGACGTTCCCTAACGTGCCTGCGGAACCCTTTGTGCATCAGCTTTTTAATGGGAAGCTTGTGATGGTCTGGCGTCCAGCCCATGTAGGACCATGTCGACATGCCGTTGACCTGGAGCGCTGCTCGGCCGGTGGGTGCAACGATGTGGACGATTTTACCCTGGGCTCTCAGCATATTCACTGCGACCTTGAGCGCGGTGGATTTTCCGCAGCCTGCTGATCCAGTAAAGAAGACATTGTTGCCTGTTGCGATGAGGTCAATCAGGTCTTGCTGCTCCTTGCATAGAGTTGGCGCTGTGCTGGGTGGAGGCAGTGGCCTGGCATCTTGCGGGAAGGGCTGGCTTGAGGCGAGGGCTGCTGCCTTGAGTTTCTCGTCAATTTTGCTCATCTCCTCCATCTCATCCGAGTCGTATATCTCGTGAACCTCAACCATCTTCACCTAACAAATAGCACTTACATACCTACTAGGTATGGTCCTACCTGTTAGTATGTTTGTACTCTGCAGTTGTTCGATGCTGCAGATAAACAACGTCAGGCCGCAACTACACTAGAGCGACGCTTACCAAATGCTGGATAGCACGCTGAGGCTCCACATATAACGTCTGGTCAAACAGAATCCACTCGTGCTCCATAGCGACGCGAATCAGCAAACGCGCAGGAGGGGCGAGGTCAAAGCGTGTTGATTGGGCTGAGTTGACTGAGTTGCGTTGAATGCATCTGATGTGCCTGATTGAGTACTTGTACACTGTGCCATTGCACTTTTCTCTGGCCGCCAAGAACGGCTTTTACAGTTCTAGTGTTAGTAGTGCTTGAAATGCTGGAATTTAGCGGCCCGAGCGCTATAATTTCCGGCCCAAACAAGAATTTGGCCGGGCCCGTGGGGAAAAAGGACCTTTGAATATCGAAGGCTTAAAATGGATGCAAATCAAATATCTTGAGGCAGCATTTCAATCTACAAATAAAAAACAAGCCCCGAAGCTGGTTACATGGCTTCATTCTACATGTCTTCTACACATCACCTTCAGGCAACTTCACTTGATCGTTTGTTTCCGGCGAGAAAATCTTGAAAAACATCAAACAACGTCAACATCATAGGGTAGGTTTCATTTGTTTGCTGTAGTCCAGTGGAACTACAACTAGCAGCAGAGTGCATGCAGCAGAATTGCGGTCCGGACGCCGCTAACGCCTCGCTAGCCTCACCTTGGGCCGGATCTGGACCAGCCCACCCCACTGTAAGCCCACTCGAGCCTCTAGCTCGGTGTAAACCAAACAAATTTTGCGCGATGGAAAAAAAAACAAAAATTGGGAAGAGGGCCGCGTTTGTCAAAGTCTGATAGCATGATTCAACTCGCATTCTCTTCAACAATCCACCAAGAGCTTAACCAGCTTAGCCCGGTTAGCTCAATCGGTAGAGCGTGAGACTCTTAATTCACACGCTCTGATGTGGCGATGCGATATCTCAAGGTTGCGGGTTCGACCCCCGCATTGGGCTTTTCCTATACAACCAAATTGCCTGGTTAAGATATCAAGGTGGTTCTTTTTCTTTTTTTTTTTGCTTCTTTCTTGCATTTGCTTCCTTGTTCCCTTCCATCGCCGTTCATCGCTTGGGTAGTGAACGGGTCCGATGCCAACCAAATCCTCGATAGCATTGTGTGATTATTGTATACCGCCTCCCTCCCTTCATTTGCGCTTCAATAATTTCAACAGGTTTCCAGAACGCCTCCCAGCATCTCGTATGTCGATATCGATCCATCGACTTGCACCCGGTGCTCCGTCAAGCCATCCAGGACATTGCGGAAGGTTGAAGTGGGTAGTGGTACTTAGAGATTGTACCAGGCTTTTCCATTCCTTTCGAGTACACACGTTTAGGCGCCCTCCATGCTCGATGAGAACCGTAATAGACAGCACAATATTGCCAGCTCCTGGAGGAAATGTATTCTCTGCATTGCCTTTTATCCAGCAGTCGATCGGGGTCAGCCTTTCCGTGGTCAGTTCGTTAGGACTGGCGCCGTTCTCTAAAAGATGCCTCGTAATTTCATGATGACTAGAAATGTGAATGGCCTGGACGGTATCTTTTATGCCGCGCAGTCTCATAGACTGCCTAAAGAGAGCAAATTCATCAACCGCCAAGCCTTCCATTTGACACGTAATGCTGAAACCCGATTCGAAGAATGTGTCCAGCACCTCCTGACAGAAGGCTATCAAGGGATTGACATCCACGTTTGATGCAACGCCTTCCTTGACTACCCATGATGCTTCGTTATGTTGATGACTTAGTATCGTCAGGAAGCCTATATGGCTGTTGTGGATCGGGAATCCTTGAGCCACCATATCTTTGAGCGTATTGAGAGCGCTGGCACTATCAATTCTTCCCTTTTGAATCATATTTCGCAATATAAGAAATACCAGCGGAGCTCTGTCAGCATTAACACGAGCATCGCGTTTCAAGGCATCGCTACAGAGCAACTTTAATCCATAAGCTAGGGCAATCTCCAGGGTCGTGTACTTCTGTTGTTCAAGTTTCGGAAGAAAATTACCTCCTTCTGGTGGCTCCCAGACCACATGCTGAAAGAGGGCAAAAGCGCTTTCTCCTGTAGTAGACTCTGCTTCCCGTGCGTAATAGAGGGCTTTACTGCTCACAGTCAACACGGGTGAATGGTGATCGTGAAATCCTTTGTGTCGCGGGCCTTCCCTGAAAATTGTATACTTCAAAAGTATTGAATAACCATTCTCCTTCATAATACGATACCTATCTTCGAGAACGACCTTTTTAAACTCGGGGAGCTGAACGAATTCCACAAGGGTTTGGTGAAGCAACTGGAGCTGGCTTGAAGAGACATCCTCAATCAAGCCGCCTGAGTGAGCCCTGAGGTCTTCGACAGAATATCGATGAGCGACATCTCGAGACCTAGCCTTTAACGCAAAAAGGTCCCCCACGCTATTTGCTTGTGCACAGGCTAGAATATCTGGGACTTGAGAAAGAAATATTGTATCTGTTGATTTGCTGATAACCTCGAGCAAGCAATAGGCCTCCCAGCGGTAGGAAGAAGGTATTCTGGTAATAATGAGTTTGTAGTACTGCTCTAAATCATTGGGTAGAGAGTTTAAAATGTCAATGAGCGTTGCGTGAAGTTGCTCTAAACTGTATCCAGCAACAGCCAGCCTGGCAGCATTCTCCAAAAGATCGCTTATCACCAGCTTGACCCACAGGAAGACACCTCTAGCCTGTTTGACAATCTTTTCGGTTAATTCTAGTACTGCTTCCGAGCCTGGTTTATCAGGGACTGCCTTTTCCAAGCAAAGTTCGCGAATGTCGCCCTCGGTAAAGTCATGTATTTGAATCCCAGAATTTTGCCCAAAAGCATCAATAAATGACTGCCAGGGTCGACTGGAGAACAGTATCTTCATTCTAGTTCGACTGCCCATAGCGGTAGTGAGTTTCTTGATAAATTGACAAATTACTTCGGGCGGTCCATCGTGCTCGTCTAAAGCATCGAGGAGTAAGCAAAGATCCAGGTCAATCAAACGTTGACTGGCGACCCTATCCATGGCGTCGCTGAGTTGTTGCAGACTCCAATGTCCTGCCTCAATGCGCCGCTGCTGTGCTTTTCGATAAAAACATCGGATGAGAGTTTCCTTGACCAACTTATCAATGTGGTGATATTTATGCTGTTTCGTGCGATTTTGTAGTAGCGTTTTGAGCTGCGAGAATTGTTCTACTGGATCAATGGCTACTAGCCAATCTTGAATCGTAGAATCGATTTGTTCTCCATTTGGCCATTTAATTTCGGAATTTGAAGCTGAAAAGTAATCCTTTCCGACCATTGTGGAATATTTCAGTTTTTCCGAAGCAAAAACCTTTACCTCAGCAAAGATGCCCAGAGTAGCAAGTTTCTCATCGTCATTACCGTAGAAGATGTCGGTGGTATAAACTCGTCTTTGTGAAATAAAAAGATCCAGAGTCGCAAAGACAGGTTTGTTGCTTTTGAGCATAGATTTTGCAGAAGCGCTTGTGTTTCTAGAAATTAAAAGATCAACGGTCACAAATCCACCCGTCTCCTGGTTGGTTATGTCGTGGGTGAATACTAATTTTTGGGAAATCCAAAGAGCCAAGCTAGTGGAGGCATTTCTGTTCTTGTCTCTGCGAACTATGATTGTAGCATATGTCGAAGTCGGCTGCAAGTGGTCTCGATGCTGAAATATCTGTTCTAAGGTATCCGTATCTTTGCCAATTGCACCACTGGCTTGCCTTGAATCCATGACCATTGTACGAAAAGCTTTGCGGGGCATTTCACACAGCAAAACATGTTGGAGCTGTCTCGAAATCTCCTCGTCTTGAGTAACCTCACATGAACTGACCAAAGCTGCCAAATCCGAAGAAAGAGTCCCAAGATTGTAGTTGCGAACAACTTCTCTGTAAGTCTGCGAAAGATTTGGATGGATCACAAATAAGGACTGGGGAGATTGCTCCAAAATTTGGCCTAGTATTCCACGGTAAAGGCCTTCAAGCGATTTCTGGATGGCGGTACCACGATGATGGAAGAAGAATGTCGCTTGAACATTATTGGTACTGCGATACCAGTTGCGTAGATATTCCGAGGTAAGCGGATTGGTGTGCAGGTATTTTATGAATGTGGACTTTCCAGACCCGGGCTTTCCGGATACCCAGAACAGTTTTTCTTCGCTTTGAAGCCAGCGAGTCAATCCGACCGAAGCCTTGTCGAATGCCCACTGGAAAGAATGCCCGGCCGCTATGTCAATTTGTTCTAATCGAAGATCGCGTTCCGGAGCATTGATCGACTTTAGGATAGCTTGAGAATATTAGTATGGCTCGGCGAAGGAGAGAAAACGCCATAATCTTACCTTTTATATCCCAGAAGTCTGGGTCGAGGGAATTATCAACATGTTCCATTTCTTTTTCAGCTCCTTGGTTACTCTCATGCACAGTCCTTTTTTTTTCAACGGCTGTGTCGTTTACCCCCCCGTAAATTTTCGCAGCGTCGCTTTCAAGCATGTCTCGAAGCTTATACGCGATCCGATCAATTGCTTCATTTCCTTGAGAGAACTTAACCATGTCTGAGTGATTTGCGTTTATTTGTATAGTTGAAGATGGGTCAGTTGTATATCGTTGGCTAGTTGCAGATTGAGGAGACACGAAAACTCTTCCGGGTCCAGATCTCCGATATTTCCCATTAGCCATCTATAGACGTCACTCAACACCATTTCCATAGTACGCAATAACAAAACGAAAACATACCGTTAGTGTGGGAGTTGTCTTGGTTTCATAGGCCCAGAGAAGCTTCATTTTTCGAAGATGCGAGATACCCGAAAATTGCTCTTCTAATATATTGATAAATGGAGACTCGTTTGAGATTTCATTCACAAGTGCATCTTTGTTTGGTTGGTCCTTCAACATGATGTCGAGATCGGAGACGTCAAGGCCCTGGCTCGGAACTCCAAAGAAGATGACTCCTTTTGTGCGAGTCAAGATCAATTCATCCGTTACCCCACTGTCAGCTAGCATACGGAAAGCTTCCTTTAGAATGACCCCTCCGAGGCTATGAGCGAAGAACAACAGCTGTCTATGGCCAGCTGAAGTCCAGCCTCCTTGCTGAAGGGTGCTGATGAAGCTCAATGCGAGATCTGATACCGCTTGGAATGACTTGCTTCCAGCCAGCGTTGTATCGTATCCATACAGAATAAACTTGACATTAGGCACTAAAAGAGGCAGGGTGTCTCGGATCCACATGAATGATTTGTCCTCTCCATGCGGCTGCCATGAGCCCATAGGATGGCTGGCAAGTCCTGATATGACAATGCAGCTTCAACACATTAGTCTTATCGTCGTGCATCTGATCAGTAGTTTCTATGTTTGACATACTCATATTTGTGTTGGTGTTCTGGGACGTCGTTTAAAGGACATAGTCCAAAAAATGTATCATCCAGGAGCAGCGGCTTAGCCAGAGCAAGCACTCGTAGTGGCCACTCTCCTGCTGTCGGATCTTTGCTGACGGCATCAGGAAGCTTCTGAAATGACAAAGTAGCCACTTTGGAGCGCGAAACGGTCCATACTTCGCAGCTGAGAGCCAAAGATGTTACGATGACATCTCGGAGGTCGCCGCCGGGGACAAATGTGCTGACAAGCTGTGTCACACCAAGACGATCCAGGTGCTCAGGAATTCCTCGTAAGCGGTAGACTTTGCTTTGTATAGGTGCCATTGCCCATTCACGCGATTATTATAGTTGTGGTAATAACGAGTCGCAACGAGTTGCGAGCCTCGTCGCCTCACCCACGCTGACGCCAGTTGCCATGGCACCAGTAATTTCTGACTTCGTCCAGCGTCGAAAGGAGACCATGTGACTGCGACTTTCGTCCAGTTACAGGTTGCTACGGATGCCCCATAGATGCCCCGCGGGACATGATATAATCCTTCACGAACTAGGTCGAGGTAGGTATCACTATTTCATCTAGAGAGAGGGGCGGGAGGATGTATATAAGCGCTCTAGTGGGACGTACCATGTCAGTTCTGTGAGAAACTTGAGCTGCAATCGCTCCATCATGAAGATTCTGAATTCGAGAAAATGAAACCGTCGACTGAATTCATGTTAGATGTAAGGATTCCCCAATGTTAAGTCAAGGAGTCTTTGCTAGACAGTTGCGCTCCTGACTTGCGACTGAGATTCGAATCCGAGGCAAGAACGGCAGGGGTGGAAACCGTTACCAGGATTTCATTAAAGGGAAGGAACAGGGTCCATGATTATTTTCTGAGGCATATGTTTTCTTCCAAGCAAGAAAAGCCAGCTCGGCTAATGTTGATGATTTTTGAATCTATCAATGGTGAATTCATTATGTCACATGTAGTTGACCCTTTTCTTTCCTATTAAATGCGCTGCTGCAATTGAGGTCAAAGCGGCGCATTTAAATTACAATACAGCCGCATACAGAGGGCGAAGTATAAGCCCTTGACTCCACCAAAACCGCGCAAGAAACACCAAGAAACACCACAACGGACGCTATCAACGAAATTTACAGAAACGGGAGTCTCTTCACTATTGTTAGAAGGAAATCTCATCAAATTGACTGTCCCAAAATAGTGCATCATTAAACAGTTGCGTCATCAGCCTATTGCGACACTCGCTCACGTGTATAAGCGACAAGACGCTGGAATAGTACAGCGCTATCACAGGGGCAATCTCGCTATAACTGAGCAGAGAAGCCACTGTGTGAAAGCGAGCGATAGGCGCCCGCGTGTAGGATTTAGTCCAAGCCTACCAGATTACCGCATTGCCTCGCAAAATCAGCATGTGGTAACACGGCGCCACCAATTTCATGCAATTTCGCACTTCTCATTTCGCAGCTGTGTTTCCCAATCATCTCCTCCCCTTCCTCTTGGACTTTCAATAATTTGACACCTCATCATTCTCGAGTCCCGACTCTGACCATTCCATCCTCTCTCGGTCATGTCAATGCATGTCAATGTATAGTTCTCCCAACTCAGGTGTCTCCATTACCTACCTATGCAATATGACATGTCTCGCTAACCCATGGCAAAGGAGCTGAACCCGCTAAACTCACGAGCGAGACCCGAGTCAAGCGCCAAGCCCAACGTGGACCTCCCTGCGTCAGTAGCACCAAAAAGTTGCATGTAAACTGTTTGCTGCTTTGGCTTGGCTCTCTCATGGCTGAGTAGGATGGAAGGATGGGTGGTTGTGTGGAGAATTGGGGGCAATGGCGACAAGAGAAAACAAAAAGAGGCGCTCGCTCGCTCGCTCGCTCGACGAGAGGCGTACCGCGTACCGAGTACACGACACATGCAACTTCACCCAACTTGCCCCCATCCAGAAAGGCTCCGCGGGCGCATCCGATTGGCATCGCAAAATAGCATCAGCCCACAGCTTCGTTGGGCAGAGACACAGAGACACAGAGACGCAGACACAGATACCACACACAGACGCAGCGACACACACACACACACACACACACCCACGCCCACCTTCCTGTTGCAGTTGCAAGGGTCTCTCTCGCATTGCTTCATCATGTTGCTTTGCAGCCTCTGTACGATGTCACTGTACTGTACAGTACTTGTTACCGTGCACGCCATGGAACCCAGTTGGTTGCTTGCATGCATTAACAAATCAAGGCCAGGCCCACCAGCCATGGGTATCATCTCATCACACTTGCTGCTGCCTGAGGTGCTTGTACAGGGGCATTGACACACACATAAACCTTGCAGCAGCAAAAAAGCGAGCAAAGCAAAACACACACATAACAACCCCCCCCCCCAGTTGGACTCGTTATGTAAAACCTTACAGGCCCAGCCCCCAAGCCCATGCTCACAATGCCCCTCCCTGGTCGCTACGGCGTTTGTGCCCGTTTGGAGAAGCAGGAAGTGCTTCCCCGGGAAGCGCTTATCGGGGATGGCATTCCGGCCAATGGCGCCCTCTATATATGGGCTTTCGAGGGGTAGCATTCTGGTGAAGTGGCAAAAGCGGGCTGAGAAGATACAGAAAAAATGGGGGGTCACTGCGAGAGAGAACCAAAAAGAGAGGGATGACGAGGGCGAGGGTGAGGGGTTATGCATTGTGTTGCGGCCCTTATATTTTTTTTTTTTTTTTTTTTGCCCTGCCCTGCCTGCCCCCCCATGAAGTTTTGAAAGGTCAAGCGAAAAGTGAGGTGAGGTGAGCCCGAGGTTGCCAAAGGTGAGTAAAAAGAGACAACGAGGGGAAGACGGTCGAAAGTGACTGCACTGGGGACCAATTGTGTGAAATGACCTAGGCCTGTATCTGTGCGAGAACAAATTACACAGGCATGTGATTAGAGTAGATTGATTGGTGGCCGAGATGCACTTACAATAAGATTGCGCCAAGTGCCTACAGTAGAGTGGGAGAGCTGCTAGCCAATTCGCCAAGCAAATGGTACAAAAGCCAAAATCAAAGCCTATCGCGACGCTGATGAAAGTGAAAGAGAAAAAATAGTAGAACAAATAGTAAAACAAATGAAAGATCAATTCGCATAAAAAAAGTCTTCGTCATATTCAGTCATCTGTTACAGGTAATCTGGCAATCGTAATACAATCTCCCTAGCTGTGCCTGTTCCTCCCAAAAAAAAAAAAAAAAAAAAAAATTTACAATAAAATACCAATAAGAGCAAATCCCATTTCCCATCGCTTGCTTTGCTTGCTTTGCCTTGCTTTGCTTTGCTTAGTTTCCCATAATTTCCCTTGCATTTCGTAAAACGCTACCCATTTATACCAGATGTGGTAAACCAAAAAAAAAAAAAAATAAGAAAAAAAATAAAAAAAAAATAAAGCAATTACCCGTCTAAACGCCCTGTGGTACCATTTCATCTCGCTGCGTCGCTGGGGTGTTCTGCGCCACCGTAGTCTGGTACGACGGATACGGGCTCTGCGCAGTGCTGTTGCTGCTGTTGCTGTTGCTGTTGCTGTTGCTGTTGCTGTTGCTGTTGCTGTTGCTGTTCACGTTGTTGATGTTGTTATAGTGTCTGTTGGCCATTGCCAATGCAAAGGTGATTTCGTGCCGTCGTTGCTGGACGCAGTTCTCCAATCCATGAAGGCGGCGCTCCATGCCATCGAAATATCGCTCGACAACGTTGAAATGGGTCTGAAGATTGTCTAAAAGTAATAGCACGTGGTTGGCGAAAGCGCTCTTGTCTTTCTCTTCCTGCTCCTCCTCTTCCTCTTCGTCATCATCGTCATCGTGTTCCCCGTCGGAATCGGAGCGAAGGTATTCACCTAAAGAACCAAAAAAATCCAGTCAGCATCTCCATTTAGGTTTAAAAATTTAAACGTAAATACACCTGAATTTGGAAGAGAGACTGGAAAACTGCTCACTGGAAACCATGCAAGAATCCGGCGCGGGGCCAACGTATGGAGGCGGATCTACCTCAATGGACTGCACAACTCCTCTATTCATCCCGACAATCTCGCCTCCGCTGCCAGCATAAAGCGTGGCCAGATTCGCTCGCCTAAAGTCCGTGGTAGGGCGGTGCTCGGTAAACGTAGGCGAGAACATGCATCCAAGCAATCGCAAGTCGTCCAGCTTCGATGCGTTGATACCTGAGCTGTTGAGGTGGACGACAAAATCGTTTGTGCTGGCCAGTTCTTGAAGCAAGTCCAGCTGGGCCCTCGTCTTATCCCTGGACTCAAAGGCGCGATCCTTGGGTACAACAATGTTGGGACATTCCGTCAGCGAGAAGCGCAGCTCGTAGTAGGTCTGCGGCTTGTGGGTTTTGGACTTTGGCCGCCGACTGGTGCGCGACGTCTCGCAGGTGATGAAGCGGACGTTCTCGGGGTGAATAAACAGGTAGACGGCCTGCTTGTTGCTGCGGCCCTTGTGGCCCTTGCGAATGATGTAGCTGTAGAGCTTGAAGATGGACGTGTTGGTCGCCGTGTTGGCGTACAAGTCGAGCGACAGGTCAAACATCTGCCTCGTCTCGCCATTGGCGGCCCTCCACGTCACTCTGTTCTTTCGGTACGAGACATCGACAATCGCCGTGGTTTCAAGGTCGTCGTAGCAGTCCAATTCGGCCGATACTTCGGGGTCGGTCGTCCGCGGGCTGCTGCTGGCATCGAATGGGCTGCTGAAGTTGAATCTATCGTCATCAACGCCCTGGTTGAGGTAGAATAACCTGCAGTTGAAGTCTCGGTTAGCGATTTCACATGCAAATCAACAGACAAGTCTAGGCTTTGGCATGATGTCATTTTCATCCGCTCGACAACCCTCTGTTCATCGCACGATGGGTCTTTTGCTGCGGAACGATTGTATGTACTGGTGACGGAAGCAGACTAAAGAGGGGTGGTAGCAGCAAACAACCCACTTGTTACGCCAGCTTGACACAACAAGTCAATTACTTCGCTTCCTCTCCGTTGTCCACGGCCAGCAAGATTCCGACTCTTTCCAATCGACTTTGTTCATTGTGAGCAGAGTAGAAGATTAGGCAGCAGTAACAGCAGTAACAGCAGCAATAGCAGCAGCAGCAGCAGCAGCAAGGTATCGGCAATACTCAATCTTGTTACACATGCAACAAACCATGGCCGAGCAAACACCATCGCAAGAGAATAGCACGAGCCGTTTTCGCTAGTTGTGAGGAGAGACAAGAGCAGACAAAGGAACTGCAAACAAAAGGACTTGTTACTAACCCGGACGAGGGAGAAGACGGCATCAATTCGTCACTGTTTATAACATCGTCTGGAATGGTCCCGTAACCCATTGCGAAATAGGCAATATGGGACAGTGGAGAGGCAAATGATGATGATTGCGCAGTGGATGGAATACGGGAGAGTGCTGGACTGAAGGGGGAGAAAAATGCTGCTACCCGGCTCTGGTCGCTTGGGACTCTGGTCGTGCCTACTACTTGTAGGGGAAGCCAGACGGTCACATAATTTCAGCTGGCCAATCGAGGCATGCTTGGTTCTCAACAAGCAATCTTACATAATATCTACATGCCTAGTTTAGCCGATACCTGCTGAAGATACTTGTGCGGTACAATACCTCTTTCATTTGCCAGGGATCATCGCGTGACATTGATATACGAAACCCCTTACTCGTACATCGTTAGGCCGGTAACACAAACGTTGCGCCTAGTAGGACTGTGGTGAGAGTAGCAGTACTAACGTGGTAAATTACCTTGTAGTAGTTGCCGTGTGGGAGCACAGAGCACCCTGTATTATACCGGTTCAAACCTCGTTCACGCTGTGGTACACTGTAATGGGTAGGTATTCTCAGTCGTCCCCTTTCTTGGTCTGTACTCTCAAGACTTCTCAACTCTCAGGTACAAAAGTCTCTCTCTGGAATGCAACGTTGGGGATACCTCTCCGTACCACGGAGCACAAGCGCTAACAATACAGTCTGTATCAGCCCGCGTCATGCCTTGATTCTGCTTAGTCCGCCCAACATGTCCTGCTACTACTAGTCAGTGTATCATCTGCCAATAGACCAATCTCACTAGTAATAGGCAGTGCTGTAATTGTTTGCTATGCTTCAATCAAGCCTGGTTGGTGTGTACAAGCAGGTATCGAGCAGGTCCTCCAGGTCCAGGTACCGTCCTAGCAGCTCCCTTCGTATCCATCCAAGCCATCCCCCTCTCAACTAGGCCCTGAGGAGCCGTGCTAAAGAATATCAGCAGTTGCTAGCACGAGCACTATGCCCAAAATGAAATTGGCTCAACGGAACCGCTCGCCGGGCCAATGGCTGGGGCCGGGGCGCATGCCGGGCGGGGCCGAGAGAGGGCGGAGCCTCTAGTTTGGCGTGGCGGGCCTTTCATTGTTTCTCCTCGTCGCCGTCACCGCACAGAGCAGCCCGCAGCCACGGTTCGCACGGCATTTGCCAAGTCGAGAGTCTGGCCCAGTGCTTTGTTTGTTTGCTTGCTTGCTTGACCTGTAGGCGTGGCTTGACCTGAGCTGCAGGCCTGATTTGCAAGTAAGTAGGCCTACATACTTGTAGGACTTGCTGGTGTCATTGGCCGGTCCGGTCTGACCTGGTCAAGCCTGCTTTGGGCGCGCTTCCTGGGTTCGGCTCAGCCCTCTTGGACGTGCTCCTGGTCCAGGTTCAGGTCCTGGCTCGGCTCAGCTCCCACCTCCTTCTCTTCAGGCCTGCCGCTCGCTCGCTTGCTTTGCCAGGTGTGCCCCGTCCATACCTGCGCACTCTGCGCTGGGGGATGGATGTTTATGCCGTTTGCTGTTGACCCCTTCAGGAAATCTCCAACTCAGGAGGGAGAGGAGAGGGGGAGAGCAAAGTAAACAGGCCGTGAAGACAAAATGAGCTCTCCATAGCTCTATCGAGAAATCAGGTCAGGTCTCGTTAGTTGGCGACGCACATGCCGCCCGTCCTCGCACGAGATCGAGGACCAGTACAGTAATATCTGGACCCTGCTACAGTATGGGCTGAGCGATTGTCTGCGCGTGGGCCCTTCCATTCCTCCCAACTAAATAAGCCGGACTGGACGGGGCCGCCGCACCCCCAAGATAAAAGTTGGAGCTAGCCGACAAGATCTGATCTGTGTCCACCAAGCTTACTGCTAAAATAGGCTCACGCTTTCCTTACTCTCTTTTTTTCTCCTTCCGCCAAAGCACGGGTAGATCTTGAGATCTGAACCCACCGCATTTGCGGAGTCTAATTAGTACCAAGGATGGGTGCTAAGAAGCTTTGAACCGCGAGAGAAGCTCCCGAGATGAGTCAGCCATCATGGAGCCCCGTTTGTGCCGGCGGGGTCAAAGTAAAACGTGCTGTTGTGGAGAGAGCGCGTCTGAGAGTCGTTGCTGATGTGGTGTGCGTTACTGTATGTGGTTAATGAGTTGAAGTAGTGGTGGAATTAAAGACACTCACTCACCTAACTTTTCTTTCCTTTCCTTTTCATTTCACTCTGCTCTGTGGCTCCTTTCATTTCTTGAAACCTGGTCAAATTCATCAGAATTCGACGCAGCATGATGAAAGGGGCGGCAGGGGAAGAAAAAAAAAACAAGAATGCAAAGGTGCCCAAACCTTGACGGGCAACAATTCTCGTGTAACCTGATGACCATTGGCCTGAGCAAAGAATCCTTTCACGTCATTCACCTCGCTCAACCGCCATTTGACGGCAACCTTGCCACCATTGGCGAATAGGTTCCTGGTAACAGCACTCCATTATTAGCAATGGACTCAGGATAATGACGCACAGGCAAACAGAAGCAAACAAACTCGCATAATCACACAGTCCTCAAGCGTTAATATGAGTTTCAAGAATGATCTGGGCCCCCAGCCTCACGACGGCCCCCCCACCAAACACCAACCATTGGTGCCTGCCCATTCAGGATTCTGGCATGATAAGGAGGAACACATTACGCCACAAGTTGCGCAGACCCAATCGGCGAGGCCATCGGTTCAGCCAGCTATATGCAAGCCCTTCACCGGTCATTAATAGGTGCATTGCCATGCCCTGCTAGGTGCGGCCTGCAATGCACCTTGGCACGCCATGCAAGGCAGACTGCCATCATGTAAACAGGCGAAGAGCGGTGAATGAATCTAGGCTTGAGGGCACGGCGAGGCTCTGGTGTAACTTCACCAGCCAGTCATGGTTGGATTAAAGTATACCATGGAAGAGAAAAGTACCCTTTGACCTATTCTCACTCATGAAGAACGTCTAGGAGAGAGCGACAGAAGCTTCGTTTTCTGTATCCTTTCACTCGAATAAGGGCGCCACCTGGTATAATTAGAGAAAGAGATAGAGGCCGGTGCTGAAGCAAAGGGAGGATAATCGTTTCAGCCACCGCAGCCTTTCGGCGTTGACGTGTAAAATATTGCTCTAGTAGCCAATCTTTGGTCGCCACATGATAGATTCCATCACCGACTTACATTAGATCGTGCTTGTGCTTAGCCGAGCAATTACGGCTTTGCGTGTTTTGCGTGTGTACTTGACTGATTGGTAGGGGTATCTGAACGATCGAAGCATGACCCCATTTCGGCTGAACGGTAATGCTTCTTCCCTTTCATCTCTCCGTTTCTGCTAATCCATAGATGTTGACTTGGTTCAAGGGATGGAAGCTGGGAGTACTAATACGCCGCTTTGTCTCCCAAGATCCAAAGGTTCTTCAAAATAAGATTAAACGCAATTCTATCGAGTCCCACAGTTATTCTTGTGACCAATTACACAAACAAAAACGACAATTCATTCTTTGATATTTTGACATCACTCAGATTTCACTCACCAGTAACAATGACATTCTCCATCATTTCCAACCGAGCCGAAAAAGCCCGCACTATGCCCACTGGCAGAGAACTGGCGCTTGGTGATTTTGCAGAGCAATTCTATGGCGTTGTCGAGATTCCGGACAGCATGGACGATGAAGTCAAAGTTTTCTTTCGAGCCTTTTTCAACTGGTTTCGCCTTGTGCATCTGGTTGGGAGCGGACATGGATATCTCCTTGACAAGACCCAACGACAAGCCTATCACATGCTGCTAGACTGGTGGTCTGGCACCTACTGTGACCCCAAGACTTGCATCTATTTCCTCTTTTCCAAATTGGCACCGATCCTATTCAGGATTAATTTCTTGAATGATAATATGCGGCTTCATTGGTCGTATCATGAGAAAGATGGCGACGTAACCTACAAGGAGCTTGTGAAAGCCAATCTCTGCGTTGAGCTTTCGAAAGAAGAGAAATTCTCCCATCCTGCCGTCGGACAATTAGAGAAATGCGTCTCCTCTTTCCTCGAATTTCTGAACCATCGCTATGATACAGTCACGAGAACCGTCATGGATCTGAAAGGGGAACAGTTTGCAGAAGAGAGCATGCCTGCTGACGAGATGTCTGATTATAACTGGACAATGTGGCGAATTTTTGTATCACAATTCTGCGGCATCAAGGCCGGAGAGCCCCCACGAGAGTGGCATATCTCGGCTGGACAGCGATATTATCGCGACACTGAGTTTTTGGTGCTGCGAAATCGCGAGCGGGGACGACATACACGCATCGAAGAGCGCGAAAACGAAAGCCCGTCTGAAGATGGGGTGGGAAGGACTTATCTTCTTAGGCCCCCAGAATCTGACCGACTGGTGCCCAAAACCTCGGCAGATTTCATGGAGATCTGTCTGTCAGAAGCGACAAACTTTGAGTGGCCCGAGATCCAGGGGCGAAACTTGCTCGCTTCCAACATCATCCCACATGTGGATAACGGACTTGAAATCTATCGCAACTACCCCCAGTATCTTTGGAATCGTATGGGCGAGACGTTGGAAAAGACGTCAGCCCTTGTTCGCGGGGGGCCTCCGCCAAACTACACGGCCATCAGCCATCTCGGGCGTCGCCAAGAAGGTGGCCAGAGCCACTGCATTCCAAAGGGCTGGAAATACCCCGTGCCGTCCGTTGACAAGTTCAAGGTTGGGGAGCTGGTGAGGGACTTGCAACAGCTTCAGGGTGTCATCGAGACAGACTATGTGTGGATAGACCTCCTGTGTCTGCCGCAGTGCGAGGAAGACGACGAGCAGGACAGTGATGGGCAGGATTTCCAGCTGAAGCTGCTGGAGCTTTCGCGACAGACAGTCATTTTCCACAACGCGGTGAGCGTGGTCAAATGGCCTCACGAGTCGTTGGACCTATCCAGCCTGATGGGGAAAATCATGGTGCGTACTAATAGTACCTAGAAACAATGTTATCTCGGCGTAAGACCATATGATGGAACAATTAAATACCGTTAGTGCTGAATATTCAAGTCTTTGTTCTGGTAATATCGCCGATTATGGCGTTGGCGTTGCGTGTTTCCTTCGCGTGCATGCTGGTAAAAAGAATGGATTCGAAGACTGTGATGAAGTTGTTGGGAAGAATGTATGTATGGAGAGAAGAGGGAAAGACGGCATCGCTAGACTGCCGTCATAGGCAGTTAGGTGGAAGTGGAAAGCGTGATGTGCCCGTCATCTCAGCACCTGATTTCAGCCAGATTATAAACAGCCACAGGTAACCAGATTTGAGTGAATGGAGAGGTAGAGAGAGGAAGACCAATGCCATCAATTCTCAAACTCGTATGCATCCATGTTCCGGCTTGCCAACCTAGTACTTTACTATTCTGACCTCATGATACTTTTTTGTTTCTCGTTCTACATCAAATATCTAGACTTAATTATCATCAAAAATGCAAATGCTCCCTTTCCCAGCCAACTCCCCCCTGCTAACAAAATGGCTCTCAACTCTTCTTCGCCGTCTCGCCTCTCAACTGTGCCGACATGGTGTCGAATTCATTTCGAAGCTCGCTCAGCGTCTCCTTGGCTACTTCTTCGCATTCTGTCTTAAACTCCACAATACCCTGGTCGACCAACCTGCTGACTTCGTCTAGCATCTGCGCAGTCTCTTCCGGTCCGTGCAAAAGCGGGTTATACTCAGCGTCCAGTGCAGCCGCAGTCATTTTTTCAAGCCGCTGCAGTCTGGTATTCATGCCGTCTAGAAGCTTGCACAAAGAGTTCAGGCCGTTGTTTATAGTGCCAAAGCGAGTCATGATGTCTTCAGGTATAGATGGAATGCGAACACGGGCGGTGGTGGCATCTAGCATTGAAAAGAAGCAGTGAGCATGAGGATCCCGCCAGGAGAATGAACATGGACACGAAGAAGTTTCAACACATGCCCATGTTCAGTTTATGCGCTCTCACCCTCAGCAAAATCAGCATCGTTAGATGAAGAGTAAAACACTTCCAGGCTTTTGGCAGGCTTGCCCAGGTTGAGGACCTCGCCACTCTCGTGGGCGTACAGCGCATCGAGGTTGGCACGCCTTGCGTCTATAAGCATCTTGTGGTTGGGCGAGAAAGCAGCGGCGATCTTGCCCAGGTCTGCTTGTGATAGCAAGTTCGTGCCTGAACTGTCAATTCGGACGTTGATCTCGGTTGCGGTGGCGAGAGCTTGGATTGACCTATGCAAAGGTATGTCACTGGAATTTGGCGGCAGAACGCTATCTCTTGGGGCTACCAGATAAGGGTTCCGTCGCAACTTGAAGCGCAGCGTATCAAACGGCGCCGTCTCCGTGGCAGCTTCGAAGTTGATACTCTCAATATCCTCGGGATAGACGAACAGGTAAACAGGCTGTCTACTAGTGACGATGTGTTTATGTGTGAGCTGGAGGTCACCGTGTAGCCTGAACAGGGCCATGCTTGCGGGGGTATCCAAGAAAATGTCGAGATCCAGGCCATTTTCGCTTTGCACATGGTTACTGGCATCCTCCCAGGTCACTGTGCTGATTCCTATCTGAGTCTCGATTTGGATAGAGTCCCCAGTCGGCTCCGTCTGCTCTGCGCATCTATACAGGGGTGGATCTGTAATGGGGATCTCGAGGCTGCAGATGTAGTCATGATTAGCATCTGTTATACTGTACCGGACCGGCTCTTAGTCGGGTTAGTGTGTCTTGGACACGACTGGCCGATCCTATCTAATCGAGACTGTGTGCAAAGCTAATGGAGGAATTAGAGACTCATGGGAAAGGAAAAGAAGAAGTGAAGAAAGCCGAGGGAGCAGTGAAGAAGACCATGTCACCATCTAGCGCAACACAATACAATCACAGCAAGAGACTCGAGACTTTGAATGGTCCATCAGCGTGGCTGGGACGAGGTGAGGCGCAAGAGCATCGTCGAGAACGGCAGTGTTAGCGAGCGGCTCTTTTTGGCGCTACACCCCACACGTGGAGTTCCAAGAACAAGACCTTGCCCTTTTCAACAATCCAGATTTCGCCCGATCGATGAATGCGAGCGCGACAGCAAGGATCATTGTGTTTTCTACAGAGTGCCGAGAGGCAAGCATTGAAGCTAAACCAACAAATGACTTGCAGCTCGTTGTGCGTCTGTGCTGGGGCCCGGGAAGATGATGGCAGTGGAGTGGGTAAGAGGGCACGACAAGCATCAAGTAGTTGAAGTGTATCGAATCGCACTGACCTGTCAGACATGAAGACTGACTGCTGCATCGGATCATCTTCTTCGAAATGATGATACGCTCCATCGTGTGCCATGGCGAAAGAGCGAAGCAGAGCTCGAACTGATGATTCCCAAATAGGGCTGGCAAGACTAGGGATGGGTATTAGCAGCAGTATTAATTACTAGTAGTATGGGGTGGGAAAAAGTGGGATGACAGAAGACGGGGGAGACGGCCGAGTACAAGTAAGTTCTGCTCAGTCCTGTTCCCCAGGCGGTGAGGGCCCTGCGTTGAGCGGTGCGGATCCCGCGTTTTCTGCCGGGCTAATCACAGGCATAACATTGCCGAGTACATTTGGCTACACGGCAGCCAAACGTCTGGGCAGCGTATCGTGATGTACATGGAGGTGCGTCACACAGGCACCATTCATGGCTGCGACCCGAGCGTACAAGTAAGATACTTGAACTGCATCAGTGATATTGGTACTACAACGGTAGTATTAGTACAACATCAGTAAGGTTACTAAGTACTAATACTACACCAGCAAAACTACCTGCCTGTAGTAGTACTACGCCAGTAAAATTAGTATAGTAGTATGCACTTCATCACCAGTACTAGGAATTGCATGAGCAAGATCATTACTACCTCAACAAGTTAGAACTACCTCAGTAGTATTAGCATCTCATCTACGTGTGTTTGTATTTTGCATAGTAATTTAAAACGCCAAACCTCTATTCCCTTGCTATTCCTACTCTACTCTATTCTATCGACATAAACGCCTTTCGCCCTTGCCCTCCCAATCCAGCACAGCTACTCTCAAATCCACAAACAAAATTGCTACAATCCAAAAAGCAAAATCTTCACGGCATTATTGACCAAAAAGATGCATGGAACATCAACAGCAACAATCGTAAAAATGATAACAAGTCAACTGAATTTGTGCAATGCTCGATGTGCCATGCCTTAGTACAGATCCAGCTCTCCTTCTACCTTTGTTATCCCAGGTAGAGGAAAAGCATGTCCTCAAGAAAAGGCAGTTAAAATACAAAAAAATTGCGTTAAAAACAAATCCCTCCTTTTTTTTTTTTTTGGTGTGTGTGTGTGTGAATTGTTGTTCACAAAGGTTCCTTTCCCCTACAGCACTTGACAAAAAAGAAAGGAAAAAAGGAAAAAAGATTGAATATGTAACGCTCGTCTGTTTTTTTTTTTTCCCCGCAACTTTTGGCATGATAACGTGGCTTGCGTGGAAAGCAGTCTTTGCGCCTTGATGAGTAATTGACTATAAAAACGGATAATAAGAAAATTTTATAGATAGATAGAGAGAGAGAGAGGGCTGCATTCGATAAGAATGAACGCTTGCGTAAAAGACAGTATGCTGAGAATAGGTGGAATGCTCATCGTGCCAGTGACAGTTTTATCTTTTCAAAAAAGTCATCTATGACAGCCTGGGAAATCGATCTGAGAGCTTCAAAAGATCATCCGAGAGAGACAATGAAAAAAAAAAAAGAAAAAGAAAGAAGAATCGTTCAGAGTCATAAAGGAAGTCTTCCGTTAGATGTATGGTCGTCACGTTTGGGAGGCAGGCGAGAGGATTTGGAGAAAGAGTCAAGAGGTTGATTAATAATGCATAGTCGATTGAACAAGAAACTTTATGCCCGAGAGCGCGTAGAGGCTAGGGGGGTATTCAAGGCAGACTGTCCACTAGAGTGAATACTAGAATGGTTATGATGGTTGTGGCTGCGGCTTCTCTTGTTGTGGTGGTGAAGCGTTCCGACATCGTGTTTGCCTAGCCAATTACTGTTAGATTTTGTCTTCGCTAATCTCGAAGTGATGAGAAACTTACCATCGCAACAGGCCCTCACATTCTCGAGCCGGTCCGCATCCCTGTCTTGCTGCTCAATCATCTCACGGAGATCCTCGGCGCTGTCATGAACCTCGCTCGCCTCGTAGATACTGACATTTTGGGCGCTAGCCGTCCTGCTGCGGATCGTTCCAGCGAGCTTGGATCCGCCTGACTTCCAGTACGAGCCTACTCGACCACTAATGCTACCAGTTACAGACTTGGCCGGGGTTGAGTTCTTCCCCGGTGTCAGCGTGGGAATATCCAAAATCATGTCTGGGCCCGGTGATTCATTTCGAGTGGTGCGAGAGTTGTATGATGACAGAGACGGAGCTGAAGGGCGCGAAAGGCCGTTGGCAGATTGCCGGCCGCCAAAGTGAGGGTTGAACTCGTCAACATCTTCTCGAGTCAGGTCAGCAGCCATCTCTTCCGCGTCGAGGTGGCCATCCTGCCCATTGCTAGTCCTTAGCAGAAGATATGACAGCGCGTTGAACCACGTCTCATGTCGCTGCCCAGTGGTGCAGGTAAACTTGATCGTCCTTCCGGGAGAGATGATGATCAAGCTCTTGCGGTGAAGGCCTGGTGGCATGGGATTATCGTCTGTGACTACTCGCACGCCTTCGATGGGGAGACTCTTCGCCTTCATCTCAGTGCGCCCAGCTGTCGACGGGTCCTTCTCGCTCCAGTAGATGGTTCTCGTGTAGGGGTGGACCCAGAAGTAGCGACGGTGTCGCTTTTCCGAATGTTCACCGCGGCCAGTCTTACGAGTGTACTTCCAGATGTACTCTCCAATCATCGTCTGCGTTATGGCTTGGATCATCCTGGGATCAGTATTGGGTCCAAAGCCAGTGGCGGGGTCAATGACGCCCATATCTCCAGCCCGCATTCCAAACCTGTTGTCCAGTTCCGATACGAACGAAGATACCGAGGACCGCCTAGACATGCCAGCAGACATGCCAGTGGAAGACATGGCAGTAGAAGACCTGATGGGCGGCGGCAGTGGGATTTCGGCAGTGCCGTAAGAGTAAGACGACGAGCCTGCTCGGTTGACAACAGCGCGAGGAGTAGGGGTACCGCCATGGCCAGAGGCAGGAGATAGTGGCCTGCTCTCCCGGCTAGGGGTACGCGGCGTTGGCTTTGTCGCAGAGGCAGGCCACAGGGGAGGGCCCATAGTGCCTTGACTCTGGGTTTGCGTCTTCATCTCGCCAGATGAACCAGTGCGGGCTGCTTGAATCATTTGCTGGTGGTTGACTGGCAAAGGGGGGGCATCTACAAGAGTAGATTTGGCGCTGGTAGCACTGCCAGGTCTGCGTGTAGGCGTAGAGTCGCTCGAAACAGCCGCTGCGACCGTGTCGGCCTTCTTGTTCTTGCTGGAATTGACGGAGAAGGGGCTGTCCAAAGTCTCACGATTGAGCTTGAAAGCCCCCACGGTATCAGAGCCGCCAACAGAGCTGCCAAATGAAAGACTTCTCCTTCCACCACGAGGGGTTTGAGCTCCGCTCTTCATCAGCTGCTCAATGGTTCCCGACGTCAAGGACGTCTGGGCGCCTTGGTCGCTGGTCTGATGAGAGACTCTGCTGGCAGAAACTCCATTGGCGGAGATTTCTCTCAACGGTCGCTGAGACTCGGGAATATTGGCTTGTGAGGATGCCGAGCGCAACTGGCTTGTCTCGTCTTGGGCAATGATGGGCGGTGATGATGTGGAGGTGGAGGCATCAAGAATGTCAGTGTTTCTGTTGACAACATATGATGCAAAGAGGTTCTGGTTTGATATATCACCGCCATCATCGACAAAGGGAGATTTGATGCCTTCCGGCAGAACGAACCCATCCCTCTTGGTGGGGCTGACTGGCCGAGTGTCAACTGACGAAATAGAAGAAAGGACAAATTGAGGAATGATGGCAGGCTCAGGTTTGATGCCCTCTGCTACAATGGAAGATAGGCCAAGCGCAGGGCGCGCGAGTTCTGCGACTTCTGCGGGTGCGAACTGAGTTGATCGCAGCAGCTCTTCATCGTCGATGGGCAGCTCCTCAATGGGGACTGTGTTCTGGAAAGAGAGGGTAGAGAGCGTCAATTCCGCAGGAACGGGCGCAGGTTCGGGAATCGGGTGGACATTTTCCACAGCAATGGTAGAAAAGGCCAGGGCCGGCTGCACGGGCTGCAGAGACGGCACCTCTCTAGGCTCTAGCTGCTGAGCCTGGATCGACGAGAAGGTTAGTGATGCAAGTGACAGAGGCACCACCATGGCTGCTGGTTCTGGGATAGGCTCGGAGACGGGCTCGACTTGTTCTGACACGATTGGTGAGATGCTAAGCTCGCGCAGGTCGGCAGAAGCTGGAGTATCTTCTGGGGCCTTTGCAGATGCAGTCAATTCGGGCAACTCTACCTGCTCCTCGATGACGGGTTCGATCTCCTCTGATAAAATGGAGGCGATCGTAAGCGTCGGTGGAGGAGTTTCAGGCTCGGCCTTGGGCTCCAATCCCTCTGCAACAATGTCTGACAGACTCAGCACGGGTACAGGAACCTCGGGCTCTGCGATTGGCTCTGAGCCTTGGGCGGCTATGGCAGATAAGGTGAGGGCTGGCGGAGGAATTTCAGGCTCGGCCATTGGCTCCAGGATTTCACCTTTGATTGCCGATAGGCTTAATTCAGCCACCGGTACGACCACCTCAGGCTCCGCCCTAGGCTCCAACCCTTCAGCGAAAATGGCAGACAAGGTGAGATCAGGTGGTGGAGCCTCAGGCTCGGCTTTAGGCTCCAGGTGTTCGGCCACTATGACGGATAAGGTCAGGTCAGGAGCGGGGACCTCTGGCTCAGGGACGGGCTCCACACTCTGCAAGATGGCAATTGGCGTCAGGTTCAGAGTAGGAATAGGTGCTGGCTCTGGCTGCTCTTCTTCTTCTTCTTCCCGAGGCGCGATATCCTCGGATAGAATGGCGGACAGATTGAGAACAACAGGAGGCGCTGGTTCAGGAGCAGACTCAGGAATAGACGCAAGATCAGGCTCGCTAGATAGCGAAGAAGGAGGCAGAGGGAATTGCGCAAGCTTCTCACTAATATCGTCGTACTGCGCACCGGCATCACTGTAGGCCACCATGGACGCTGGGCGGGAATACGTAGCAGAGCCCGCCTGTCCTTCTTCTCCAATGCTTCGCCATGATGCGGCGGAAGTACGGAAGTCAGTGTTGGGAAGGACAGATTCCATCGACTTTGGTCTTTTGGCGGCCTCGCCGACGCTTAGTAGCACCGAGTTGCGG